CGGCGTAGGATGGTGTACTATCTCGAGGCGGGGGAGCTACTCGCCCTGCGGCCGGATCTCTCCGCTGCAAAGCTAAGGCTCCGCCTACCTCCAACCTCGGACTGCAAACTTGCACGTTGATGCATGATGTTTTTAGCGGGCACCGCAGTTGGACATCCTTTTGCGGCGATTCATTCATCCTCCCACTCAGATAATCGCCGGGGACAGGCGGACCGCAAACTCGCGCTTTTCTGCAGGCGGTCAGCAGAATTGTGGGGCGTGGTCAAACCTCTAGCGGGCGGTACTTCCTTTACTGTCGCATATTCTGCCAGCGGGCAGCCATACTGCATTTTCTGTAGGCGCTCATCAAACAATCTCTTTCAGCTAGCGCTGTCCAAACTTTCAACAGGCGCTCGCACTCTTTTTAAGCAGTTTCGGGCTTACGCCGAGCAAAGATAAGACTCCATAACAGAGGTGCCATCGGTGGTTTAATTACTCAAGTTTGAGGTACTTTCTCTTGACGTACTTTTTCTTAAGTACCTGAAGGCTGTGTGGTCCTCCACAAAGGACCGCGTGGCCCCCAATAATTTCGCATATTCGGAAAGTCCGCGAGAATGCGGCCAATGCACCGCAACTAATCATAAGAAAACCGCGATAGTTCTCCGAGCATTCGTATGAAAATTGGTCAACATTCTTCCAAATTTCTGCAAGCGAGCCGCAAGAAATCAGCGAACTATTTTTTCCGGTGCCAGCTTGCTCAAAATTCGCATGGCCGCCTGTCCCCGGCGATTATCTGAGTATTTAAGCACATGATATACCTTCTCAACTACTTATAAGTATTTGTATTACGTTCGGCATAATTTTTTCATTTGTAGTTTCCTGTAGCCTAGAATTAATCCCAACTGCAGGATCACATTAAAATTTGACTCTATCGCACAATCTGGACCTCGCTGTTCCAAAGTCGCGGATTTTGTTCAAACTCATTGCAAAGGGGTTATTCGACTCACTGTTACCAAATTCATGATCATTGTGCTTGACCAAACGACATTTTCTGGGGTCACGGTAGGAACACGTGAGGAGACAAAGCCATAGGTTTAGCTGGAATTCTGTCTAGAGAATACATCCCGTTTTGAGACATACCATAATTGCAGTGAGTATAAGGTAGGTGTCAAAGTCACTTGCCTCAATATTTCTGCACTGAAGCTATTTGATGTTCTGATCACAAATATTGTTTTCATTTCGCATGATGGAGTTCTTACCAGACTTTTTTGTATTAATTGACCCAAGAAAAAATAATAATTGTTGTTGTGGTTGACACAGGTTGCAAGAAAATGGCGCTTTGCCGAGTAATCATCATAATCATGTTCAGCGCGCCAAGGAATCCCTTCTCCCACAATATGAAAAATGAAGTGGCTTTCTTTTGTTATTGACTGTGTGGCTGTTTGATTGCGATTGGCTTGAGTGTTGGTGCTCGCTGTTTGATAGATACCAGCCGCGCAGATTGCCAAAGCCAACCTCAAACTTGGGTAATCAAACTTTATTAGTAAATAAAACATACAAGCATTGAGTAAATACGGTGATATGACAGTTACTCACTTAATTTACTCAGATTACTTATGCTTAGATGGCCCGTCCTCACTCGTCGTGCGGGCCTCAACTCATACAATCAAAGGCTTTCAGCGGGCAGCCACAAAGACATCGCCAAGCCCCACCAAATACGCCGTTGCCTTATCGACTCACTGTCGCTTCCCTGAGAACCATGTCTTTATAGCAGCGAACGGGCTGTCTTCAGCGTCTTTAGGCGACTTCAGCGCGAAGCGAAAGCGGCGGTTATAGCAGCCTGCTCGCTGCCAGTTCGACACGGTTTTCAGGGGAAGCGACAATGAGGCGATAAGGCCTGGCGCTTTTGGTGGTTTTGGCGGTGGCTTTGTGGCTGCCCGCTGAGAGCCTTTGATTCTCTGAGAACTTTTGATCATTCGTTGCGGTTTCGGGCAAACGTTATCCATGACGCATTGATACAGTCTGCGATTGCTGGATGAGCCTGAATTAGGCAAATTAATAATTTAGGCAAACAAATTCAGAGCGAATCCGCGCTTTTGACCCTCTACCGTATTCCCACGATAGCATCAGAAAATGGCGCTACAGCACAAAATACTATAATGTTCGGCACCAAGTCGAATAACCCTCTAGAGTTTGAGCGAAATGTACGACTTTGAAATTTGGTTCACGAATAGCGCCAAAAATGGATACGAGAGGATCGATTCATAAAGAGGCAACGCACTCTGGCAAAATGTAACTATTTTTGAAATAGTAAACAAGAAAACAGTCCAAAAAACTAAGAAAAGAAGTCCAAACTCAGCGATTAGGCTGCTTCGCTCGTTTGATGTCAACGACTCGCTGAGATTCGGAAATGCAACGGTTTCGTTGAAGGAAGTATGCCCGAAGAAAAAATGGTCAGCGATTAGTCGCGCGAATAACTATTAAATCGAATAGCAAAATGATCAGCATGCAATGGATTTGTTACAGTTGTCTTGCCGGGAGCCTGGCCCTTGAGAGTGACTCTGAAACTAACAAGGAAAGGATACTAATTTATTCGCCTTTTGAGATGACACACACATATCTGGAACCAGCTTGGAACGGTGGTTCTTATTCCGAAGCGAGTGATGGTCTCTTTTTCTACGCAATATTGCGTGCTCCTTGACCTACTGACGTTACAGTGTCGACGTCTATGTAGTTTTGCAACTATATAATGCTCCCTTTCGAGATCGAAAGAACTAACCTGATGCTATTTCAACATTCTAGCACTTTTTTTCAGCACACATTGTTATCCACACGACGTCTTACGACATTTGAAAGTTTGTTAGTTACTCACAACAGCAGGCCCATAACTCGCTCCGAAATAACGCTAAGCAGCTAGGAACAACATATCTGGAATCAGCGTTCAAAACTTTGAAAGGCGAATCTAAGTTAGTATCCTTCCCTTGTAAGACTAAATCTCTAAAATTATAAGCTGGGGCGGTATGCATCAATCTCCCGTTTTGAAACGGGCGATCATTTACAATAGAAAAATGATTGCCCAGCCGGCTTGGCCACCGGACCCGTAATGTATGAAGCTGTGGCCAACCCAGCCGGGCAATCATTTTTCTATTGTAAATGATCGCCCGTTTCAAAACGGGAGATTGATGCATACCGCCCTTGGTCTTGAAAGCCCCCCGAAAAGTTTGCCTCATTCTAAGTTAATTCTATGTTGGCAACTGGTGCCTTTCCTACTCGTGAGTCTATATTGCTACTGCATATGGCAGCGCAGTGCATTCATGTTTTGCATTGCTGAAGCTGTTATGCTATCACCTGAAAGATGGAAGCATCCCATCGTGGAAATGCATTTGTATGCACACCAATTCTTGTGGTAGAAAAAGTTTTGTTTCATAGCTGCAAAAGCTTCCATTATAATTGCCGCCTCATCGGTGTGAGGATGGCCCTGCATGCCAGATCAGACTGCAAAGAACAGTCAAGTGCATACTACTATACTCTGGTAGGGTTTCCCAAGCCGAGAAAGAGCTCGACATTTCGGTTTCGGCAGGGAGCCCAGCTGGAAGCGGACAGGGTCAGATTATCGCCGTTTGGCTTTCTGTCTTTCTAGGCGGTGCATCGTTCCACACAAGAAGTTCGCGATCGTCCTCAAGAGTTGGCCTATTAAGTCTTTGCATTTGAAAAATTTTAATCACTCCTCCAGTTAGAGGAAGAGAAAGGAACTCTGAATATCGGATCCCTTCGGCGTCGGGTGGTAGCAAGAACGATGTCAAGGTCCTCAGGGCGATCTTTTGAATCACACAATCATCATCAATCATACAAACTTTCCGGTGTTAAAATGGCACGGTTTCAGAGTAGGGAGGTGTAGGGAAGAGGGGCAGATACGTGACTTGATGCCACAAGTAACATTGCGGCAGAAGAGCACTGAACGAAGCTGCCCCTTTACTGGTTGATATCGTGACACCGCTTCACGAATAATAGTGGCTTTACAGCCGTACTCCTCAAACCATTGCAGTGCGCGATGAATCGCAATCACTTCCCTATTTGATCAAACTGTACAGCTGTTCCTTACTTGAAGTGCGGCGATTATCATGTCGAAGAAGCATCCGCATCCAGATTGATTGCTCACTGGATGCTAGATTGAGGCGCCGTAAGTCCCACCTAGCTCCAAATAGCCGAATCTTGATGAAGGGGGATATGCTACGAGCCAACACCTTTATCGCTCGCTATTAATGTAGGTCTAACAACGTTGTATACATTCTAACATCATTTACCTCTTCAAATTTCGACTCACCGTCGAGCTTGCAAGTTCGTACGCAATCCAACGCTTAAGATCTCAACATCCTGAAAACAATGACGAGTGAGTGTGGAATTGCACAGTTCCAATTGCAAATAAAAAAGGATAAATTATGGATAATACAATATAACTACAAATAAACAGATAACTTACGCACACCTACAATCTGAACTGCCACGTGGCTATCATTTCATCTTCCCCCCCCCTCCCTAATCATCTCCTTCCTAGCACCACCTATACTTCACCGTTTGTGTCAATCACCTTACACTACTTCCTCAACGCCAAAAAACTAAGGCACCCACCGTCAGCAAGACTTGCCATTCTAGACGCCATCTCATGGTAGACAGACAACCTGTCATCGACATTATTACTCGTTCAATTTTGTTGTTGCATTCGCCTTGTTGGAACCTGCACTTCTCTAAAGCATCCACGGCGTTGTGCTGTACTTTTTGATTCAACGAGATTGGTGGCTGAGGCGACTGCACGCTCCGCCACGCAGCCTACTTCTCAGTTGCGAAGTGCTCTCTGATTATTTTTTAAGCGTTCGTTCGTTGGGTCACGAAGCCCCGCCTTCCAGTCACTAATCAGTTAAATCGGATATGCTAAATAGAATGAGCTGTACATAAGCGAAAATCTATATATACATTCAAGCTTACTTTTCCATCCTATCGGAAATGTTTTAGGGTTAATATTGATGGTTGTAATCTCACTCGGTTCTCCTTTGTCAACATCATCACTCCAGCCAATAGTCAGACCAGAGAAGCTGACGGTTACCCTAGGGAAATCTACGAATTTTACGTTAAGAATCAAGTGCGTAATTTTTTTTGACGATATTTGCGAAGGACTTGAAGGACTCAAGCTAGTGCGCACGCATCGTGCTTGAATCTTGAAGTTCGAAAAAATTTCATCATTCAGGATGACTCTTAAAAACGACGTAGAACTTTATTTCATCGGAAATCCGTATGTTGTGGTAAAACCACTGTTATTCAAAGCAACCACTTGCGAAGGTGTGTTTCATGTTCATGGACGAAGGCCTAGTAATGGCCATCGGCTTGAGATCCGTAGTTGTGCAACACCGTCTTCGAATGTCGGGAATTCAGAATGTGATATTATGTGAGTTGTATTCTATTATATTTGACTTGACTTTGTTCTTGCACCAATCTCGGAAAATAATTATCTTCGATTACAATAACTAGTCACTCCAAAACTGATGACAGCGTGTTATTTGCCTAAGAAAACGGTCTACTGCAATTTTCTTAGGGAAAGCACAGTACGCTTACGCTTAGAGGCACCGACCCAAAATAGTGTCGAAGGGATTTTTGATGCTTGACAGTAGCGGGGCCCCCAACTCTTGCCCAAATCGCGCTGCCGAAAGTTGCTTATGAAGCGAGAAAATTGCTTCAAAAATCGCTTCACTAGACGGACTCGTTACTTTGGCTCAACCATTTTGAGTCGGCGTGACGTTTGTTTCGCATATCCGTGCACACCCAATCAACCGCAGTCCGGAAAACTCGCTCTGCGGGACAACATTGTCGGGATTTTCGCGGATTCTCGAATATGTGTTCGGAATAGTGAATGAGAAGGCCCCGGAACGACAAAACAACAAGAAATTGGGTGTCATTTCTAGCTATTCCAGTCGCTTACTGCAGCGATTTCATATTCTTTGGCGTGCATTTTTAGAGCAAGACGCGTATACGACGACTTACAAAAGCTGCGCTCATACAGTTGAAGGCGTTCATGGTGAATCTCTAGACAGCACCTGCACCTCAAAGTATCACATACCGCTCGAACAAAAAATATCGCTTTAGTGCTCATAGGAAGGATACCAACATTAGCCGGTGATTGGAGATGGGATGCGTCGAGTTATTCGTGACTCAATATGTGAGCCTGCACACAAAGCGTTTCAACGGACGGCACTTTCAACATTAACTTCTCGATCAAATCTTTTCTAGCGTAACAAAGTGTAGATGTATACTACTGACTAATTAATATCCTTTCAAACCAAAATAGGCAAAGAAACAAGGCGAAGTCGCTGAAATGGGCAGGTTCCAATCTTCTAAGTTCGTCAAATAGTGTGGTGTGCAATACGCATATTGAGTTACAAATGACTTGAGCATATATCAATAGACGCGCCTTTAAACGCTGATTCTAAATGTTTTCTTTTTTTTGCGGAATAGGTTTCCGAAAGAAGCGTTTGAATGTCCAAATTTGCCAAGCATTGAGTGGCTTAAAATCAATGAAAAGCTCTAAAACAATACCTATGCGCTTTTCACCGGTTTTGTTTTTTCCTTGCAAACAATATACTCGATACAAAACTGATTTTTCAGTTTCCGTGTTTTTACACAGCTTTTTGCCAGTTTTAGGCCACTCAATGCTTGGCAAAATTGGACATTCAAACGCTCATAACATTTTTCGAAAAGTTGATCCGCAAAAAAGGAAAGCATATTTGGAATCAGCGTTTAAAGGCAGTGGGTCGGCAGAATGAGACCCGTGGCAAAACAAAGTCACAGGGTAGGGGTCCCATAATGAAACCTATGGGCCAAAGTTCGATCTTTCTCTGCCACTTCTAACCCCCGAAATTTCAAAACGAAAGCAGCGCTCATCTCCTGTCCTCTCCGAACCCGCCCACCCCATGGGCGAGTGACTTCCTCGGTCAGAGCGCCAGCCTCAATGCTATAAGCATGAGGTCCCGCAACGACTCTGCGTCTTCGCTATGACGGGCTTCGCGTTCACTCGTCCATGGGGTGGGCGGGTTCGGAAAGGACAGGAGATGAGCGCTGCTTTCGCTTTGAAATATCGGGGGTTAGAAGTGGCAGAGAAAGATCGAACTTTGGCCCATAGATTCCATTATGAAGGCTCCTACCCTGTGACCTTGTTTTGCCACGGGTCTCATTCTGCCGACTTACTGCCTTTAAAAGCGCGTCTACTGGTATACATCCCATCTCCAATCGCCGATTAATGTTGGTATCCTTCCCTTGTCAGTTCAATCACTTTTTAGATGTCTTGCAGCTATCGTCGTCTCCCCCGCGTACGTTGGGCGGAGCTTATACGGACATTTCAACACGTTGACGAACTTGTCAAGCCTCTTCTGCAAAGCATGGTTCTTTGTACTCTCCAAACTGCATATATTGTGTTATCACACGTGGCAGAGTAGGTAGCGAGAGATCACAAAGAACAATGCTTTGCAGTAGAGGGTTAACAAGTTCACCAACGTGATCAGATGTCTGCAAATGCTCCGCCCAACGTACACCGGGGAGACGACGATATCATATGCATGCAACATAGAAAACACTGTGCGGAAATTGCGTCCGCGGCCGCCGCATTGTCACGATTTTATGAGTAACCTACGCCGCAATCGCGTGGCCCTAATGGGATCACGCCGAAACAGCTGTTGAACGCTTGCAGTTTAGGAGTTTGCGCTGCATATGCGCACTGTGAGAAAGAGCGAAAAGCTTTAGAAAGCAGACAAGCAGGCCATATAATGAGACGCAAAATCGTTGCAACGCGAATGCGCGTTAATTCATTTTTGGTTTGACTCAGATTATTATAGACCGAATCATCTGTGTACACCTGAATCAATTCGTTTTTCCCCTATTTTCAAACGATTTTTTCACAATTTGTTGGCCAAGACATACACGACCTAATACAACATCGCAAGGAAATTGTTCTAGAAAGGAAAAACTGTATTTGGAAGTTGTCGTACTGAGGTCATCTCTAGTGGATGCCTTAGTGATGGTAGTAGGATGGAGCTATTTCACAGCTTGGAGTGTCTCGTCGTATCCTCAAATTTTGCTAAACATACAAAGAAGGAGGTACGCCTTTCGCCGTTTATTTTGAAAAAGAAACATTTACAGCGTTATCGGTCTCAACTTTGACCTTCTTGCGTTAAATGTTCTTGGATATCTGACTTACTTCGTATACAACCTTTTCATGTTTGCTAGTGAAAAGATTCAAGTAAGTTGCTTTTACTAAGAGATTTTGTAAATGACGCGAGAACGGCTAACAGGTCGCGCCGTCGTGCCTCAAGCAATCTAGGCCGGTAATCTACCCTATTTGGCGGCATCAAAGATGCGCCAGGTTGGCACACATCGCGGGCCAGGTTGCCAACTCCGGCGGAACTCTAGCGGATTGCTTTTAGGATTTGGTAAACTCATATAGTTTTGGCCCGCAATTTCTATTCACATGAAGTTTTGATGACTCAGACAACCGCAAAACAGCGACACCGATGCGTTCGAACCCGCGTGCGTCAACTTTCAGCGCCGCCACAATAACCACTCGACCACGCGGCCAATTTCTCTCTGTTTGCGGCAGCCTTTACAGGAACGTACAGGTCAGTGGCGCCTGTGAGAGGGCATGACCAATACTTTGCGCGATAGACTTTGACCTGGAAGAACAGCTGAGTGATATGAGCACGAGGGAGCCAAAATCGTTGCAAACAAGATTTAGAGGACTTGCAAAAAGAAAATGACGTTTTTTTTTGTTTTATAAGATTACTAGACATCTCTTTTAAATATAAGCATCAATTTTAACGAAGAAAACCCGTATAACGAAAAAAATGATGGTTTTTTGATGGAAAGCGAATTTTTAGGTTCTTCTGCTTGACGTGGAAAGTGTGATGTTGCCGCACTACCCAAACTTGCAGACGCCGCCAGTAAGGTGCCACCACTTCGATGTGGTAGGGACACGTCGGGATGGTGGCACCTTGATCTCTCAAAAGAGCACGCTATTTTTTGTACTCTCTGACCTGGCGGCATCTCTCAGCGCTGAAATTTCGACGAGATGCCGCCAAGTCAGCTCGCGAAGCTGCCGCCAGCACCTCCTGCCTTCCTCTACAATTCTGTTTACGAAGGTTTTTAGAACTTTCAGTTGCCAGGTAAGGTTCCCTAAGGTCACTATGACCTCCTCGACCAGAAATACGTGGTGAAAAAAGTTGGGAGGGCATAAATTCGAGCTCGGTGTTCACGTCGATCTTACGTAAAGATGCCGGCGACTTGACGGCGAAACATGCCGCCAGGTCAGGAGGATTACTATCGGCCCTAGAGATGTACCAAACATTATTTGGCGACTAGACGATATGTATATCACTAAACAAGTCTTTAATTCTAATTCCAAATCTGCTCTTCCAAAGAAGTTATGAGCGTTCAAATGTTCAAATTTGTCAAGCATCAAGTGGCTTGAAATTAGCGAATAGCTCTAGAAAACGCCCATGCGGATATCCATAGAGTTTGTTCCTTCCTTGCAGACAGTATACTTAATACCAAAAGATATTAACAACTTTTAAATGTTTTTTGTACTTATTTACATACTTAATACAATAACAACTTTTAGACGTTTTTTGTACAGCTTTTCGCTAATTTTAGGCCATAAAAGCTTGACAAATTTGGACATTCGAACGCTCATAACTTCTTTCGAGAAGTGGTTCCGCAAAAGGAAAAAGACATGAATAAGTGTTTATAGATGCGTCTAGTGGTACATATCGTGTCTTCAATCGCCAATTCAACTTGGTATCCTTCCCTTATAAGGATTGTTTCATACTGCCGCACTGATGAAGCTAGCCGCACTGGCCGTAGCGGCTGCGGCATGTTCAGGTAAAAAAAAAAGAAAAATATGTCTGAAAAGAGTCGAATCAGAATTTATTCTTTCACGGCCTCATTCAACGTGTTCGGTTGTAATCGAGGTCCTTCTTTCTTTTTACGTGAACATGCTGCGACTGCTGCAGTCAGCTGCAGTCAACTGCAATCAGTGCGGCAGTATGAAACAACCCTAATGCTTTAGCGATGTTACTTGAGCTACAACATCATATTCACTTAAAGGCAGTGTCCGGGCAAATCTCGATTTTGAGATTTTATGCTCAACCGGGCCTATTCGCTATGCTGAATCCGAAAATGCACATTGGAGAGCAAAAAGGGCGAAAAATGGCTCTATCACAGGAGAGAAATCGGCAGGTGGGCGGGTCTTTTCACTGCGAATATACGCTCCCAACTTCCGGAGCGATCTTCTCGCTTCCGGTTTCAGGTCAGTCGTTCGCACTCGCACTTGGTGGCGATGTCAGGGGAGCTAGTGAATCGAGAAGACCGCTCCGGAAGCTGGGAGCGTGAATCCACAGTGGAGAGGATCCCGCCCACTTGCTGTTTCCCTGCGTTAGAGTCCTTTTTCGCAGTTTTCGCACTCTCTAATGTGGATATTCGGATTCAGCATGACGGATAGGCCCAAATAAGCACAAAATCTCTTAGTCGAATTTTTGCCCGGACACTGCCTTCAATCACATAGGTAGATGGCCCGCCTTCGAGTGGCGTGCAGGTGCGGCCTCTCACAGAGGTTTTCAACTGGCTCTCTCCTTCTTCAGGCATCCACAATCTTCCTGACTGTCGTTGTTGGCTCCACCCACGGTTTTCAGGTTCGAGAAGCGTATCCAACTGATTTTTCAGCTAGTCCAACCGTTCCTATCCGTGCTGCAAAGTCCGACAAAATGTTGATCGTGTCAAGTAATTTTGAAAAACTGCGCTCAGCTATGTGGATGGTTCTGAAAGCTTTCGATGTGTCTTTAGTCTTGGCCCAAACCTCAGCTGCATAACGAACAGAACTTTTTAAGAAAGGTAGATCCGAAGCTCAGGGTCCCTCAGCTGGTGTAGCTTCCTTTTAGAGCCCGGCATTAGTCCGTTTCTAGGCTTTTCAAAAACGAAATCCCCTTGACTTTCTCCAAATTTTACGAAGTTTCGTTTAATCCCAAACCTTATCTGTAAAAAAACCCTCAAGAAACGAAACATGACTAGATATGTTGCAATGTTTTGCGTCTTTTCGGCCACAAAACGATGTCCCCTTTGCTTTTTCGCCCCAAAAACGAAATCCAGCTCTTTTCCATACGACTGTGTCGGACCCTGACTTCCTTTAGAAGTTTGAAGACGGCCCCGGCTGCTTTCCGTCCATTAATGCGTTCTCTTTTCAATACGCTTTTCATTGAACGTTCAAGATACACACAAGACTTTTTCAAGGGCTGCCTTTCAAGCCCCTCAAATCGCGCGTTTCCGCGCGAGCGAGAATGATTTTGTAAAAATCTTGTACAGCCACACAAAGCAGGCATATTATAGGGTAGTTCCGGAGATCCTCCCGTTGGCCTTTCTTGAAGCAAAGGATGTTTTTGAACTTCTTGAAGTTAGATTCTGTGGTGGTACTTTTCTGATGTGACAACGGCCATCGGCGTTTCGCTCTCATTCTTTAACGGGGAGAGGTCTTTTCGCATGGGGCTCTCAAGCGTTACCCTCATTTTGGCTTGTCTGAACACGTCACGCACGCCGCAAACCTTTCCTCCCCTTGCTTTGTTGAGGGAAGCCGCCGCAGGATGTGTCGCGCGCGGCGGTGGTCGTGTGAAAAGCATAACGGTCGTGCAAATAGCCCTACACCCCTTTAATGCAGCCAGCGGAACGTGGAGTTTACGTATTTACAGAGGTCCCTTAAGTACCTTTCAAAGGTAGCGTCCGCCCATTCATATTCCATGTTTTAATTGTTATCGGGCCTATCCATGGCGCTGATTTCTGATATGAGGTTCAAGTTAACAGAGGGTTCCAAGATTGCCCCTTTTTGAATCCCTATTTTGGCAGACGTGCACGAGCGCGCGGCGCTAGCCACGTTGTGCGCAAAAAACCTCGTCGTGTGCAACAGTGCCACATCACACCCTGTGATTTACAATGGCATACGTGATGGCTGAATAGAGGGCTATATATCGCCGAAAGGGAGTGGTCACGGACATCTGCAACAGGCCTCGCAGTCATTACTTCAAAATGTTTTGATGAAATACGTGCTTCAGCCTAGAATTGTTTTTCGTAGATCTTGTAAGGACTGTCTCCTTGCCACGTAAGATAAAAATTAACACGTTTGGGCCAGTTCGACTTGTTTTTTTTTTCAAAATCATTTCTGGCGAGGTACGAGAGCATTTAGACTCGAAAGCTGTTCAGAGGTGTTTGTTAAAAGCATACAGGGTGTCCCAAAAGTATGTATCGAACGTTTGATCGTTAATATCTCTCTTCCCAAGAACTCTTTTGCCTTGCTTTAAGTACCATTTTGTAGAGCTAGCTTCAACTTAGATTTGCATTATAGAACGAATCACTCATTCCTCTTCATTACTGTAGGATTACGGTAGAAACTTCAAAGAGGGTTTTAAGCAATGAAAGGCCATATTTTGCCTTAGAAAGGAAATAAAACAGCCTGAAAGTTTTCACACTAGGCTAATTAGAGTTGCTGATTATAACTGTAAAGTTCCCAACTTATTATGATGCTTCATTGAGGAGTTATGCCAGGTAAGAGGTAGCGGCCATTTTTTCAATGTTCCTAAAAAGTGCGATTACACCGTTTAGAAAGCTTTGTAATCTTGTGAATAGTTGAGTATTGAACTCAGCATCCATAAAAACCCTATTACACAAGTTTTCACAATTTTTTGAAGAATTTTGGAACTGCAGCTTTTTCCACATTGACACCATATGTTTCAAGTTTCTACCGTAATCCTACAGTAATGAAGAGAGATGGGTGATTCGTTCTTTAATGCAAATCTAAGTTGAAGCCAGCCCTACAAAATGGTACTTGAAGCAAGGCAAAAGACTTCTTGGGAAGAGAGATATTAACGATCAAACGTTCGATACATACTTTTGGGACACCCTGTATATTCTGAACGTTTATTAAAACATCGTGGTAGCTTTCAGCTTTCCGCCATCCGAATTTAACAGGGAAATAATATAAATGATGGGTCAAAGCACCTGGCTGCCATTGTTTCGCCTTTAGAGATAGAACAACATTCCACTCCCCTTTTTGCAATGTGTCCCAAAAATGGAAATTTAATGTATCTATTAAACACAAAATTTCATCTTAATAATGTTAGCTAAACAAACTATCGGATAAACCTGTTAAACATGTAGATGACATGTCAATTTTTTTAGGCGTGGTAGGAGGTTGACTCTCCATCAGGGCCCGGCACGCGTTGGTTTGGAGGTTTTTAGGAAACGAAGTCCCCCATGACTTCGCGAAAATTTACGAAGTCCCTCTCGACGTGAAAATCAGTAGGAAAACTCTTATTCAACCAAAATAGCAACAAAATCGAAAAAAGCGCATTTTGAGGTATGTAATATAACAAAAAAGCAAAAAGAAAACATTTCGAGTCGATTAAAGGCTCTGCCATTGGATAGTACCATTTTGATGCTGAGAATGTCGAGATTTCCTAGGCCAACCAAATCTGTAGCCTCAACAATCCTGCGATGCATTTATCGCCACATATTTCAAAGGACACCGCAAGTGATTGGAGCGCGATATCTATCAACGCGTAGATATACTACTTTTGACTCAAGAAAAGGGGAGAGGCAATGGTTTGATTCGCTGTGTTCACTATATTATAGATTCAGCGTTTTAATCGTCCAATTCAAAAAGGTTCAAAAACTTATGTGAAGTCTTCAATATTTATGCTCCGAACCAACCCAGTTGTTTGGTAGTTGGTCTAGAAACCAACAATTTCGAGAACGGATATTAGGACACATAAGTTTTGGGAACTTTTTACATAACATAGTTTGGAGTAATATTGTATACTCATAGCTCAAATTCGGAGCCATGTGATTGTTTGTGCGCTGTAAACAAGCCATTTGTTTGTTTGAGTCTTGCATTTGAAATTCGCGCGCTTGCGAAAGAACACGTTCAACTTGTGAAACCTGGCATGTTCGTCTTTTTAAAGCGCTTCCTCCAGGACCTCATAAAAACGATGTCCCCGTTGCTTTTAACTCCAAAAACGAAGTCCAGTTTGACCCCAAACCATCGGTGCCGGGGCGTGTTCTCCATATTCTGAAGTTTTTACCTAACTTGGTACAAGAAAAGAAGCAATACCTTTTTTGAGAAAAAAATAGGTCTGGATAACGGAAAAGTACCCATATTTGTTTCAGGTGTCTGTGAGCGTTGGAGCCTATCAGCGCATATAGTTCCCTATCCGTGAAAACTTTAAGGCCCGTATGCACGTACATCCCCGCGGGGAGGGGAGAGGATCTGAGAGGGGAAGCGTCATATCTCGCTAGTCTATGTATCTTTCTTCTTCTTTTTCTGTCTTGGTTTTGAAGGTTCTCATACACTGATACTTGCGCAAAACGGATGCCAGGTTACTGCCATACAAGATTAGATATTCACTATTTCGTCTGATCCCCTGGGGATCCCCAGGGGATCACCTCACATTTTCAAAGTTGTTTATTTTTCTAAAAACTCGATGAAAACGTTCTAAAATTGTACTGTGGACATACTACAGCACTGCTAAACATATTTATGGTAGAAATGAGTGAAATCTCAAGATATCAAAATCTTCGACGAACCGCTGCTCGCGAGCCAGGGATTATCGAAAAGATCAAAATCTTCAGATTCAATTTCTTCTGTCGAAAACATGCTCAGCAGTATCGTAGTATATCTTCAGTACAGTTTTACAGCGTTTTCATTCATTTTTCAAGAAGATAAACGACTTTGGAAATGTGAGATGATCCTCTGGGGATCCCCAGGGGATCGGAAGAAATAGTGAGTATTTAACCTTGTATAGCAGTAACCTGGCATCAATTATGCGCAGGTATAAGGGTATGAGAACCCTCATAAGCACAAAGAGAAGAAAGAAGAAAGATATCTAGAGCAGTAAGATATGGCGCTTCCCCTCTCATATCCCCTCCCCTACCCGCGGGGATGTACGTGCATACGGGCCTAAGACTCTTCTTGTGAATTACGTGTGTGCTTATGGTAGACACGGTAGTACTAATATAGAATACCTTGCCTTCAACGTGTTTTCCATATCCGTGCTATCACATGACTCTACTTTGTCGCTTCCTTAAAGGCAGTGTCCGGGCAAAAACTCGGTTTTTAGAAATCCATTTACCGGGGGTTATTCGCAACGCTGAATCCGAAAATCCACATTAGAAGGCGCAAATACGGCGAAAACAAACGTTTTCCAAAGCCGCACAATTTGAAATCTGACGGTCCCCACCAAGGCAGAGACGCAGAGTCGCTGTGGGACCCTACATTTTGACTGCGGCGGCATGCGTACTCTGCCCCATAGCAGCTCGGAGGACCCCGCCCCCAAGGCGTAAGTGTCCCCCTTCCTGGTCGTTTTTTTTGCTTTAGGTCGAGCGTTATGACGTCGCACTTGCGCGATGTTGTGCTGAGGGGGGCCACTCTTGCATGACACTCAAATCCCAAAGCCCACCTCGTGCCCGGACACTGCCTTTAAACGACAACTAAGACCTGCTTATATTAAGAATCACTTTTAGTAGTATCGGATATAATGATCTATTAGGTGGGTCCAAAAGTTCGTTCGCCGGTTTTTCAAAAAATCATAACTTCCTTTCTTCTCAACGGTTTTTCTCAAAATTGTTTCTGTTTGGAAGAGGAAACCTTTTTCTTTACAGCAGTATCTCTGGCATGAAATGGCGTGGGAAAGTCGAGAGTTAAAAGCAATTGAATAAATTTAACCAAGATCGACATTTTTCAAGCTGGATTACCAAAAATTCTGGAGGTATTTTTATTTGATAGAGAAAATTTTGCACATTATAGTGGTTCCTTTTTCATGAATTAAAACGAAATAGATCGAGAGTTAGAAGCAAATAAAGAGAATTTCTTCACTTTTGCAATTTTTGAGCATGCTCAAAAAAGCTTGAAAACGTCACAGAAAAGGCGAGGAAGTCATAAACATGGGTTTTGTGACCTTCCCTTTCCGGCTGAGCAAAAATCGTGCCAATCGGGAGCAAGTTTCATTTTTGTGAAAAACGCAGGCCTGAAAATCCGAATAAATCACGAAAATCAAAATTGCTCCCGATTGGCACGATTTTCACTCATCTAGAAAGGAAGGGTCACAAAACCCATGCCTATGACTTTTTCGCCTTTTCTGTGACGTTTTCAAGCTGTTCTGGGCATGCTCAAAAATTGCAGAATTGAAGGAATTCTCTTTATTTACTTCTAACTCTTGATCTACTTCGTTTTAATTCATGAAAAAGTACCATAATGTGCAAAATTTTCTCTATCAAATAAAAATACTTCCAGAATTTTTCGTAATCCAACTTGAAAAATGTCGATCTTGACTAATTTTATTCAATTGCTTTTAACTCTCGAACTTTCCCACGCCATTTCATGCCAGAGATACTGCTGTAAAGGAAAAGATTTCCTCTTTCATACAGATATAATTTTGAGAAAAATCGTTAAGAAGAAAGGAAGTTATGATTTTTTGAAAATCCGGCGAACGAACTTTTGGACCCACCTAATGTTTTGCGAGATTTTTGTGAACTTCTTCTTTCTTATACTCCTGAACGCTCATTTGATCTATGTCAATCACCCTACTCCTCAACAGGACTCATGTCGACACCGTTTCATACTTCCATTCTGTGAAAAAAACTCAAAGTTTGGTCAACTCTGCTTTGCTAATTTTATTCGCCGTATTGTCTCTTATCTGGGCACATTTTCGAAATCATCGAGATAGCATGTCACCATCATTCGCTTACCTACAATATCTCACGATCAGTATACCATCATCAAAATAGAGTAAATTCTTTTCTCAAGCCCAGTTTTTTAATTCCCTTATCCGGACTAGCTTACAAGTACAAACTGCTCCTCTAGCTGCATTATAACAGAATGCACCGTAATGAGCAAAAAATAAAAGATGCTTCCAGATTTTTGGAAAGATGCAAAAGAAATTTGAGGAATTAATGTTGAAGAATTACACATTACCAAAAATTGTATCTCCCTTGCAAAAACTTTGAATGCTTATTTTAGGCACAGTATCACGAAGCCCATCCACACAGTCCAATTCCAGTTCTTTTGAATGATGTATTTTTTGCGTTTCATGGTCTCGCTACATGCCTCGCAACCGTTGGACAGTGCTTTGTCTACAAGGTAACAGTACTCCATTAAAGTTGTGTTAAAGGCAGTGTCCGGGCAAAAACTCGATCTTGAGATTTTGTGCTTATACGGGCCTTTTCGCCATGCTGAATCCGAAAATCCACATTGGAAAGCGCGAAAACGGCGAAAAAGGGCTCTAACACAGGAGAGAAATCAGCAGGTGGGCGGGGCTTTCCCCAGTGCGATTTCACGCTCCCAGCTCCCGGAGCTATTTTCTCGATTCCGCTAGCCATCCTAACATCCTACCGGTCAAGTGCGAATGATTGACTTGAAACCGGAAGCGAGAAGGCCGCTCCGGAAGCCGGGAACGTGAATTCGCAGTGGGGAGGACCCCGCCCACCTGCTCATTTCCCTCCAGTATTAGAGCCCTTTTTCGTCCTTTTCGCGCTCTACAATGTGCATTTTCGGATTCAGCGTAGCGAGTAGGTTCAAGTAAGCACAAAATCTCAAAATCGAGTTTTTGCCCGGACACTGCCTTTAAAAAGTCTCTATTTTAGCGCGGAGGGCAACGGGTCTCACTTATTTGCATAGTCATTATGGTAATTTTGAGTCTTTATGCATTGGTCTCTGGACTTGCCATGGCCTGTGGTTATCTAAATATGCTCCAGTTCGTTACCAACTTATCTTTCATCAAAATGGCTGTCACTCCTCTCAAATACATCCCTCAGGTGAGAAATGCAATGAGATCAGCTAAAATAAAGGAACTATCTGATTATTCAGGTGCTAACTGTCTATCACTTATTACAACTGAAACACAAAACCAGGCAGATACTTGAGCGAGTTACATTAATATTTAGGCAATTCTCAACTATAGAAGGAAGAGCACTACTGGATGGTCTATAGGAAACAGGCTACTGGATTTTGCGGGAGGCGGCCTCGGCCTACTGCAGATGGGTTTACAGTGTTGGAATGTAGCCGATTGGACAGCATTTTATGGAAATCCCGTGAAATTTGGACTTAGTCTCGTTTCGTTGCTTTTTGACATATTGTTCATGATACAGCATTACATACTTTATCCTCAAAAAAGACGGAAAGATAGAAGTAGCGAAGGAGAGGAGAAGAATACTGACGAATCTAATAAATCACATGAGAAAAGTGACAGTACGAGTACAAAGGAAAGAACAACCAAGAATCGAAAAGATTCGCATGAGAAAAGTGATGTTAGGCAGAAAGAAAATGGAGCACAAGAAAAAGAGCAGATGGATGAAAGAGGTGATAAGAGTGACGCAGGGCAATCTTTGATGATGATTTTGTCGGCTATTTAATAATGCATTTTGAGCTTTTGAAAGCAATTTCTTCGAAAGATTTGACAATTATTAAAATAAATTATTAACTTTAGCGGTGTTGAAAACTTGATGCTAAGAATTTAAAATACTTTTGAAGCTACATTTACAAGGATGTCGATAAAGGGGAACGATAAAGTACTGAAGTTCCCAAATTCTTACACAAATATTCACCACTGGCGAAGAGTGTCAGGCATAAGGTTGGACAAAGGTACGAACTTTTTAATAGGCATGTTCTGAATCTTCAAATCTGCTTAGTATGTGCTGAGAGACTAAAGAGGTTGTGGGTTTTTCTTCATAATGTTTGCAAAATGCTTGGCTACACACTCTCAACGTAAGCACAACCAAAGGTTTTTGGACGTTATTTTAGGAATCAATTAGAAAAATCGGTAATGGTCATGATTTCTTATTCTGGAAATCGATGAAACTCTTATAACAACTGAGCTAAAAGCCCCATTCCAAGAAACCATAGCTTTTTGCAAATCTTGATGTACCCTAATTTCACGCGTACAAGGCGCGGGGTGGTCCTAGCTTTCATCGACCAGCCCGAACACGGCAAAGGACTTCGCAACCAAAGGAACCCCATACCGTGCTGCATTTTGCCTGACGAATCGTGCGGCATAAGGATCGCTTCTTAAAACACGTTGGGGCGGCTGAGCAGCTCGATGAAAGCTAGGACCACTCGCGCCTTGTACGCGTGAAATTAGGGTAATTCAATGTTTAGCTAAAATCCATACGTAAATAACATAGTAGGTTTTCAAAATTTACAAGAAAACTGCAGAGAAAATAAAACTCCACCTTCTAAGCTTGCTTAGTTCGTAAGCGACCCAGTTTATTCAGGTATTGTACATTCAGTTCTGCAGTACTGAAGCTAAGCAGAAAATAATCAGAACTTAATTCAGCTTCCAAACAAATTATCTAGCATCGGACTCGCCTTCAACGTTGATCACAAATATACGTTTATATATTGCCGAACGACTATTTGGAAAGAGTTACGAGCGCTTGAATGTACAATTTGTTAAGCATTCTGCTCCACGAAAAACCTCTTAAAAACACTGTTTAGGTTTTTGGTTAATGTGCTTCTTTCTTGTAATACTCATAATCACTGTTAGTATGCGCATTCAAACTGCTTTGCAACGAATAATATCCATTGAAACTTGGAATTCCACATATTCGAACTCGGAACTTCTTCCAGAAAGTCGTTCGGCAAATAATAAACTTACGTTTGAAATCAGCGTTTCAGAGCGGGTCCAATAATATAAAGCTTGTTTGGAATCTGTATTAATCTATATATATTAGGTTGGTCCGAAAGTTCTTGCGCATCATTTTCAAAAAGTCATAACTTCCTTGACACTAGATGGATTTCGTTGGGATTACATGTATTCGAAAGAGGAATCCATGCTCTTTACAGCAGTACCTCCGGCATGAATTACTCTGGAAAACTTCAAGAGTTAGAAGCAGTTGAATAAAATCAGTCAAGATTGGCATTTTTCGAGCTGGGTCACGAAAAATTCTGAAAGTATTTTTATTTGATAGAGAAAATTATGCTCATTACAATGGTACCTTTTTCATGAATTAAAACCAAAAAGATCGAGAGTTAGGAGCAAATAAACAGAATTTCTTCAGTTTTGCAATTTTTGAGCATGCTCAAAAAAGCCTTAAGACGTCACAGAAAAGGCGGGAAAGTCATGAATATGGGTTTTGTGACATTCTCTTTCTAGCCGAGTGATTTTCGAGCTAATCGAGAGCAATTTTGTTTTTCGTGATTTTTTCGGATTTTCGTGCCTGCGTTTTTCACGAAAATCAAAATTGCTCTCGATTAGCTCGAAACTCACTCGGCTAGAAAGAGAAGGTCACAAAACTTATGTCCATGACTTTACCGCATTTTCTGTGACGTTTTCAAGCTTTTTTGAGCATGCTCAAAAAATGCAAAACTGAAGAAATTCTGTTTATTTGCTCCTAACTCTCGATCTTCTTCGTTTTAATTCATGAAAAAGGTACCATTGTAATGAGCATAATTTTCTCTATCATATAAAAATACTCCCAGAATTTTTCGTGATCCAGCTCGAAAAATGTCAATTTTGACTAATTTCCTTCAATTGCTTGTAATTCTCGAAGTTTCTCAAAGTAATTCATGGCGAAAGAAGAGCTATAAAGAGCATGGATTCCTCTTTCGAATACATGTAATCCCAACGAAATACATCGAGTGTCAAGGAAGTTATGATTTTTTGAAAATAATGCGCAAGAACTTTCGGACCAACCTAATATATATATATATATATATATATATATATATATATATATATATAACTCAATGTCTGTGAGGATGTTCGTTTAGTTGTTCGTTCGTTATAGAAACGCGCGCCACTAAACCGATCCGGCTGAAACTTCGTACACGTATGTTTTCGACCCCGGCGGTGGTTTAGAGTTACTTTCCGCGGCGATTCGCCGAGCCATTCTATCGATTTATTGATTTGTTTACTCAAACCTAAGAAAATGAAGGCCATCATGGCAACCGATCATTTTTACATATAAGCATGTAAGCACGGGCGGTAAAGTTCATTCTAATCTCAAGGCTGACAGGATGCAGCGGGTTCGTCTCAAAGCGCTTTTCGCGCAATGTAGAAGTTAGAAAGTGTAAGTATGTTGGCTTCCAGATTCGTGTGGGCGGGCTGCGGACTTCAGTGACTTCAAGGATAAGCTCGACGAGAAAGTACGAAATTTAATGCTTTAACGTAAAGATTTAACAAGTCTATCCTAAAGATCAGGGAAGTTTGCAACCCGCCTCTATACGAATGGGAGCCGATGACATATTGGTTAAACTAAGACTTCCGGGTGAGACCGGGACTATCAGCTAGTAAAAGATAATTTGTATTTTCATTACACTTTCACTCCGTTTCGTTCCTTCCCTTAGACGGAGTTTTGACTTGATTACTGGATCCTCCCCGGAACTCCTCAGTAAGGAAGGAAGACCCAGTATCAAGTAGAAAGTTTGTATCTAGTAAATTTTTTCAATGGTTAAGTAGAATATAAAAAACCAGTGCGTCACCTCTGCTTCGCAGAGGCTCGCACTGGCCCTACTTTATCTATGCCTTACTCATTCCCGCATAATAATTAGATTGAAACTCACCGCGCTCTGTAGGCTATTACGAATGATTCGTAAACAGCTACTCATTCCTAGAGGTTTTTCGAGTGAAATCGGTATTTTCGCGTGGATGAAATCTTTACCAAAAGAAAAAAATGCAAATTTGAATAAGTTTTTGAAATTTTCATGGTTTCATAGTCGCCATAAGGACAATAAACATGGTGGGCTACATCTCTGTGCAAAAATCTTTTCAAATGATCAGGTAAAATCTCGAAAAATTGACCGTTTGCACATCCAATGCTTTTTGGCGCCGTTTTCGTAAAGTAGTAGACTTTTCATCACTTTTTTAGACTAAAGTCCATGGCTTGCACATTAATTTGTCAAATATATCCATAACTCTGCAAAAAGTAGTACTACGGACCCAAATTTGCTGGACAGAAGCCAAGTGGATCCGTTTGACGCGCAATTTTCAACGGATCCACTCAACGGATCCGCTCATGCTTTTGTATAGTGAGCTTTCATGCTGGTAGCGTGCACTACGCAAAATTTGGGCTCAGGACGTTGGCTGGAACACGCGCTACGAATTTCGTAACGGACAGACACACACACAAAAAGACGTAAACAACCCTTAGCCCGTTATTATAAGTCACCAGTGCTTCACCTCTGCTTCGCAGAGGTTCGCACTGGCATCGTGAACCGTGGTAAACTCACTTTCTGAGAGCTTGTCCTCAAATCATTTTTCGGTTTATTGCAACGTGAGCCGTAGTTAAAAATGAACCATACTCGCTATCTTAACCTCACATGATCTTTAGTATCGTAAATCATTCCTCACTGTAATTTCGTAACGGACAAACTCCACACAACTTCAGATTAAGCCGCTTATTATAAGTCATGATGATAGTATGACTTACTTTTTGATACGTGGTTTCTACTATAAAACCGCTCCGAAAGTTGTAAGTAGATAAATGAAGTTACCAAAGTATTGTATCAAGCTATTATTGTTTATATCGTTTATTACTAATTCATATTTCCATTTTTATAGATTTTGCAATTTTTCGGTTGGATAATTGTAATTATTATGTATACAATCTGTTATACTTGTGATATTTCAGTTAAAAGTTTATTTTTTGTTTTTTCGTACATACAGGGTGTCCCAAAAAAATGTGAACACTGTTTGATCGTTAATAACTCCCTTGCTTTCATGTCTTTCGCCGAGCTTGAGGCACCATTCTGTAGAGCGAGGTTCAACTTAGATATGTAGTATGAAGCAAAACTTCGATCCCACTTCGTTACTGTAGGATTACGGTAGGAAATTCGACAAGGGTTTTAGGCCGTTGAAGGCCATTTTCTGCCTCGAAACAGAACCAAACAAGCCAAAATCTTATGTACTATGGTAATGGAAGCCGCTGACTTCGAATATGAAATTTCCACTTTACTACAATGCTTCCTTTCAAAGTTATCCTAGGTAAACTGTAATAATTGACTTTCCAGCATGTGTCAAAATTGTGACTACATCATCAAAAAGGCCAAGAACACTCGTAAAAAGTTGTGTAGTGGAATCAGCGTGCGCAAAAACCTTATTACACGATTTTTCAGATTTTTTGGAAAAATTTGGTCAGATGTCATGTTTTACAATGGTTCCACATGCTGGAATTTCTTACCGTAATCCTACAGTAACGAAGAGCAAACGGTGGTCCGCTCTATACTATAAATCTAAGTTGAACCTCGCTCTACAGAATGGTGCCTCAAGCTCGGCGAAAGACGTGAAAGCAAGGGAGTTATTAACGATCAAACAGTGTTCACATTTTTTGGGACACCCTGTATATTTATACAGAATAAATTTGTTTCTATTTATGCATTTAAATATACTTGACGAGATAGTGTATGAATCATATTGGTTTTTAGAAGTGTTAATTTGAGTTGTGTAACTTTGTTGATGAAATCATTGAGTAAACTACATGTACGTGCTATTCTTAATGTTCCAGTATATATTGTAGCTTTTTTAATGTTATTAGCAATATTAGAAGAGGAGTGTATGAATTTTTTTACAGGAAATTTAAAATCATCTGTTTTGTTGTATAGTTTGGTTACTATTTTATTATTTCTTATTTCTATGTCAAGATCTAAATAGTGACATTTATATTGATTTTCATGAGTTGATTCTATAGTACGTGTATCTTTAAAAGCCTTTCCAATTATATTTTGTATCATCATTTTCCATATTATGTATAATTAATAAGTCATCCATATATCTATATGAAATAAATCATTTGTCATTTGTAATATTATTTATTGAGTATATGTATTCTAACCAGGAAAGTGTGAGATCTGCTAAAAGAGGGCTGAAGTTACCTCCCTGAGGTACTCCCACTTTTTGTTTCAATATATATGTACTGAATTTACAAAAACTGTTATCAATTATATAATCTGTTAGGTAAAGTAAATGTACAACTGAATAAAATTTTGTGTTTGGATTTATATTTATTATGTTATCTGTGTAAAAGATTTTATTTTGTTTATGTACGATATATTTTTTACCAGCGTTTTTGAAGCATAATTCAAGTATTTCACCTATATTGAATTTGATTATATTGTGTGGTAGAGTGGTAAACATATTTGTAAAGTCTGCTGAGTAAAGTTGTTTATTATTCATGTTGATATTCGTAAGATTATCGCTGATATCAATGTTATCTATAGCCCAATAGATAAGTTCTATTTCCTGCTAAGATTGGATTTTTTCCTGCAGTACAAACATTTCGCGCGACTTTCGCTCAAAATATTTATGAGCTGTAAGTTCACGTTTACGCGTACAAACTTTTTTGCCTTTTCCACAAATACGATTTGCATGGATCACCTTCGCAGTCTGCCTACAATTTCGTTTTCGCCTAGTGGACAATATGATTACTGTTCATTCCCTGTAAAGAAAGGTGGATGGATAGTAGTAACCAACACGTAGATAGGGAGGACCAAGGGGCGGGGGAGAAAGGTGCGGGTCGAGTTGCGAAATTGCAAAGGGTACCTACATGAATTAAGAAAATGTGCAAGACTTCTTTATACTTCTAAATGATTGCAGTAATTCTTGAAATTTTCTTTGAAGATTCTATTCAGCTTTCTGCCGCCATGCCTCCTTTTATTCAAATTTCGGAGTTACAGGCCCGCAGGAAACCCGAACACCCCAGAAGAATTTTTGGAGGGAGTGGCTCACGCCACGTGCTTCCGCCCAAGGAAGTTTTTTTGTCTTCCCCTTCCCCCCCCCCCCCTCGGAAGGATTTCCCGATGGGACCGCCATTAGTCCACAAGTATAGGCTGCTGCATCACGAAGGCGCAATATCGGGTGGAGGACATTAGGTCGCCGAAAGAGGACGGTCCCCGCGTCATTTGCGACAAATACGCACCCTTGTGGACAAGCGTCCCTGCAGGGAAACCGCGCGGGACTCTTCCAAATTCGGCGACCTAATGTCCTTCACCCCGCAATATCTGCTGGCGCGAGCGCAGCTTTATAGCCGCAGAGCGCGTGAGGCGCAGATTGTACAATGGTGAGGATATGCGCGCGTCGCATTCGCCTCCGCTCCACTACTCAGACATTCGCAGTTAAGTCCCGCCGGAGATCCGCCCACAAAATGAGAATTCGCGAGAAAACCGGGAGTCTTGCGGACTCCCGGTTTTGTCCCGACTTTCGGGACAATCCTGACAGTTAAAAAGTGGCGGGAGATTACCGGGAGTCGCGATCGTCGATTTTGACGCTATTGCGCGTCAGTATCGATTCATTCCTATTTCCACACAGGCTGTTTTTCCTCGCACACGACGGATTTTCTCGATTTTACATCTTTTTACTCCTTGACTGACTTGTATGATCCAGATCCAGGTATATCGTGCCCTCCACAAATGCTGCTACCCCCTTGGTGTGCTCTCATACCAGCCATGTGGTAACATGTGGCAGCGCAAAAACATGTTTGCAACATGCCACAACATGTTGACAGAACATCTCAGCCACGCCAACATGTTGTGACATGTTGCACCGCAGCAGCACCGCTTCCGCAGCAATTTTTCCATTTACGCTCTTGCCGTCGTCGGAAGTGGTTGTGTTCGCAACTTCTGATTAGATACCTCTAACGTCGTTATTTTCAGCCGTCGTGATGCCAAGTATGCTATGGATCGAGCTGACGGACGTTGGGTTGAAGGTCGTGAAAGTAGGTATTCTGAATTAATTATATGTAGATCATGTACGGCGCTTTTGCATAATCCCAAGTTAATGCATGCCATCCAAAACAAGAAATCCAAAACTTTGCATGCAGACAATCCGGTAAAAAGGGAAGATTTCCGCATCTGCAGAACCTGCCCGAAAGTCTGGTCACATTTTTGATAAGTGAGTGATTGATGGTCTTTCTTAAAATTCTAAAATAGATCTTCCAGATTTCGTTCTTGATGGTGTTGGCCTCTACGCAGAAGAACTGCTGCTGAGTGCTATCGAATGCGCGCGGCAAAGAAATAGATATAGATAGAAGTGTTTCTACCCCTTGATATCCCATTGATCTAGGTTTTGGCTGGGCCTAGGGAACGACGATGAGGCTAGGACGAAGACGTTTTACAAGTTGTCGGAGGCGAGGATGAAGCTTAATGGATTAGCGAGTGGCTACAGGAAGAGCTTTGTGGGTTTCTTTTAAAGATAGTCTTCATAAATCTATTGAATTTGAAGTTCAGAGGAAATGCGCGCCTACCATTTTGATGCTGCTAAGGAGACGCTGCCGCCACCGTCGGTAATATTCATATATGATTTTTCAAATTAGTGTTAGTTTGTTATTTTTTTCCAGAAAAGTGTTTTTGCCTACTCCACGCAAGATTCTTTGGCGCACGAGCAGGCTAACTGTCGGAGCATGAGCAAGACGAAGAGAACGAAAATATGAAGTCGAATTATGGAGTTTGAATTATGGATTCAATCTCACACACTGATCTCGACATTCCTGTTTTTTTTCTGTTAACTTAGTTATAGTGATTTCAATGTTCTTTTTCTGTCACGATTGCTAATAAAGAGGGTTTCTGAACTCTGTGTCGAGCATAGCACCTTTGTAAGATGTGTGTAGTACAAATTTTTGAAGGAGAACCAATTTTAGAAAAAGCCCAGCCGGAAGCTGATCGAATCGCTGCTATATCGCGTCTCCCGCAGGAGAGTGCAGTCTAGAACGGTAGTCCCGCCGGTGACCGAATCGCGACATTATCGGGACTCCCGCAGGAGCTCCCGGTTTTCTCAGTAGAAAAACTGCCGGGACAAAATCGCGTGTCCGGTTTTCTCGCGAACGAAGCAGTCATTCCGGCGGGACACAACTTTTTCACCGGCGGGACTTAACTGCGAATGTTTGAGTACAACTGCTTCTGCGCCTTCGTCATGCAGTACCCTTAATGTTAATTCTCACTTCCCGTCTTCTAAGGCCAAGCGTTGAGCAGATTAGTCAGAGTTTCTCCTTACATCTACAGTAATAGCTCTAATTGTAAGAAGCTTCCTAGAGGCACATAAAACTATTCCGAAATTCAGTGCTCATTGTAGTTCTGGAGTGAGTTTGCCCAGATAATCGTCATTTCAACGAAATCCAAGCAAGACCATCGTGGGTCACGTTATCGTTAGTGTGGTTGGGGATCAGAGTCAGCATAGTAAAGGCCCAAATTCAGTTTCCACGTGAAAGCCGCGCGTACCAGATTTGTCTGTATACAGCCTCCAAAGAAGGGTAAGAATAATTGCTTTGAAAACAAAGCGAAGTTTTTCAAAAAAGCAAAATTTTCCGAAAGAAATTCCATGGAAGGCAATAGCTCTGAGATGCTTTCAAACAACAGAGTGCAACGCCGCGTAAGCTCTTCCACTGATGTCTGGTATTGAGTTTGCACCTGTTGGCACCGCACCTTTGACAACACACTCTCACGCGATGAAAAACAGCTGGATATCGAGCTGCCTGGACAATGTGCGCTTGCACTTCATTGTTCATGTAAAAATCCAAAATAGTACTGTTTTATTTCGTCCTCAGCGCACCATTTCCTATTTCGTTCGTTTTTGGAACGTTTTGAAATTTTGGGGTTTTCAAAGTTTTTTCAATCAGTTTACCCTTCTGTTATTCAACAAATTTTTCGCCAGCCTAATACGTTCACTCCACTCCACTCTCATATCGTGTCTACATAAGCCATTTATTACGTTGTACTACATTTGCGTCCCTTTACATGCTTATGATTGTTATTCTCATCTTCGCTCAGTGTTTTTGATGCACCTTGAATGTTTGACTGGGTAACCAGCAGAGTACCCGCTATCGATGGCTCTATACCACATTTAGCAAAAATCTGCAGTCTGCAGCAAACGTTTTTCGCGCTCAAAAGTACAGAGGCCGTATTCATCATTAAACCTGAGGTAAATTTTACCTTGAGGTAAATTTTACCTCAAGGTAAATCCTACCTTGAGCAATTCCTACTCATCAACGTACCTTGAGGTAAATTCTACCTTTGCCAACCTGATATACACTGACGTCTGTTTAGAGCAAGCTATGACGTCTTAGCCGTGCATAAAGTTTTTTATTGCCAACAGAGCTTTTGCTAAGACAAAATTTATTGCTAACTGTGTCCTTCGAGCCCGAGATGACATGTTTTGACAGGGAGACGGTTCGAAGTACCCTTACATGTTTGAACACGATAAAATGAGAATGTCTCAGGTCTTAAAGGATCAAAGGGAATATGTGGCCATTTTGTTCAAAATACATATTTTGACAAAACAGAGTTCGCACCTAATTTTCGAAACTTATAAGAGTAGGATAGCAAGTTGCAGTGACCTCGAAGAAATATGTACAGGGTGTCGCAAAGTCTTTCAGCCTAAGTTTGCAACAGTGTAACTTTGTTGAATCTTTTGCATTCGAACCAAAGTGGCAGGTGGGTTTGTCGTAAAGATGACATTACTCCAAAAAAATTGGTATCCATCGTGCACAAAACACCGGTTTCTCTTCATTAAAGAATTGTAGAAATAAAACATAAATTCTTGGAATGGTCCTGCCACTAGGAAAGAAAAACTCTTCGGATGCGAAAGCCCGAAAAAGCTGAAATGTAATACCAATCACTTTAAGTGGCAGATTTCGGTTATAAGATTGCATTTTCTACCAAAACATCGTTGGATAATCACGCCGGTCACTTTATAATCACTGTTTTTTTTATAGTGCTCAGGAAGTTTATATAAGTTTAGTTTCTGAGTTTGAAAGGTTCTTATCCTGTTTGGTCTTGCACTATTTACCTGTTTCTTGGCCCCTTTTAAAGTCTGAAACGATGATTGTCTCGAAAAAAAAATAAAAAGAGAACTTGACCTGCCAATAACTTTAAGCTTGCAGACCTCAGTGATTTGTCAGGAGCTTGTGGCTGGCGCGTGGCGCTTTTGCCCGCTTTCAATGCTTTTCGGCGCTTTTGGACACTTCGGAGTTCTTATCGGCAAATTTGGCCGTCCTTTAGAAAAAGAACTCTGATTCTTTCAACACATCCTTCCCTGCTTCCAACTAAAATGATGATATTAGAATGAACCCTACTGCAATACAATTTACCTTAAGCTGTACCGCAAGGTACAATTCACCTTAAGGTATAATTTTCGTATTCATCAAAGTCTCTCTCTCAAAGTTAGATTTACCGGTGCCAAGATGATTAGGACTGACGTATATAAGGAGCATGGCATGACACACTTGCAGGAAATTGATTTCTTTTGTATTTCCGTGATATTTTCACAAGGAACGTGTTAATATATCGGTTTCAGAGTTTTACAATCAATGATTTTGAGACTGTACAGTCTATATAAGCAACTATTTAGAGCTCAAAGGGGGTTTACCTTGCACATTTATCAAGAGAGTAGTCTTAACAAAAGCTTCCAAGTTGTCAAAGTAGTTTTTTCATAGTTAGGTTTAAGTTTATGCCTTTTTTTCTGCCTTATTTGATGAGGTTTTTACCGATGATGTTTTTTCAAGTACTTTGCGAATTTTTATGGTGTGCAAAATTCCGCCAAATTTTTTTGCCTCGTTCTGAGTTCTTTCTAGTTCACACAGGCCCGATTATCCCAAAAGTAGTGAAGTTTCGACTTCCAAAGCTTCAAAATCATCATCATTGAAAATATGTACAGAAGGTTCCCTAATGGGTCATTTTCGGGGTTTAGGGAATATTTTTTGCTCAAAGCTATAAATGTTTAAACCCCCATGTGTGCTTTGTGAGTAAATGAAAAGTTGAGATAAAATTTTTTTGCTCAACCAGAAACATTTGTCTATTTTTTGCATTCAACAGCTAGCTCTTTCTTTCTGCTAAAGTGCGGAACAGTGTGTGTTAGAGATACAAAAATTTTGGTGAAATCATCCTTTGAAATCCGATATGACCGGTCAGGAAATGGGATCGAGGGTTATGTTGCAGTACACGTCACCATTTGGTAATCTTATATATAAAGCTGAATGTCTGTCTGTATGTATGTATGTCTGTCTGTCTGTACGTATGTGCGGAATAGAAATTTTTATTTCTGAACCGATCGGGACCAAACTTGGCACACATATACTTCGGGGCAGGGAGCGTGTCATAGGCTACTTTTCGTTATCGATCGATGTCGATTTCACCGATTTTTTGCAAATTTTGAGCTACGGGGCTGGGATTTTGCACAGGGGGGTAATCGAACATGCTGATCACCCCCATGTTCGATTACCCCCCTGTGCAAAATCCCAGCCCCGTAGCTCAAAATTTGCAAAAAATCGGTGAAATCGACATCGATCGATAACGAAAAGTGGACTATGACACGCTCCCTGCCCCGAAGTGTATGTGTGCAAAGTTTGGCCCCGGGCGGAGCCGGGTTTGCCATCTAGTGCCTAATAAATCTGAAAATGTTTTCAAAGTAGTTTCATCAAGCAACTTCGACTTTATGATTAAATACAGCTAGTGTGCTCAAGATGCTATGAAAGAGATTAACTCCAGCGTATGACCACATCCATAAAAGCGTTTGTTAAAATGTATAAAGTTTCTAAGAATATACACTGAAATGTTGTCTTAAGTTCGTTCAACCCCCATAACTCGCAATAATCTTAACAAAATTTCGCAAATTGCCACAGTGGCCTAATTTGTTACTGCATTACTCATGCAACTAGCTTCCGAGGGTCTATAGATCTCTAAAGGTATCCTTCTAACCTTGCCTCCAGCAGGTTTAAAGTTGCATTGAAAATACCTTGAGGTAAAATTTACCTCAAGGTACTTTCCATTCAATACTTAAACACCTTGAGGTAAATTGTCAAGGTAAAATTTACCTTGAGAGAATTTACCTCAAAGCACCTTTACGAATACGGGTTTTTGCTGATAATGAGTGATAATACTACCTGGAGGTAGAATTTACCTCAAGGTATCAATGATGAATACGGCCACAGGTCAGTCATAAATTCGTGACTCGAATGCAACTGCGACCCTACGTCAACAAAAACGTTACAAGAGCATAAAACCTTAAAGAAAGACTTTGCTTTAGTGCTCACGTCTTTCTGGTATCTAAAAGTCATCGTGCTCAAGTAAAAGACGATTAGAAGGAATGGAAAACAAGAACATGCAACGTGAAAGAAAATGTCGAAACGCGCGCGGCTGCACCATCGTCAGATTCTGTGAACGGCCTATAAATCACACGCATAACAACGTGGCGTTCCTCAAAACAAAGTGCCATGTCAGCATTATAATTTCGGTATTATTCCACATTAAGTGACCTAAAAAACGAAAATTGTGAATTTCGAACTTCGTTTTGCGCTGAACACGAATATGATGTTTATTTCGCGCGGTAGTGCCATCCGGTGGAGTTACAGTGGAATTACGATAGGGGTCAAAATCACGGATTCGCTCAAAACTTCGTCTAGGAGGTTATCACGTGAAAAATATGATTTTTATTCCGGGTTAAAGATACATTGGCTGGGCATGTATTAGGGCGTTGCATAAGTTCTGTCCGATTTTTTTTCCTCATGTTCGAAGCAGCTGTTCTAAGAGAATTTATCTCTAAGCGGTATTGTTAGTATCATTAGAAAGTGCTTTTCTTGCGCTTTCTAAAGCATATCAAATTTCAATAAATTTCTTAGTGTAAGGGGATTTCGCCTAAAATCTCCAAGTGGCCGAGGTAAGTCCTCCCCCTGAAAATATGTTCTTGCGAGTAAATCTCCACAATGCGCCCTTCAAGTCAGGTTCTTTCATTGGCCGCGGAATAAGGGTTTAAAAGGCTAATATATGCAGAAGCTAAGTTCTAGGAAGAAAACGTCTTGCTAGTAAAAGTTATCGTCGAACATTGATCCTTTGTATAGGTGGTTTACAAGCAATAACTTTCTGCGAGTAGAAGTAATCGATGAGTTCAAAGTTGGAGGTGCTAGGGTAAAGCAAGAGCTAGCAGGGCCCATCCACCAATTCCTTTTCGGCGCTCACGTCAACTGTAAAATTTTCATAACCATAAATAGGCACGCACACATGCGCTGAAGCGAGGTCAAAAAGTGGCTAATTTTTTGTTCGGTCAAAAAACCTCTCGGCAGCGCAGATCCAATGGACTCTTTCACGTTGCAGAATAATCTACGAAAATTTCTCTATCTGTCCATTGTTAGATTAGATGCCTACCAATTCTCATAAGGGAGCATTGCCATGTCAAAAAAGACAAGTTTGAAGGAAAACGTAGTGAAGTTTTTAAGTTTTTGCTTCTTCCTTAACAAGGATTTTCGCAGGTTCTAACATGTATCTGATAGCCAAGGAATTGCTCAACACATGGAAATCAAGATCTTGGGAAAAAGTTGACTTTAAAAGAAGTTATGACATTTTGAACTCAAAAAATTCAGATCGGACAAAACTCATGCAACAACCTAATGCTAGACAGTACTGGTCATGTATTACTAGACCAGACGATGTTCAGGATGTAAAAAGTCACTTGCCTGCGTTTAGCTTTGAACACCAGCGCGCGAAGCTGTGAAAACATTAGGTCCCGAAGCGCTATGCGCTGGCGCGGGCAATTAGATTTCAAAAGCCTGTAGAGGTTTGAGCCATTAACGATTCATAGCGAATAATGGTGTTTTTCGTGCTTTGGCCCTGCGTAGTACGGAGGATGAATTGAGGGAGAGATTGTTTGGTACGCGAGAGAAATCTATGTACAGTTTCTAGAGACAGGTAGCGATCTTTACCTCGTCTCCTGCTGACAGCCTTTTGTCTCAACGGCCTTCTTTGAGGCCACAAAATCTGTAGTGAGGTTTTCCTAAATTTGCAGACGATAGCAAACGATGCCTTAACAATGCGGACAATTTCGGGGAATAATCCGTGGTTTAGGCCCCCTACGTAATGTCGGCCCAGAAGGGAGCATGCATTGGAAAGGTTAACTCTCATATCTGTGATTGAGAGTGAAGAGAAGGGAAAGGTCTGAAGAGCGTGGATGTTCCCTAGAGCAAACGCTTTTTGTCAGTGTTCATTTCTTCCTATCATTAACAATATCAATGAAGCGTAAAGTTTTTAGATCACAGAATAGCCGGGCAAGGCCGGGTACACCCGCTAGTAAAGTTATATTCACAGTCTGAAACCAACTCCAAAGAAGCCACCCTCCTTTGCAATGCTGTGATTTCAAAAACATTTCAATCCTTAGAACATTTGAAAATCGAGAACAATTCTGCATCATTCCACCTACTTTTCGGATGTTAAGCGGCACATTCACTATCACTTTCTCATAGATTTCGTGTCAATGCACATGGTAAGTGAGAAGCCTCACTGGATAGAAATTTTTTTCTCTGTTGAAAGCCATTTAGCTGGTACCACAGAGGATCTCCTCGCTTACGTTTGTTTTTGTACCGCGTTCACGAACGGCTTTCTGATCATTTCATCACATTTGAGCATAGGAATGGCTCAAGCTTCGATAGCTAATCAGGCCTGGAAAGATGAACAGAGCGTACATCCGCGATGCGATCCAGAGTCGCTTGAGTCGAACTCACTTCAGATGAGGCAAAAATTAAGTTGAATAGATTTTCCGCTCAATAGTGTGCTTGCGCGTTAACAAATAGCTACAGCGTGTGTGTCCCGGCCACTTCCCATGTGTACCTCTGCGATGCGCTTCTTGTTTCAGCTTTCAATGGAATGCCTTGCTTCTCTCCCTTTTTTAATTTTGCTGTATTTTAACTCTCTATCTACAAGCGATCCATGACAGTAGTCGGTAACGATTTTTTGAGTCCTTAGTAGTCATGAAAGCTTCTGTGTTGAATGTTTCTCTTTTTGTGTAACTAGGATTTGGGTGGATCCTGGGGATTATTTCTTCAAGGGCTTTTTTTACAGAAGCTTCTCGCTCGGTTTAATTTTGTAAGAGACGTTTTAGTCAAAATGAAGCCTTTTGACAAGCCGGTAGGACTTCCTATATACAAACATGCACTTTTACTCGACTATTTGAGTTTTCTAACACGGGAACCGTGTAGAGTCGAAGTGGCCTTTCCAGATGAGACCCATACTGCTTTGAAGAGTATTAAGCGGTGATTCCAAATCTGCCTTCCAAATCTGCCAAGCGCCTCTAGACGCCGAGTTATGACCGTTCTTCGGAACGAAAAATGAATGCAGAATCTAGATAAAATTGATTGTTACAATCTTTCCAGCGCTCATATAAAGCAATGTTAAGTGTTAGCATTTTAAATAAAATGTATCCATTGCATAAACAGCTCTGATACTTGACACTGGACCACTTGAGGAAATTTGGGCGATTTTGCTTCAGTTTTGCGTTCAATTTTTTGACCTGAAAAACCAGCATAACTCGGCGTCTAGAGGCGCTTGGCAGGTTTGGAAGGCAGATCTGGAATCACCGATTGATGCTCTTCAAAGCGTATTGGTCTCATTTGGAAAGGCCACTTCGACTCGACACGGTTCCCTTGTAAGTTTACAGAAGGGAAATGCTTCAAAAATGATGCTATCCCCCTTCTACTAGATACTTATTATCACTCATCTATAAATGGGAGCTGTTGCACTGTTTTGACCGAAATGAGGTAGTAATGAGAAAACACGTTCTATTCTTGCATAGACATCCATCAAGTTGTATGAGATCACACTTCTCATTCCTTCTATGTGGGCGTAAAAATGCCTTCCTACTCATAAGCGAGGTGAGAAGCATCAAGCCGAGCGTACGCCGCGAGCGTGACGCGGTAATACCTATAGGAAGCTGGCAGGGACACCACCATACGCCTGTAATGCAACTTGCGTTGACTTGGCTGGCGGAACGGGTAGGGGATTATACGTCGCCGATAGGCTCCATCCCACTTAGCAGCTGGTAAATCTGTGTTATCTGCAACCTGCATAGGTGCGTGGTCTGTTGCAGATGTCCGCCTGGGACCATCTCCCTCCGGGACATATATTCCTTCACCGGCGGCCTATAGTCCTCTCCCCGCTCAAGCGCGGGGAAAGGACTATAGGCCGCCAGTATGCGCCACCTACTCGGACTGCTAGCACGAGTGTGATGGAGATAAACGCACTGGTTGCAGGCGGCGACCTAATGTCCTACCTCTCATCCACAAATTCTGCTTAATAGCCAGCATTGCGAGCTGAGTAGCGAAAGGTCATCTAGTAGCGAAGTAGCGAAGCAAAAAAGCAAGGAATCCCTTCGTCATCAAGAAGTACCGTTGTTCTCACCATTGGCATAGCTTCTTTGAACAATACAGCAGTGCATAATAAAATAGTTATATTAGGGCGAGCGGGAAGTAATGGAACACTTCGATTTTTTTGCAGTTTCGATGATTTTTTTTCTGATAAATAATAAACAACAACAATGAAGATACAATTGTATAAAGCGATCTTCGCATGTTATCATAGCAAAAACTTGCAGCTCATATCCTACAATCCTTTGCGCGGTGCTTCCAAAAAAGCAGACAGACTTTTTTTGAACGCCATCAGAATTTGTACTGCAGTGCCTTAAAGTTCTGGGCATATGACATACCATTAAAAGAGTTTTTCAAGCTCTTTCTAATGATCGCTTGAACCTGCAGAAATTCTTCATCACTATAAAAGATGCAGATTATCCGTAAAAGTGCAATATTTGGCTCAGATCTTCAGGCTACAAAACGTGTTTGGACCCTTTTGCGAGGTTTCCTCTCGAGCTAAAATGGGTACTACTGTTGGGGCGTAAAAAGCCTATCAGATGCTTTTCGTCAAAGTTGAGCCCATTCGATCACCTCGATGAGAGAATAAATAATATTAGTTCGTTCCGAAAGTTCTTTCCGTTTTTAATCTGTCATAAAAATTCATGGAATAAAGATAGGTGTCCAACGCAGTTTTTCTTCTTCTTTTTGACTGTCATGCTTCTGTGCTAGTGATTCTCATGGTTACTGAGATAATCGCCGATTCGGACACATGGTTTTTACCATATCCAAATTTGGCAATTTTTTACCTATCTTCTTTTTTGACTTTTGGAAAAGCTTTGATAACAGTCAGATAGAGTAAACAAAGTGCAATGCAATGCAATTTTTTAGTACCTATAGCTAGCCTCAAAACATCTCTAGAATTATTTTTCTGATGCCATCAAATTCTACTTTCGGTGATAGAGCCATAGAACATAAAACGGAGCACAACTAAGGAGTCATTCGATGCAGCTTTTTCTCCTCTTTCTAATGAGTTTTTCCTTCCCAGTTGTGAAGTTTTGCCGATAAAATTTCTATCTTGTATATAGAGCTGAATATGTGTATGTCTGTATGTCTGTCTGTCTGTACGTATGTGCGGAATAGAAATTTTTATTTCTGAACCGACTTGGACCAAACTTGGCACACATATACTTCGGGGCGGGGAGCGTGTCATAGGCTACTTTTCATCATCGATCAATATCGATATCGATTTTTATCGATTTTTCTTGCAGATTTCACCTATGGGGCTGGGGGCTGGCACAGGGGGTAAGTGGGCATGGCGATTCCGATTACAATATAAGTTTCCAGAATTATCGATTACTTTTATCGATTTTATCGATTTTTTGCGAAGGTTGAGCTACAGGGCTGGGAGTTGCCACAGGGGGTAATCGAGCATGCTGATTACGAATGCAATATTAGTTTTTGGTATTACCTATTACTTTTATCAATTTTTACAAAATTTGAGCTGAAGGGCTGGGATTTGGCACAGGGGTAAGTGGGCATGCTAATTTCGAAAACAACACAGGGAACGGGAAATGAATTGTAGAAGTGGACACAGGGAAAAGCTGTACAGGGATAGGGATGGGACCTTGATTACGGTGTTTTGACAGGGCCGGGCGGAGCCGGTAAGCAAGCTGGTAGTTCTTATTTTGCCCTCACTGAGGGTATACTGCAAATTGTGAAATCTTACATTTCGAAGCGGTAAGCGCCCAGTTACTTTGTTAATGTTCGCAGCATTTAAGTATTTTGTAACTATGAAAAAGTGAAGACTTCCGAAAAAGATATTTTAAAAACACTGAGAAGCCGCTTGAAACTGCGATAAATTGCATTGCATTGCTCTTTCTTTACTCTATCTACTGCTATCAAGACTTTTCCACGAGTTAAAAACGAAGATCGCGAAATATTGCCAAAGTTGGACATTGTAAAACCATAGGTTCGGAATTACGGCGATTATCTCAGTGACCACAAGAGCAAGCAACAATGCATAAGGCAGTTAGAAAGAGGAAAAAAGCTGAAGTGCACGAAGCGCTTCCTTAACTTCGTTTCACGTGTCTTTAGGATAGGTTGAAAAAACGGAAAGAACTTTCGGCACGACATAATTTGCTACCTAATATACTTAGTGCTATATCTTCTCTTGCAAGCGTTGGGACCATCAGGCTATCGTTTGTCTGGTGACAGTCCCACCCACTGCAGCACAATTATTTTTAGCAGTCTCACTGGTTTTACTCCGGCGTTGCTTCAAGTTCGAACATACTTGAAGTGACGAGTTTAGATGTTGAGCACTTACTCAGACAATCGCCGGGGGCAGGCGGGCACCGGAAAAATAGATTGCTGATCTCTCGCACCCCGCTCGCGGATTTTTTGAAAAGCAATCAGGACTTTTCGGAAGGCCGCTTGCTGAGTTCTCGATTCCTCAGAGATTCAGCAATATATCTGCAAAAAATAAGAGCAAAAAAAAATTCAACAGGCGGTCTCTCACAAATCCGCTGAATCAGCAAGCGGTCTTCCGAAAAGTCCTGATTGCTTTCCAAAAAATTCGCGAGCGGGGTGCGAGAGATCAGCAATCTATTTTTCCGGTGTCCGCCTGCCCCCGGCGATTGTCTGAGTATATACACGACGCCATGCGACAGTGCCTATTTATAGACCTCGAACAGAAGATTTTGTACAGGGCTTTTCATTATAAGAGTCACAGCCTTGCGCGGCTCCTCCGACGCGGCCGCCTCGCTTAGGCCGCGCGCGGCGTTTGCGGAGCATCGTCCGGGCATTTTGCCAAGCTTCAGTCGATGCGCCGTCTGGTGCATGCGTCGGCTGCATCGGTTGAGACCTGGCAAAATGCCCGGACGATGCGCCACGAACGCTGCGCGAACCTAAGCGTGGCGGCCGAGCGGGACGGCTGTGACACTCAGGTTGTAAAGCCCTGTATTTGCTAACATGTCCCAAAATTTGGACGTTAAATTTTTTTCGTTTCGTTCCGTTTTTTTTTTCGTTGATTTTTCTTTCGAAGAAAACTACATTTATACTTTAGGTGTCCCACTACTTTCCGAACATAATAGGTTAATGCTCAGAATAGCTTTGCGAATGGGAGGGGAAGGGGGGGGGGGCAAAAATGGGCCCTCATGAAGTCGCGATATTTTTATAAGTGGTCTAATGTGTTGAAAATGTGCAACATCCCTTCTTCTTGTGAACAATTACAATAAACATTAATATCTACTTTCCAAAAACGCTCAAATCCGATCCGATCCTTTACAGAAGAAAAGTGTGTGGCTAGCTTACGTCCCACATTCTTTCCTACACAAAACAGTCGCAGTTTGATTTTTTCTTTGGAAAATCAGAAGGAAACACTGTTGGCACCACACACATCGTCATATCGACGCAGCGCTTTTGCCAACTAGTCATTGGTACATTGCCGATGCACTTCAGCGGTACAAGATCATTGAGTGCTTGCACGTAGATTTAACCTTATTTACTGGCCTCGTTTTTCGGAAAGTTAGGTGGAATACAGGAAAATAGCGACCGCAACCGATGCCTATGCGTGCGCGCTCAATTAATGTGGTCAAATGTAGCTTTTCTTCGTTCCTTCTCCACTTTATCTCCACTTCACCGCTCCTAGCCTTACCTCAGATCATTTCAAAAGTCATCAATATTCATTGCTTGTCTTCATGCATCTTCATGCCTAGTACATCAGCCACATCTTGCCTCCTCCCAGGCTATTCTTTGTCGGGGCCAAGTCAGCTAGCCTCCGCCCGTAGGCTCGCTGACACCGAATTTCAGGGTTGTCAGGTATCATTGAGACAGCAAGATGCTGAAGTCTAGTCTTTGACCAGCCTTGCCTTCTGCTTTCTTATTCTTTACGTGGAGAGCTTATTAGCCGTTGATTCGGGGCCTTGTTTACCTCACATTTTATCCCGTTAGGCACTCATGTCCGTTCACTGTGTTATGTTTTCTGTTTATTCCACTTTTTGTTTTTTTTGTTTCTGGCACACCTATCGAGTGTATTATAAAATAAAATAAAAATAAATAAAAATAAATTCCTTTTCTAGCATCTCGCAAATCAGTGATGGTTGAAAAGTTTCATAAGTTCTAGGCAAAACTTATTACATCAAACTAATCAAAATAGGTTTCAGGAAAAATGAGGTTACTCTTCCTTATCCTTTCATCCATTTATTCCCTTCAAGCAACACTTACACCAGAGAAAATTACTGTTGTTATAGGAAAACCGAAGAATGTTACAATGAAGACAGAGTAAGTATATATCTATAAATTCAAATTCAAATCCTACATCCCGTAGAAGCTTTCATCAGCAATCTCGAGTTGCAGTGACATTTTCAGACAGATAGTCTGATGCGGTTCCGGATGCTTACCTCCAATATACTGGCTTCCTTTTAAAGAAGTTTGACTCTCTTGGCGGCCTGCGCTTCGTATCCTGTTACAAAGAGGTGGCGCTTTCTTCATGTAGAGTATTATCTTGACGGTTTCGTCTAAAGCACTGTTGCTATCTGCTGTTCTCTTCTTTTGATCTTGGAGGTAGTATCCATATTCGTGTATTTAGACTTTTACGTGGTGCTGACTGAAATGCTAAGCCATTGCCCAAGCATCAGCTTACAGAATTCATTCGCAATGGCTTAGCATTTCAGTCAGCACCACGTAAAATTCCAAATACACGATTATGGATACTACCTCCAAGATCAAAAGAAGAGAACAGCAGAATTAGCAAAAGCGCGAGAGACTTAAGGCCAAAGTGGGTGTCAGAGCACAGCTAACCGTGAGAGCAATTTTGATCAGGAATTTGTTCGGGACTGCGTTGAAGAATGCTTGTTATACCACACGCTAGCTGGATATCCGAAACCGTTTGGTCATTGTCGACGTACCATCAAGAAAGAGAAGGTGCTGTTACATCCGCTGGCTGCCTATCAGGGGGTACGCCGCGCGCTGCCTTTTTTCTATTGAACATTTCCGGCGATGAAAACAGAGGGTGTGGGTTGAGGCGGATACATGACTCCCTGCCAAGAATAACATTGTGCCAAGAGTGCTGCTGTCACATTGGTTGAAGCGCGTTGCGACGTCGCGCGCGAAGTACCTGACCGTTCCCCCTTTTCCCCGCTTCAAAGTGTTTGGTGCGGGGTTTAGACAAGATCGATTCGAAAATGGTTACTATTCGGAACATACGTACATATGGACAAGCACACCAGACATTGAGCTTTACCACTAGCTGGAGGTGGAAGGAGGGGGGGGGGACGGAAAGGCCGAGAATAAGTCGCGATATCTGATCTTCGAAGAAACGGCCCGTCTCTCTAAACTTTAGAGGTTTGGGGACAGCTGTTTTGGAAACAGCTTCAGAAAATTTTCATGAACGCATTACGGCACTTTTCTCGGACAGTTTTCAAAGATATTACTCTGTTTCTTATACCATACCTAGTCTCAACTTGACAGAAAGAAGTGTCAACCTCTGCCACGTGTCATAAATGATTGGCATGCCATCTTCATGTCTAACAGGTCTTATTAAGAGTTTTGTGTTGTGCACTTACCTACTACATGGTTGTTGCCGTTTATTATCAGTATTCACCCCAATTTTAACTCAGCAACTTCGAGCATGAACAATAGCATCATAATAATGAACTGCTGCGCATGAACAATTTAGATCTGCCCAGAAGAGAGGGGAGCGCTAAGATTCTGTTGTTGAAGCAGAGAAACAGTCGGCACTGCGATATAACAAGTCACGAAGAATCTTTTCTTGCTGAACTTTCAAGCGCGCAAAAATACCCTAGAAAAGGAAATCGTTTTTAATCACTGCTGAAAGCGAATAAGATGTTCTAATGAATGTTGCGATATGTTTTGCTTCTAACAAGGAGAGGATACTTAGTCGAAAACACCAATCCAGATGAGACATAGATCATCTTAGAGCGCTTGAAACGCTGATTCCAAATTTGCAGTTTCTAGCTGCGGAGCGGTTTTGTAGAGGGAGTTATGAGGGGTGTTTCCTCTGGGATTGAGGCGCCCTCCACTAGGTCTCCCCCTACCTATGAGCGCTGTAGAGGACTACCAACTAGTGGCAACTGACCTACTGGTAAGTGACGTGCTTGGTAAAGAGAGCGTCAAGGTTTTAATCCCCCTTGCATGCTAAATTGAACTTCTAAATGGCTTTAGAGCCCTAAAGCATGAAACTTCTGATGATATTGATACCAATCGAAGTTTGAAGTGTTAAAAAAACCAAAGTAATATGAGTATTATAATCTTTACTGGAATCTTCATTCAAGTTACTTATCATTAGGTCAGTTGCCATCAGCTGATACTCCTCTACAGTGCTTACAGATAAGGGGAGACCGCTGTAGGGCGCCTAAACCCCAGAGGGGAACACCCTTCATAACTCCTTCTACAAAACCGCTCCGCAGCTAGAAACTGCAGATTTGGAATCAGCGTTTCAAGCGCTTTAAGATGATGTATGTCTCATCTGGATTGGTGCTTTCGACTAAGTATCCTCTTCTTGTAAGGACATATGAATAGCTTTTGAGTCATCTCAACTGCGTTCCTACATTGTTAGAAATGATGAAACATGTCAAAATGAATCAAAAGTATTAATTTTTCTCTGACTCGTGACAAGTAGACAGTCCTCATTGAACATATAAAAAGATTTTTTTCGATCAAATTCTTTGATTCAAAAAGTTATCTTATAAGAACTCACGTATCTTATAAGAGGTCAAAAAACGGGTCTGGAAAACGGAAAAGTTTACCTGCATTACTAACGTAACCCCAAATATTTGGAAGAGTTTTTGTCCCCCGACCCCCTTTCTCCTCAGTACAAAATTTCTCTTGTCGCCACTGAGTTTTACATATGAAATCTAGTATAAAATTGTGCCTCTACGGATTGCTGAGTACAAACATTGAAAACGAAAGCATCAATCTGAGAATACGCAATTGGGACAACCAGTGCTTCATCATTCCAGTGCTTCTTGGGTAATTCTTGGGTAAAAGATATGTGCAGAGCACATATCTTTTACCCAAGAGAAAGCCTCAAATGTACAGGGTCGGGGGAAAGTACTTGAATGATATTTGATGTCATTGTATGTTCAAATCTTCCACATATTCTTGTATGCTAATTACACATATTTGTTTCTCATACTGTTGAGTACAAGCCTTCCGAAATCCAGACTATTAACTTTATTCCTATCGGAGGTATAACTTATGGATAGGAACGAGCGTTGGTGGCGAAGATGCACGAGGAGAGAATGGCTGACTAGCAGATTGCGCAAACTAAATTTCAAAGATCAGGTCTTTTCCACCTTGAGTGTGTCCAGGATATGAATAGCACCCAGGACAGTTGTAGGAATGGTAAAGTGGCTACTGCGAACACTCACAAAAATCTGAAGATCGTTCGCCAACGCCTTCATCGCACTCGGCGAAGCTTGATTGATTGAGCTGTCTCCAAAGGTGTCCATCTCTGTCAGGACAGTTTCCGATATCGTGGAACAGGATCTTGGAATGAAGTTTTTCAGGATGCTTGAAAGTATGCTTTTTTGGGAACATATCAAGCTGAATTGACTGTGCAGATGTCACGACTGCTTGAACGTTTCCCCAAGGCACGTCATTGGACATTACTCTTTTCTGAAATCAAAATTTCAACCGTGAAGCAGGTTTTTGTATGCCAAAACAACAGAATCACCTAATCGCTCCAAAAATCCAATAGCAAGGGTTGATTTTCAGAAGGAGCTTCATCCGTTTTCGTGATGGTTTGCGCGGCGATCGCTTCCGACGGCAAGACATCGCTTTTGTGTCTTAGGGTGTCAAGATGCTACGCTTCTGGAAAGCATCTTAGAAAAGGAATTTTTGGCGTGGACCAATACCCATTTTGTTGAGAGAACGACTGGTGTTTCCAGCAGGTAGCGCACCTGCGCACAAAGCGAAGGTTCTTCGAGCATGGCTCCAGTGCAATGTTAGGCCTCCGTTTTTATAGCAACGTTAACCCTCCGTATCCGTACGTTAGGCTTCGACTCCAGCGTGTTGTCAGTTCTTTAGCCCAAAGCCTGCGCTCACCCACACAGGACTGTAGAGTCTCAGCGATGTTCTCATCAGAATACGTGGGAGGAAATTGATGTGGAGCACCTCCGTGCCACTATGGACAACGTTTCCAAGCGTTTCCGAGCTTGTGTTTACGTCAAAGTAGGAATTATTGAAATGTAAAGTCACATTTATGTAGTAGATAATTGAGTAGACATTATTTATTGATTTCATGTGATCATCTTTCGTAGCTTTGTGATTACGATAGAAATTCTTGTTCAAGGACTTTCTCCCAACCCGTAAATTGGGCAACAGTTAATCGAAGATGTTACTGCATCAGTCATCCATAAAACATGCCTAGGCAGATTTTCTTTACTGCATACATCATGCATATAATATTAAAGGATTTCAGGTCCCGTCTTGAACGCGATGTAGAACTTGAATTTGTCAAAAATCCGTATGTCATGGTAGGTCCTCTACTGATGAAGGCGGCATCGCGCGAAGGTTCATTGTATGTCGATGGACGACAGCCGACCAAAGGTTATCAGCTTAAGCTCGAAAGCTGCACAAGCCTGTCTTCGAGCAAATCACCTGTGAAAGAGGATTGTGACAAAATGTGTGTTGCCCCTTTGGAAAACTCAGATCGCACCAAGATCTCTGCGTTCAGAAAAAAAGGGCTTTATTTGGAAGTTGTCGTTTTGCGATCATCGTTTGTTGCTGCATTGATAATGGTAGTGGGATGGGCATACTTCACAGCCTGGAGTATTTCATTCTATCCGCAAATTTTACTCAATATTCAGAGAAGAAGGTGAGTAGTCTTAGCCTCTCATTGATATTTTCTTGAAAGAAAATGAGCATAAGTTTTTAGTGTTATCGGCCTCAACTTCGACTTCCTTGCGCTGAATATCGTTGGATTTGCTGCTTATTCTGCATATAACTTATTTATGTACTTTTCTAAGACTGTACAGGTAAGAATACGTGTCAAGGGTTTTCCCAACAAGTGTGGAACACTGAAACAAAAAATTGCTCTCCAGCATAACACGTAAGTAACGCATAAGTATCTGACTCCGCTAAAAAGGAAGGAATGATCAAAACCCACTTTGAACTTTTAATAGTTGGACAGTACAATACCGCTCATAATTCGTCAAAAAAGTCGCCGAACTGCGGCGCACTCCGCCACACTCCGCCACAGTGCGCCGGAGTGTGGCAGAGTGCGCCGGAGTGCGGCAGAGTGCGCCACACTCCGCCGCAGTGCGCCGGAATGATCGTCAATTTAGCCATATCTCGGTTCAGAATGGACGAATTCTGAATCCGAGGACACCGTTCGATTCAGCTCGACAAGACGCATCATCTTATATATGAAGCTGAACGTCTGTTTGTCTGTTTGTCTGTACGTATGTTCCGAATAGAAAAATCCATTTCTGAACCGATCCGAACCAAACTTGGCACACATACACTTCGGGCCCCGGCGGGTGTCATAGGCTACTTTTCATCATCGATCGATATCGATTTTATCGATTTTTTTGCAGAGTTCACCTACGGGGCTGGGAGTTTGCATAGGGGGTAATCGAGCATGGGGATTTCGAATACAATATTAGTTTTCAGGATTATCGAATACTTTTATCCCTTTTATCGATTTTTTTGCAAAGTTTGAGCTTCGGGGCTGGGAGTTTGCACAGGGGGGTAATCGAGCATGGGGATTCCGAATAAAATATTTGTTTTCAGAATTATCGATTATTATTTTGGTTGAATTCAGTTTGCTGATAACAGTATTACCATTGATTTTTCGTTGATGATACATAGACAGATAGTACAGGAGTATGGTAGAGAGCCACTCTGATCGAATTTGTTCTAAGATCTGCTCAAAATCACAATATCGCCCACAGAATGTCAAAGTTTCCGTGAACTTCGCGGAATTCCGGGATTTCCGCCAGAGTGCGCGATAATCCGGGAAGTTCGCGACATTTCAGGATCCGCGAAACCATGCGAATCACGCAGAGTACGAAACGCCATAACTTTATTCGGAATGAATATATTCCGAATCCAGAAGCAGCATTGTGTTCAGATCGTCGAGGCAAATATTTTGATATACAGTATGCTCTCGATATTCCATTTCCAGTTTTTTCGAATTTTTTCTGTGGAGGTCTTTTCGCAAGGATGTAACGCAGCGTCTGTGTAACATAAAAGATTTCAGTAAGCACTGTTCGATAGTACTGCCCTTGTTGGTTACCGTGCGTTCAAGAGTAGCACTATCTCCCAAAAGAGATAGAAGCGTTGGTGAATTTTGGAAAAATCACGCGTTTTTAAATTCTACTCGCCGTAACTTCCTTCGGAATGAACATATTCTGAATCCGAAGAAAGCTTTGTGCTCAGTTCATCAAGGCAAGTCTTTCGATATACAGCATAGCCTTGATATTCCGATTTCAATATTCTCAAATCTTTCTGTAGACGTCTTTTCGTGAAGGTGTAAAGCAGCGCGCATTGCCCCTAGTAGACTCCAGCAAGGACCTTTCGATAGTACTTTTTTCTGTAGATTACGTAGCGTTTTCCAAGATGTTCGAGTAATTTCATTTTTTCTCGTTTTACGCTCTGAAGCTGGCCGATGGATTTTGGTCAAAATGTTCATGCTCTCAAATTGTAAGGAAACTTCGCTTATAGAGGTTTTCGAACACGCTCTTTACGAAAATCGTGGTCTTTGAGGATTACAGGGTCTTCTTGGAGAGATACGGTGAGGTGACTGTAACTGCATCACGAAAGCTCGTAACGCGTAGGCGTAGGCGCGTAACTCGGCGAATTTTATAGACTGGAGCCTGAGTCTTGCGCCGTTCGATAGCACATCTCCTAGTAACTTTGACTAGTAAAGCAAGCAGGCAGGTTCTTTGACAGACACGTGAGAGGTGGAGGCGAAGTTACGAGCTTTCGTGATGCAGTTACAGTCACCTCACCGTATCTCTCCAAGAAGACCCTGTAATCCTCAAAGACCACGATTTACGTGAAGAGCGTGTTCGAAAACCTTTATAAGCGAAGTTTCCTTACAATTTAAGAGCATGAACATTTTGACCAAAATCCATCGGCCAGCTTCAGAGCGTAAAACGAGAAAAAATGAAATTACTCGAACATCTTGGAAAACTTGCTTATCCGACCTGCTGAACGAAAATCACATCTGCTTAGCAAGAGAGCTTCATATTTTGGAGTTACGTTGAGAAAAATTTAGAACGACATGATTTTTCCAGAATTCACCAGCCCTTCTAAGTCCTATGGAAAGATACCCATGACTACTTTTTAGCGCTACGTAATCTACAGAAAAAGTACTATCGAAAGGTCCTTGCTGGAGTTTACTAGGGGCAATGCGCGCTGCTTTACACCTTCACGAAAAGATGTCTACAGAAAGATTTAAGAATATTGAAATCGGAATATCAAGGATATGCTGTATATCGAAAGACTTGCCTTGATGAACTGAGCACAAAGCTTTCTTCGGATTCAGATTATGTTCATTCCGAAGGAAGTTACGGCGAGTAGAATTTAAAAACGCGTGATTTTTCCAAAATTCACCAACGCTTCTATCTCTTTTGGGAGACAGTGCTACTCTTGAACGCACGGTAACCAACAAGGACAGTACTATCGAACAGTGCTTACTGAAATCTTTTATGTTACACAGACGCTGCGTTACATCCTTGCGAAAAGACCTCCACAGAAAAAATTCGAAAAAACTGGAAATGGAATATCGAGAGCATACTGTATATCAAAATATTTGCCTCGACGATCTGAACACAATGCTGCTTCTGGATTCGGAATATATTCATTCCGAAAGAAGTTATGGCGTTTCGTACTCTGCGTGATTCGCATGGTTTCGCGGATCCTGAAATGTCGCGAACTTCCCGGATTATCGCGCACTCTGGCGGAAATCCCGGAATTCCGCGAAGTTCACGGAAACTTTGACATTCTGTGGGCGGTATTGTGATTTTGAGCAGATCTTAGAACAAATTCGATCAGAGTGGCTCTCTACCATACTCCTGTACTATCTGTCTATGTATCATCAACGAAAGATCAATGGTAATACTGTTATCAGCAAACTGAATTCAACCAAAATAATAATCGATAATTCTGAAAACAAATATTGTATTCGGAACCCCATGCTCGATTACCCCCCTATGCAAACTCCCAGCCCCGTAGGTGAACTCTGCAAAAAAATCGATAAAAATCGATAAAATCGATATCGATCGATGATGAAAAGTAGCCTATGACACCCGCCGGGGCCCGAAGTGTATGTGTGCCAAGTTTGGTTCGGATCGGTTCAGAAATGGATTTTTCTGTTCGGAACATACGTACAGACAAACAGACAAACAGACGTTCAGCTTCATACATAAGATGATGCGTCTTGTCGAGCTGAATCGAACGGTGTCCTCGAATTCAGAATTCGTCCATTTTGAAGCGAGATATGGCTAAACTGACGATCATTCCGGCGCACTGCGGCGGAGTGTGGCGCACTCTGCCGCACTCCGGCGCACTCTGCCACACTCCGGCGCACTGTGGCGGAGTGTGGCGGAGTGCGCCGCAGTCCGGCAACTTTTTTGACGAATTATGAGCGGTATTGTATTATGATATCCTTTGTATGCTGATTTCAATTGTTATATAACATCAAACTGAGTGGGCCAAGTCACCGGCATCAGGGCTTGACACGAGTGTAGTAAATTGAGCTGAAAACTTTTAGAAAAGCAAAAGGGATTGTGATCATCTCCTGACAAGTTGCTATTAGCTTGTTACATAAGTCTTGTTACACTTTGACTTCTTAAGACGATAAGTCGTGAATCTCATAATTTTAGTAGGGCTCCGGGGTGCCGTTCGATAGAGCAAAGCAAGCTTTACAAGATGTTATGCAAAGATTCGCAGCAGCTCCCACCCACAGTAAGTTTGCACGGGGATTGATTGTAAGACGCACTGAAAGTTCAAAAGGTTAGGGGAAATCCATATTTTCGTTCAAAAAAAATCCTCCGCACCTCCAACTTGTTCATGCAGATTGCACACTACACCAGACGGTCCATATGTACCGTTGATGTATTCTTTCCTCATCTAGAAATTGAGAAAACGAAAACTTTCAAACGAAAACTATTATCTGCAGAACGCCTCTTTTTTATTCATAAGCTTGACCATGTTTAAACAGAATCTGGTATAGGGGCCAAGGCACTGCACAGGCTTACGGGGCAAGCTGAATATCGTTTTGGAATAAACAAAGGGGATATCGTTCGAGCGGAAATTCCAGCCCCCCCCCCCACACATAGTCGCCTTCTGTCCTTATGTCACCCACCTTTTACAGAAGACGCAAATTGCCTAATCGATCTGCAAAAGTCAAAAATTTCTTGTTTCAACATGTTCGCCGGTTAAGCGCGCGAATTCAACCTGCCTTGAAATAAACAAAAGACTTGTTGCAAAGAGAAAATGAAATGACACCAAAGTTGGTGTGTAGATGGGCAACAGGGAGTTGGGACTATGTGCAAAAAATTATGAAAAAGTTATGTGAACTGAAGGTGTGGCAAACTTTTTTCGGAGTTAGGTGGCTTTCCACCCACCTGGACAGCCACCTGAGGTGGCTGTAAAAAGAAGAAGTCACATATTTTCCTTCTTTCACATAATTTTCTCATATGTTTAACATAACCTTGTTCTACATCAAAAACTCTACAAATGAGTTTTTGAATCTCCCTGAACCCCCTCTTCCTCGCCTAGTTACAGCTCTCCAAATATTTTATAGCGGCGGCGGCAAGCCTGCTCCAAGCGCGCAAAGGGGCGCGCCGGAAACAGCATGCCGCCAATTCGGAGAAAACAAACATCTTTAGTTTTTTTCATCTATTCGAAGTTGCTTTTGTGTTTTGTTCCATTATTTTCTCGTTATTCCTCCTGATCCATCCACGATCGCGTCATAAGTGATGTCGTATTTTTCTGCCGAAGTCTACAGGGACTTCGTTTTTGAAAAACTGAAAAGCCACCTCGTGCCGAGCCCTGATAGGGGCACTGCAATATGCGTTTTGATAAAGTGGTACGCGGATGCGTTCTTTCCAACGCAGAGATTCGCATGTTCAAATCTTTTCACAAACAGTCTGCATTTTTGTTTTTGACGCGACAGCCACTTTTGAAAGAGCGACATGGTGCACATGGCAAACGCGATAACTTTTTAATGTATATCATCATTTGGTTTAACGTTAGTCGGGGCACACGAGCACAAACGCAAAGTTGTTACCTAGCCACATATATAATCATTCTTTGTGCAAGCAAGCATAAATATAACAAGCGTGTTGTATCACAGGCACAGTACCATGAAGCACATCCTCACAGTCCCATTCCCGTCCTTTTGAACGACGTATTTTTTGCCACTCATGCTTTCATTGTATGCATCGTCACTGCCGCACAGTGTTTTATCTTCAAGGTGATGCAGAGTTTCCCGATAGAGCTTTAACCAGTAATGAACCGAGTTGAGTTACAGCGTGGAAAACAACGAGTCTCATACACGTGCATGGCCGTGATTGCCATAATGGGCATTGGAGCTTTGATCTCCGGACTTGCCATGGCTTTCGGTTATCTGAATTTGCTTCAATTCGTCACCAGTTTGTCCTTCATCAAAATGGCTGTCACACTTCTCAAGTACTTCCCTCAGGTGAGTGTGCAAATGTAAATCGTCCTAAAACGCTAAACTCGACCTATAACGCTGAACTTCAGTTTTCTAAAAGCAGGTAAAAGACGATCTCACAGTTTTTGTGTACTTTGCAAGCTCAAGAAAGACCCGGGCGAGAGGGGGCCCACGACGATCAACCTTCGCGGCTAAGCTTACGCAATCTAAGGACAGAATTATACTCGCGATCCATAAACCACTACATGTTTCAAGGCGCAATTCGAACTCTTTTTCTCTCGTAGAAAGCTCAAGTCTGAAATGTTCCAAGGAAATTTTTGCGTTTATGCCATTGAAATTAAGATAGTAAAAAAAACACTTCAACACTTATGTACCTAATGTCTTCTCTCTCGATTGAGTTTAGACAAAATTTTAGATGGTTTACGGCCAAACCTAAGAAAATGTCTTCAACTTCGATGTCAAAATGTCAGTGTGGAGACAAATGTGCATATGGCTATGTGAATATCGAATCAGAGGCATCTCAGCCAACTTAGCACAAACAATTTCATAGAATTTAATCGTAGCCATGATTCACATAGAGTAGAATGAGTGTATATAGAAATCAAAGATCAAGGAAAAACAAAAGTTTAAAATGTATATTTGAATTTCACACACAACCGGTTTCGGACCCAAGAACTAGACCGGCAGTGTAGCTTTCCTGGTGGCCCATCATCAGTAGTTCTCAAAAAAGCTGCGAAAGTTTAGCGTTCAAAACGAGGACTCGAGCTGAATCTACATAGAATGAGGGGAAATAAGAATTTTAATAGGTGAGAAGAGGGGAGTAGAAGTCCAAAAGGAATGTAAATCCGACCAGTAATAAAATAAGGTACTCAAATGGTATATTAAAACGCTAATTATAGTCACCAGTCCTACAACGTATCCTCGAATCATTTGTAACTCAATATGCGTATTGTACACATTGCGCGCTATTTGACGAACTTAGAAGATTGCAACCTGCTCAATTCAGCGATTTCACCCTGTTTCTTTGCCTTCTCGGTTTAAAAAGATATTAACTAGTTAGTAATATACACTTTCAAACTTTATTACGCTAGAGAAGATTTGATCGAGAAGTTAATGTTAAAGGTGGCGTCCGTTTAAACGCTCTGTATATAGGCTCACATACTAGGTCAATAGAGCAAAGCAAGCTCTACAAGCTGGCTCTCTTGCTTTAGCAACAGTTCTGATCCACCGAGTTTCAAGCCAGAAACTAAAAAGATTCAGTTGAACGAGAAATTGAGAAAATTCATAACTTAGTTTATGAAAATCCTACAAAAATTCTAACTAGCTCACGTAAACACTCCACAAAAGACATTTATATACGCCATTGTCGCATTTTTTCCTTTGTCAGAAATCAAGAGAACGGAAATTTTCGTGCATTTGCTAAAGTATTGCTGCGCTGTCCCCACATAAATAGCTTTATACTACAAGCCTGTAGAAGTAGAAACGTAAAGTTTCAGCTTTTTACAAGCTTTGGTCTCGAGTAATATCGATTATGGCTTTTCCTAGTTAGGTGGTCCAAGCCAAAATTCAAATTTTTCGAGAACTAAAGCTTGTAGAAAGCTGAAAATTTATGTTCGCACTTCTACAGGCTTGTAGTATACAACTACTCATAGGAACGGCAGAGCATCGCTTTGGCAAATGCAAGGAAATTTCCGTTTTCTTGATTTCTAAAAGGGGAAAAAGAATGCAACGGCGTACATAGATGTTTTATGTGGATAGTGTTTACGTGAGCAAGTTAGAATTTTTGTAGGATTTTTGAGAACGTAGTTACGATTTTTCTCAAATTTTCGGTCAGCAACCCTTTTAGTTTTTGGCTCGAAACTCAAGGTTAATGAGAGCTTTTGCAAAAAGAAGATCGTCTTCTTGTAGAGCTTGCTTTGCTCTATCAAATGATAGCTTGCAACCTACTCAGAAATGAGAAGAGTATGACTTTTTGCGGTCGAAATTCAAAACGGACATTAGTTTCCGGACAACCTGATATTATGAGGCAATCAAACATAAGATGTTATACTTCAAAAAGCCTCACGCTTTCTCCTACTTTCAATGTAGTGGGATGGTACATCGAAGCTGACAAAATGAGACTCCTCTGCAATTATGGAGTTAAATAGATCAATGTTTGTCTCGCAAAGGAGTTTAGGTGGGACACTATGAAAGCATTACTAGGCGGGACACTATGAAAGCATTACTACGAAAGTGGTCGTTCATACTAAGCAATAATGTTCGAATCCAGTACTGTATCCTCCACCCCGAGTTCTATACTTACCGGAACTCGATGTTGGTGTACCTTTGTCAGCCGTTTTTTATAGCTTTAGGGACTGCTATGACTATTCAAATGTATGATCCGTCTCAACCACTACCGCGCGTTGGCATTCCTTCGTATAGATCGTGCATCAAAGGAAGATGTATAACAGTAGGAAATCCATATTTACGCAAAATGAATGGTCTATCATAAAGTATATAGTGTAAAACAAGAATAGATTTATTCCCGTCCCATCCATTTCCAAGCGAAATTCGATAGAGTCCAAATATTACATTTTTGAATTCAATGCAACCGGAACACTTCCTGTAAATTTAAGAACTTCTGACATAAGTGTATTTATAAGTATATATCTTGGTATATTAGAAAGCCAATGTGGGTAACTAATGACCTCAAAACTGTAACTGTCTGTCTTGTTATAAAGGTTAAACTTAACATTGTTGTTATAAGTTTCAGTTGTAAGGTCGAGGAAATTCGCCATTTTATCATCTGTAATTGTGCGCTCTATTTCAAGAGAGGAGTGGTAAATCTCCGACAGGGTATTATCAAATTCATCTGTTAAGTTAAAGACGTAAAGTATGTCATTTATGTACCTGAAAGTCGTTAGTTCTACCACTATCGTATTCGAGGACACTGATTGGTCTAAAATAGCACAGTACTGAGCGAAATTCTGTAGTTGTTTCTCACGGCCACAAAGATATCATAGGACCTGCCGCTGGAGCTTTTTCTCAATTGAGACTCTTCAAACACATATACTACATGTGTGGTTTTTTTATTTATTTATTCAATACGCACAAGGCGTGCCACATTTGGAACAAGTAAAACGAAAGTAGTCAGAACCTCACAGTAATAAACAACCAAAAAAACCACCAACAGTCCAAGTCCAACTCTCAGATATGTTAGGAATAAGGGGATTAAGTTTGTTTTGGACCTTGTGCGAATGTATCAGCGAGATGTTATCGAGAGATTCACACAAATACTTTGAAGTGAGTTGAATAAGATGCAGCTCAATGGCGACGCTGTTGCTGTGGCGCTTTGAATCACATCCATATAAACACCGCAGACAATTTCAAGCTCTTCCTAGGCCTCAATAGGGTTGCATGTTTCGTTTAAATTCTAGGCCCAACTTTTTTTTTCTAATTTTACATCTGCTGCATCCAGAAGAGATGAACATCGAGAGATCCTAAAACACGTGTCATGAAATATCATAAGCTTTGGAAAGCCCTGATTTGGAATTTTGTTCAAGGGATCATCGCCATAACAAGAGTGAATCAACCATCACTTATATGTTAAGTTTCGCAACTTTGAGTTGCTATGGGCTGTCAAGATGTTTGTGCTCGTGTACAGTAAGTTTCGGCCCGCATTAGGCGGAAATTGGATTGGCGGGCGTCCGCCTCGCAACAGCTCGCGCCGTTTCGCAGCTACAGTATATCATATCGTGCTGAGAACCGAGGTCTGCGTCTCTCCCTTCTCCTCAGTCCCTGCTTGGCAAAATGCCAGCGCTATGCGCTCGCAAGACTTCCGGCGGTGCGTACGCGCCCCTCCTTATGGGATGTTCCGCCTAATCCGGTGTGAAACCGACTGTACACTACATTCGATACTTTATCAGCAGGGTTCTCATAACTGTTAGCCGGACCAAAGAGATAATCACGGGGGTGCTTGGAAACATTTTTTAAATGGAGTAAAACTAACGAGCTGCATGTAGCTTTTTTGAGATTGCGTGACTAAACTAACATGGGAAGGATACTTGGATGCCGTAGCCATTCATAATGATTTGTATACCAAAACATGCGCTTTTGAATGTTGGTTCGTAGACTGTCTTTCATATCTGCGAAACGATAATCTGAATGGAGTTATGATTTTTTTTTTCATTAAAAAAATTGCGTTCTGCGGAGAGTCAAAATCATCAATAAAAAATTTTTTTCCTTTCTAAATGCTGAGTATGATCCAGATAGTCTAAATAAATATTACTACGTCTAAAATTTTTTTCAGTAGCATCAAACGATAGGCTAGATCAAATCTGGTGATTTTTACTATCCAAAAGTAGGCTAAATTTTCAAGGAAAAAAGTTCATAACTTTCTTCAAAAGATCGTTTCGCAGATTTCGAGCACAGATTCAGTATCTGCATTCGAAGGCGCATTTTTTGGTATACAAGTCATTAGGAATGGCCGCGGCATCCAACTATCCTTCCCTTGTAAGGTACATTATGTCTTGCCACTGAGTGCGCGAAGTTTCTCACCCGAGTCATATTTTCGCACCTAAGTGTTGTGCCTGCCAATCTTCTTGTATTTCGGACTCGCATAATTACGAGCTTTAGGATGCCAAGACGTTTCAAGCCCCGAATCTTTATCCAGTATCGCTTCAGGTGCTGAAACCGGAACTTCAAAGAAAGTGCATTATCGGTGCTGATGACTTTGCACCAAACAAATCTCACTACTAAAAAGAGCAACATCGAAAACCCCTAAATCCGGAATTTGGTTTTCATTAAGCCCTCGGGCAGAGTTCACGCGATTTGATATTCAACCGCCACACGACAAGTGTTACGGGCTCATTGCATGCCAATCTTTTTGTATTTCGGTTGTGATAATTAGTCATGATTAGTCGTGTTGGAAAACTATCAAACCGAAATGCAAGAAAATCGGCATGCAATAATATTGTTACACCTGTCTTGTAGCGACTGAATCGCGACGATCAAATCGCATGAACTCTGCCCGAGGCCTTAGGTCCCGGGCAGACTTCACGCGATTTGATCGTCGTGACTGAGTCGCGACGAGAACTGTTACAACATCATTACATGCCGATCAACTTGCATTCGGTTGTGATACTTTTCCAGCCCGACATTTTTGAATGTGAAATGAAAATGAATGGAAATCTTGGCGATTAGATCGCGACGATTAAGTCGCGTGAAGTCTGACCGGGGCCTTAGAGCAACTTCGCTGCTGATCTTCGATTGAAACTTTCTTCGAAGTTTCGATTTCAATATCTGGAGCGACACTGGATAAGGGGGTGGGGCTTGCAATGTCTAGGTATCCTGAGGCTCGTAATTATAGCTAGTCATGCCTGGCGGGCCTCAGGTGCGAGAAATGGCTCGTGTGAGACACTTCCCCCCCCCCCTTGCCACTCAAAATCCAGATCGTCACTCAGCAACGTCGTCTAAGAAATGTATCATAGGGAGATTGAGCTACAAGCGATGGTGACCAAATTTGGTGTGAGGCTTTGAACGATGTAGCTTGAGAGCATGATGATGTAGCGGCTTGTGGATCGGCGGCCTTGGTCTGGGATTATTGTGTCTGGGTTTTGCTTCCACTAAATGTATATAATGCTTTAGTCAAGGTAGACGATACTAAACTCACCAGAAGTGCTGCAGATGAACATCAAGGCAAGAAGAGTTGCCAGAAGAAGTTTTAAGAAGGCCTTTATCCTTTGATGAAGCCTAACAATCTTAGCGCTGTAAAGGACTTCTATATCAGTTAACTGTTCCAAGAAAAATTCATATTTGTCGAACCTGAACTTTTTGACGAAGGAAAAGAGATGAAATAGAATTTAGAACGATAATTGAAACAAAAGAACCATGTAGTTCAACGATGAACGAATAACATGACAATTAAAAAAGTGCAGAAATTACTGCAATACAGGACGTTTTTTTGTCTTCCCTGTAAACAGGCTGGAAAGAGAATGGTGTGCTGGATCAGACAAACTTTTCAAGTATAAGTTCGTTTGCACCAAAGGAAGCTTACAAGAAGCTTAAATAATTGACAAAACTTAACTCTGCTTTCCAAAAAACCCGTAGAATGAAGAAACAAAAAAGTAGGATGTTATTACGAACCTTTCGTCTCCGAAAATCCTTCAAAAAGAGCCGTTGAATGAAGTTGCTGATACGTGAAAAATGTCCTACGTATGACTTCAAATGTGCATTACAAAAGGCTCCTCGCCATCTCTCTATGAAGGATAGTTCCTCCTTTTGGTGATGAACTGGAGATTTAATTCGGATGGTTGTTAGATGCAAGAAACCCTTCCAAAGTTTTTTTCGGCTTTTTCACGGATGGACACCGGTTACAAAAATACCGCAGAGTCTGTATATACCGCAGCAACCTCCATTCTTTTTCTTTCGTCATCGCTCATTCATCTTTGAATTGTTTCATCAGGCAACTTCGGGTGTTTACATGAGCCCCTTACTAGTATCAGAAACTCTTTCGCTTTGAACGTACCCGTGTTCGACAAATCCAAATCAATTCCAAAACAGGTAAGTTGAATTATAAGCCCTTCCAATGCTAAATTCGTTTGCAAATTCGAGGCTTCATTGAAGGTTCATGACGTCTTGAAAGTTTTTCTGATAACTATTCTTGCCTTTAGGTTTATCTGCAGCACATTTTGTAAGTCTTACAAGGGAAGGATACCAGATCCAGTGGCGAACCGAAATGACATGCATATCAAAAGATACGTCATGATAAGCTGATTCCAAATCTAACTCCTTATCTGCTAAGCTCTTCCCTAGAAGAAGTTATGAGCGTTTAAATGTCCAAATTTAGCAAACATTAAGTGACACCTCTACTTTTCTACTTGTTCAAAAATAATTATGTTTTCGGTGTACGTATGCATTCCTTAGAGTCAGTGTACTCAAAAACCACGCCAATTACTCACTTCCTAGCTGGTTTCAAAGCACATTGCGCATCAAAATCCCATAGCTTCACATCTTTAAACGCCCATAGCTTCTTTCACGGAAGCTCTTAGCAGTAATAAAAGGTAAATTTGGAATCAGCTCATCAAGACGCACCTAGTGAAATGCATATCATCTCGGATTGCCACTGCGACCTAGTATCCTTCCCTTGTTACAATCAATTCATACTCAGGGCTCGGCACAGGTGGCTTACAAGCAAGCTGGATATCGTTTTTGGGACAAAAAGCAAAGGGGGTTTCGTTTTTGTGGACGAAGACACGCAGAACTGGCGGCGTTTTTTTTAGTCGACGTTTCGTTTTTGGAGAATTTTTGGGAAATATGGTGTAGGGTCAAAGGGAACTTCGTAAAAAACCCAAAAAGTCAAGGGGGACTTCATTTTTTGCATTTTCATCTAGCCACCTCGTGCCGAGCCCTGGTTCATACTTGATTCAACATTCAGCTACTTTCAAAAGTGGGAGCAAGGATCAAGCACTATCATCTTGAGCCAAAACCAAGTCTCACAAGCCGATATATCACCATTCTCCTAAGCCAACCAACGTCCAAAGCCTCGGGCAAAATCGGGCGTCATCGCTGGTAGCTCAAACATCTTCCTTGAAACACATGTAGGACGTTTTTGATGAGATTTCTATTGTTAAAATATGCTCAAATATAAAATGTAGGAATCACAAGTAATTTTATATTATAGCAGTCAAAGTTAAATCAAAGAACTCAGTAAATCTCCTGCCAATCGAGTTCCAAATTCAGATCATTTCGGTGATAATGTTAGCCGCGTGCTTCACTCCAGAATTAAAAATTAAGCAGCCAAAGTTTGTTGCCGTAGCTCCAAATAGTCTGCGGCTTTTGGAGCATCTCATCTTGCGCAAATTATCTCAAGTGCTTAAGGTCATTGAGTTTCATACTTTGTAAATTCAAAGGCAATATCTGGGTTGTCTACTATGAAAGGATTGTTTACTATGAAAATTAAAAAAAAATTGACTTGTTTCTATTGTAAATGAATGTGATAGTTTCTAAAAATTTTCAAAAATTCCAACTAGCCCCTGAAAAACCTGGGACGGACTTGGTATGGGCCTACGAAAACTTTGGAAATCATCTCAAAAACTTTTACGAAAAGTGTGGGACTTATTCAATCGAGGATCTGTCGTCCCCCCCCCCTTCTTCCGAGGAAGTTTTTCTCGAACCGCCACTGCTAAACTGCGTACGTACAACTAGCATGGACTCTAAAAGCGCTTCGAATATTTTTAAGCTGGTTTCTAATGGCAGAAGAGCGTCGAAAAGTGAAACAAAAAAGAGACTTGTTGTACTGCGCGAGCAAGCATTCGATACAAACAATCAAATTCCTACACTTACCAATAGTGTCAACGAAAAAACTTGTTGAAGGAAACCGTTCAAACTGAGAAATTGGAAAAAAATTTACATTCTAATCACTGCATGCCATAATCATAGCAATTAGGGGGCGAGTAGCAAAAAAAATGTGAGGCTCCACTACAAGCCGTGCAATCGGTTCGATCCCTTTTCTAGGCTAATCATGCCCACTACCTTCCGGGAAACAAATTGGAAAGATGGAACTAACCTCCGCAAATTGATGTAAAGGTCACGCATTCCGCCGCCTCATCGACTCTGCAGAGGGTAGTAGAAGCGCGGGATGCTTTAGTCTTTGTCCTTGATATGTTAACACGTTGACGACAGCGTGCATTTTTAGCTGTCTGCCGTGTGGGACAGTCCCTTCTAACGTAAGTTGAGTATTTTTAGGTGAAACCAAGCAGGCCGTCATCTGCAGTATCCCTACAGTGATTTTGAGAAGCATTGTCGTCAATGTGTTAAAATTGAAAGTATGTCGCATGAAGGAGGGTTTCACTGCTTTAAAATACTCTTATCATTGCACTGCGGAGACGTGCTTCGCTCTTTGCTGTTTTGTGTGATCCGAATATGGCAGCGCAAGATGATTTGCTGTCGAATAAGCTCTTTTGATTCATCTTTGACACAGCTGTGTTATCCATAACAACTGAAGCAGAAGAACCTTGTTCAAGACCACGTTTCTAAGTTTTATTTCGACTTTGATCAGCCTTCAAAATTTTAAGCTCTTAGTCTTCTTTGTTGAACCTTTATTGCTTCTGACAAACTTTGGATGGATAGCTGTGTATGAAACAATAACCATTTATGTGCTCGAGCTTTGACGAAGGAATCATCAGATCATGTCATAGGCGCTCATTACATCTACGCATCAAAATTTATAGACCTCTTGCCTTTTCTACAGTGCCTTTCCAAATTCTTCCACCCTCATTTCGATCTTGCATTTTCAAACCTTTTCTGTACGTATAGGCGACCCACCGCACGCAAAGACTGGGACGTATTGGCGTCTCTCCGTATTTTGGTCGGACAAGCGGCACGGAATCTTTGCGTGATTGCCGTTTTTGAATGACAACAAAGGCGAAGGCTGCTAAGAAGAAATATCATATTTACTGCAACTCATAAGAAAACCAGCTGCTAGCCTAGCGAGGAAATAGCTTCTGCAAGCTTTTTCTAATTTGTCCTATAACCTAAAGATTTTGGGAAAAGGAGCATGGTAGCAAAGCCAGATTAAATTTCTAGGAGCTTTCAAAATTAATTCAATTACTTACAAGTGAAAATAAGTCACTCGAGCAAATTTATCTGGTCTACTTCTGAAAAATCTGTGACCCATTCTCGGGGTTAAGTCGCTAACCCTCCCTTTCTTCAAGTTCAATCAAATGTCAAAGATCTCATAAGTTGAAAGTTTAGGCAATCCTCAACTTCAGAAGAAAAAGCACTACTGGATGGTCAATAGGAAACATACTGCTAGATTTCACGGGAGGCTCTCTCGATATAGTGCAGATGGGTCTACAGTGCTGGAATGTAGCCGACTGGACAGCTTTTTATGGAAATCCCGTAAAATTTGGATTGGGCCTTGTTTCGATGCTCTTTGACATCTTGTTCATGATTCAACACTACATACTTTATCCTCATAGAGAAGATAGGGACAGAAGTGGCGAAGGAGAGGATGAGATTATGGATGAAAGCGATAAGGAGAAACGAAATGGGAGAAAAAGTGAGAAATCGCATACGTCCAACGGAATGAATGGCGAGGAGCAGAGAGATGATAGCCGAAAGCTATCAGATGAGAGAGGCCATGATAAGCAAAAAGGATTTGGAACGCACGAAAAGGAAGAGTTGATGCCTACAGAGGAAACGAAACCTGTGCAGCAGCACGCGAAATTTGATGTACATTTTCAATACGATTTTTAGATGATTACCTTAATAGCGATTTCTTCGAAAGGTTTGACGAATGTGCCGATAAATTATTTACTTCAACAAAACAGTAATTACTGAAAAAGCTAGATGCTGTAAGCTTGAAACACCTTCCCAAAACCTACAGTAACGGTACTCAACAGTCATCATTGAATTTTCTACCGGCAAATTAACAATACGTCTCTTGTATAAATTATGAATGACTCATAATGACACAATGTTTACAAATGATTACGGGTCTACCATCAGGCGTGGGGCGATAGACATTGACATAAGCTCTTGGAATAACAATTTACATGCATACGGTATTCGTACCGCAGACACTTGGGTTTTGTTTCGACAAGCCTAAAAAGTGAAGTCTATGTGACAGTGGACCGAAATGTGAACTATACTTACCTTGCACTCGAAACTGTTTGTCCTCAAGTTAGCAACAACTATCAAGCCACAGTTGTTGCACACATAAACGTGGTAGGGATCCGAAACTTCAAAGAGGCGCTCACGCAAGAACTGTGCTGCACCGTGTGAGATCTGACAATCGCGCTCCATTTCTCCAAAACGCAAACCTCCATCTCTGAAAAAAAAATTTGTAGCAGTTCATAAGATAAGATAGAAAGTATCTCAGCTTCCACAACAAAGCACATTTGAGCTCAAAACACTACGTAGGAACGCTGACCTAGCTCTTCCTTCCATAGGTTGTCTGTTCATCATCTGAACCGGTCCTCTAGCACGAGAGTGGATCTTATCGTCCACCATATGCTTCAGACGCTGATAGTATGTTGGCCCGAAGAAAATCTAAACACAGATAATGAGCTGCACACCCACCTTCCATTGATATTTATCACACCTGAGTGGTCAGTTTCGTTCCCGTATGACCGTTGTACATAACTTCATTCCCTCGCAAATGGTAACCATATTCTTGCAACAGGTTACTGATTTTCTGCACATTCACAGTATCGTTGAATGGGGTGGCGTCACCAATTTCACCTTTATTAGCGGAAAGCTGGAAAGTGAACGTTAATCTTCTGGTTTGAAATTGCTAATTAAACAAAATTTCATGAAATGTGACAGAAAGGTCTTGCAAAATGCGACCCGAAATACCTTTCCTTGAAGACATTCGATCAAGTGGCCGATGGTCATACGAGATGGAACAGCATGAGGGTTGATGATGATGTCAGGCGTCAAACCTTCACATGTGAAAGGCATATCCTCCTGAAATTGACACTGTTAACATTTTGATTACAGATTAGATGGAGCGATGGTTGATCCATGTGTTAGCACGCAACAATAGCTCACCTGCCGGTACATGATACCCATGGTACCCTTCTGGCCATGCCGAGATGCAAACTTGTCACCGATTTGTGGCAATCTCACGGATCGTACGCGGATTTTGACGAATTTGTTTCCATCGGTGTTCAACGATACCATCACCTAATTAAAAAAAAGAATTCACTCGAAGTGATCCTATAGTACCAGAAAGTCATACCTGATCAATAATACCAGTTTCAGAGCTGCGAAGGAATGTTGAAGCATCTCTTTTCGTGTATTTCTTACTGCTTGCATCCAGATCATCGTCCTAAAAAGGGGCTTCATTTTGGCTGCGGACGTTTTGCTGCTGTGATATGAAACGTACAACTTCAGGAAGCGCGACGGTCTTTCCAATGATCACATCATCGCCAGACACGCGCATGCCAGGTGATATGATTCCATCATCGTCCAACTAAATCTTCCTCATTTATGCGTATCTAACCTTGTCTTAATAGTTACCTTATCGTAAAGCGAGTGCCTCATTCCAGAGCACTTATCCCTCGTTGGCTTTTCGATGAGCTCCTCGTTAGCACCGTCCAAGTTAGCTTCTTGGTCACGGTAAGAACGATAGAAAACCTGAGCGGATCGTTTTACAAATAGTGTCAGGATAACGTTGAACGAACCGATCTGAAGAAGCCTCTGTCAATGGCTGATTGATTCATGATAACGGAATCCTCTTGATTGTAGCCAGTATAGGAAAGAATAGCGACGATAGCATTGATGCCAGCAGGAAGCTCGTTGAATCTTCAAAAGAATGTTCAAAAACTATAGGAATTTCGCTATAATTCTCACCTTAGATATTCCATAGATCTTGTCGTAACTAGAGGTTTCTGTGGGTAATACAAGACATGAGCAAGTGTGTCCATTCGAACGTGGAAATTTGTGGTGTAAACACCCATAGCTTGCTTACCCATAGCACTCTGGAATGAGGAAAGTTTACTTATAGAAGAAAAGGAACAAAAATGTGATTTATGATGCTGACTTGGTAAGTATTTCTCGGGCTCTGATTGTGATCCGGAAATGGAATAATTGAGGCACAAACTCCAAGTATCATTGCTGGGTGAATCTCGCAATGGGTATATGTGTCACAGTAGCCACCTGCTTTTAGATCCTCAGGCATCATAGCCAGCATGACGGTTTCTGAAATCGATATATTCTTCTATAATCGAAAGCAAAAACTATCACACTCACCTTCTTCCATGGCGTCAATCAGCTCTACCACACCGCCTTCCACGAGGTTTGACCAACTGAAATTACTGCCGGATTCGCGATCCTGGAAAGTTCAGCTGTTTGATAATAAATAGTGACAATTTACAAAAAGAAGCGGAAGTGGAAACCTTGAGCATGTCAATATGCCGCTTTTTCAATGCGAGTTTCTGCTTCTCGACAATAAGAAGAGGTCGACATACGCGCCCTGCGTCGGTGTAGATTCGAATCTCTCGATCACGAATATCTCTTACCATGGAAACCTATACACCATAAGGAATAGATTTTACAGGAAGATTTTGTATTTCCACTGACTTCAGACACAATGATGTCCATTTGCCTGCGAAGTTTCTTCAACGTGGTCATAAGATGCTCAGGATCTCTGTGAATGCCCACCCAAGCTCCATTTACGAAAATCTTGGTGGCGTCAGCGATAGAAGATGGTGCAACTTCTGAAATCGAACGCAAGTGTTTCGCCACAATTCTATGCTATGAAAAGATGCAAACCCTCTAGATTTTCCATAGACCATTCTTCCAAGAATTCTAGGATGGGCTCCGGAAGTGAGCCGACAGAAATATACGCCATCAACGCCAAATTTTTCACCAGACCCACAGCCTGCCCTTCGGGAGTTTCAGCCGGGCACACCTTAAACAATCAATGTTAACCGACAGGATGCCCTCTTCAATCGGCTCCATACCATTCCCCATTGAGTATTGTGTAATTGACGAGGCTTCGCCAGCTTTCCTTCCCTTCCAATAGGCGAATTTGCTCGTCGTAGGTGGGATAGTGTAGCAGTGTAAGTCAACCGATTCAACACCTACAAGATAAACGATCACTTCGCGCTTTCCACGTCGAGATAACAAATTTACAGATGTTTTGTCCTCAATAGGAGTTGTCTCTATGGGGCTATAGGTTTGATGGCAATGAAAATGCGAAAAACTAAATGAATGTAAAACTGTCTAACCTGTGAAACACCAGCTCTTGACTGATGCGCTTTCTTCTGGTCACCCCAGTTTCCAGTAGCCAGCGAGTAGGCAAGACCACGAGTTATGGTGGACGTTTTGACGCAAACATCCAAAGAGAAATCTCCATTTTTGTTGATATATTTTTGTGCTGTCAGTCGCATCTGTAAAACATAAGCTATGCATAAATGGTCATTAACGCTTCTAAAAGTGACAAAACATACCTCTTTCAGCAAGTTTCTGAAAAGTGCTCGGAACAGAAAAGCTAGCAATGGACCGGCAAGATCCAGTCTTTTATTTCCGATGTGATCACGATCGTCTAGCTCACGACGACCCAATGCAGCCAGCAAAAGCCGGTGTACCATATAACCAATGAAGTACTAGAAGAATGGTATGAATATATGTTACGAATCAAACGGCAGTATCGAAAACTTGTAAAGGTTAACTTACCGCTTTCTTGGTTTCACAAAAGTCTGAGACTCCAACATGTGGTAGCAGCTCTTTCTGTAGAATTTCTTTAGCATATTTGATACGTTGTTCCTTAGTTACTCCTGGCTTCGCACCACGTGCACCGATGAAGTTCAGGGCCACATTTTGCTCCTGAAAAGCTTGTGTGCCTAAATGATGGATCGCAGATCGACCAAAAATCAAACACAGAAAATGTAGCATTGATTGAGAGAAATTTTCCATTTTTGATTACCTGGATGACAAAAGCTTCATCAAGAGAAGGTTTGACCATTTCCATCATTTCAGGATCTTCAAAGTCATAAATAATGTGTTCTAAGATATCTCGATCTGACACAAATCCCAGTGCACGGAATACTATCATCACAGGAATTTCCTAAACACATCCTTGAAAGAAAAATTCTCGAACATCAAATCATACCTGCTTGATATATGGTAAAATGGCTATGATTCGCTGACCCATAGCTGTTTTCTTTGCACCACCACCACTTCTCGCCATCATGTTCACCCACATAGTCGAAGTGGGGCGGCTACAGAAAACAACAATTGCTGACGACAAACTGATGCAAATGTATGTATCACCTGGAGTTCTCAAGGCAGGAACGACACTCAGCTTTGAAGGCATACTTTCCATCTTTCATGGAGAACACATACACTGTATTCGTAGCCATTTTCTCTTGGGCGATAAGGACCTATGTTCCTATTTATAGCTGTTATGGTGAATGCGCTGCTAAGTTAACTACCTTTTCAGAACCGTTGATAACAAAATACCCGCCTGGATCTAGAGGGCATTCGTTCAGCTCGGTAAGATCACGATCTGACATATTAGACAGCATACAGTAACTGGATCTGAAAACATGTATCTTGAAGAGCGACTCAGCCCTACGAGATGCATAACACTCCAAATATGATTTACCTTAGCATGATGGGGATCTTCCCTACGAAAACTTTCTCATACTTCCTTTCCGTCACATCGTCATCCCTTTGTATTTGTTTAGTTATGTCGACATACAATGGGGATGAATAAGTCAGATTACGCAGCCGCGCCTAAACCACACTATAGAATGCAAGTTTGAGCATGAGCTGCTTTACCTCATTCGGCATCATAGGAGTAGGAGCACCGTCTTTTTCCCAATGAGTCGGCTTGGACAGATAGATTTGATCAAACTTTAATGAGAATTTAGTGGGATTTTCTATGTCTCCTGTAAAATAAAGGATATATCAGAAGACTAATCACCCTTTGGCCAAAACATTGATAATGATAGCTGGCAATTACCTGAGAAATGCTGGACCTCAGCTTGCAGCTCCACAGGAGGTGAATCCTCTACAATTCTTTGCACATTCATTTGAATGAACTCGTCGAATGAATCGAGCTGCTGACGCACAAGTCCCTTCTCGTCAAAGTAAGCACTGATCACCACCCAGCATGCTTCCTAAACCCAGCGGCGGGAATAGGATGAAATAAAACATAACAAATAACAAACCTGCCAGTGTTCGCTGGAAATCTCCTCTTCATCCTCCTTTTCGACTTCATGTTCACCCGTCTCCCCATACTGCATATCATCATCATCATCTTCGTACATGGTTGTCTGTGTGAAAGAATGCCTCAGAATGACAAAATTGGAAAATCGTAGAAGATACACCAAACAACGTGGTTGTAAACCACTGCACAGTAATCAAAATAATCCTATATCTTCATTTTTATGGCACGGCTACACAAAAGTGATATAAATTACACAGCAACAACACAACATGAGCTAGAGATTTGGCACAAACAGGACTAGCAGAACGGAATGTTGGTAGAAGGTATTATGCGAATTAGAAAGATTATACCAGTAAAAACTTAAAGCGAATATAAGTTGAACAAAAAGTAAAAGAGCGACTAGCTAAGGATAGAAAACTAGAGCCAGCGTATGGACTGGACAAAACAATAAGTAACGTCGAATCATACTTATGTGAGACACTTGACGCTCTAATATGTAACATTCAGAAGGCTCGGCGCAGATGGCATATTGGATCATTCATTCCATGCATTAGACTCGCAACATCGAGTTTCCTTCGCAAGTAAATACAAAAAGACACACTGATCATTGGATTGGGAGCGGATATGAAGGCGGCAAAATAACAATAAAGTAAGTGCTTTTCCACACGAACCCTATTTGATAATAATTTCTTGTATACTAACCAAAGGGTTCTATGTTCGCCCATGTTATAGAGTTTTTAAGCTATCCGTTCTTGTTTTCCCCCCAACGCTTTCAGGATGAATATCCAACCGCACCAAGCGCTGAACGAATGTAAACACCAGGAACAAGACTCAAGAGATTATCCGACCACAGGTGGTCCTAAGTAAACCATGGAAACTTCAGTATTTCCATACACCGCACAGATAGCAGGGAAGAGCTTGACTGGTGGCAAATCCGTGAAGGCAAGGCCCAAGAATTCGCTGCCAGCGCGTTCAAAGTAGACAATGTGCCGGTCACAATCCAGAACTAACCGTACTCGTTCTCCAACCTACATTATAATCGAATAACAATTCACAACATGAGAGCTCTGACAAGATGAGAAAATTAATATTTTTGCGAACAACTGAACTTACCTGGTACTTTGGTGGGTTATTCACTCGTGGGTAAACACCGAGCTGTTCGCCATTATGAATCAATGTGTTATCAACAAGGTTCCATCCCCAACTTTGGTCATCACTTCCCAGCAAAGGCAAATACCCAGGACAGTGAAGAGCTGCGTGTCTAAAAGAAGAGATCGAAGCAATATGAGCAAGACAAGAACTGTTGAACGCACCTTGTTGCAACTCCCACAACTGCCACCGTCCCAAGGGGACCTTCCCAAGTGATGTCAAAGGCATGAACTCCTTGTGAGACACCAATCTGCAAAAAATTGGCGATATCTCAAATTAATCATAAGGGATTGATGATCCTTAGTGTTACCTTTCCTCGAACTCCATCAGTACTTTGCGCCACTGGCTGTCGATGAACAGTGAACCCATTGGCACGAACATAGTTGTTTCTACAACAAATCGGATAGTCGAACCATAAACAAAAAAAAGAACATACTTCGATACATCGTTCGGATTCCAAGCATAGTAAAATGCTCGCAGCTTTTTCTTATAGGTATTGAGCTCACTCAACAAGTAAGGGTCGGCTAAGGCTGATTCAGAAACTTTCTTTTGAGCTAATGCTCGCCATACAGCGCTATCCTAGAAAATTTTGGTAGTATACATAAAATTTTTGGTAGTATATATGAAATTTGAATAATAGATTCTATCAAATCGCACAATCACCTCAAAATTCAGTACATTGTACCAATGCCGGCAAACAAGTGTGCAACTGCGGAGATCAGAAAGTTGGAGGTATTGAAATATTTGTGACAAAATGTGATGGGGGAGCCGCGTCGCAACAACTGAAACAAATTGAATGGGATAAATCAAACAAAATCAACTGAGAGGAACAAAAGACATATTTAATTTTCATGCAAACCCCCAGAAAACATATTCCAATCTCCAACGAAAAGAGACGGCTTGTCATACCTGCGAGAGCTTTCCGCGGGGTTTTAGAGACAGAGGGAACTTCTTTTTCATCTGGTACAGTAATCATTTTGTCTTCTCGAACCATTCCCGAAGCTTCAATGCCAACCCCTCTGAGGCCTGTCCCCAATATGATGAAAAACAAAAAATATAAGGGTACTAGACCATTCATCAGACAGACAACAGGCTCAGATGGATATTCATAATCAAACTTAAAACACTGCATATACATACTAGGCAATGTGATGTTTTCTTGACTATTTCTTGACTTTGGCTATTTTAGCTTTTGTCTTGTCTCGTCCGAGAGCTTTCTTTGCGTCTTCATCGGAGAACATTATGGTCGGTGAAGAGAAACTGAAAAAAGACATGAGCACAGTAAACACGTGAGCACCACATACTTGAAGAGTTTTGGTGAAAGTAATTCCTTGTCGCGCAACACATCTGCACTCTTCTCTGTATCGCTACCTTCTTCAACTGAGGGTGTCCATGTGGGAAGACAACCAGTCTAAGAGAAAAGAGTATAGAAACGCGATAATGAGAAGAAAGCATTGCTGAAGGCAATACTTTGAGCTTCTTCTCCGGCTGTAAGCAGTCTTTCAAAAGCAAAATCTCTCCAATATCGCCAGGTACACTTCCCTTGACGTAAATAACCTGTTTGTCGATATTCATACGAACGACCTGAACAACTGAACAATGAAAAGTAGAATACATAGGTTTTACAATAATGTGAGTACCTCAAGCCCGCTCACGGTGACCCATTCATAGCCCATATGGCCTGGCATACGTTTACCAGGCCAAACGCGAGCATCACCTGTTGAACCAATAGCTCCAATGCGTCGATGTGACTTGGTGGTGCTGAAAAAACATCAAATTCGTAGGATTCAGTAGCAGTCTACGGAAAAAACGTACTTTCTCGCAGGTTGTCCTCTCATTCCCCATCGATGCATACCACCTTGAAATCCCCAATCAATGGTTTTCCCTGTGGCAGTCACATACTGTCCCACAGTGAAATGTCGAGCATCTAAGCTAGTTCCTACGGTTGGTAATGCTTCCTCGGACACCTGCAAAGACAGCGGAACACATTGGATTTGAAAAGCTGGGCAGCAAACAGAATCAAAAGTAATTCTAGTGATAAATTGAACACTTACCAAAAATGATCCCAGATGCTTCTTTACAGGAACACAAGCACGTTCAAACTGTTTACGATAGGCATGAGTGAACCTGTCATAGTTGCCGTTGATAGCGCCCACTGTAACCTAAACTATTTGAGTAACTATTCCGAAATAGATATACAACAATGGGAGATCTTACTTTCCACAAAGGACCTTCTCTGTTGAAAGCTTTCCTCTTTCCCACTATGCTCCTACGATACCATTCCTCTGGCGAAATGACGCTCACGACGTGATTCTGGGATGAAATTGTAGCGCACTGTGTAGACAGTACGAGATATAACAGTGACAATGAGAAAGCTCATGGGAATATAGTATGCTACAAGAGAAAGCTCATGGGAATATAGTATGCTACAAGCTATTGATATGACTGAAAAATCAAGAGCAGCAGCAAGTTAGCTGACGAAGCACGGGAGTTCAAAGGCAGCGTCCCGACAGAATGGGAAGTGCAGTTTTAGTAGCAGTGTGAAAACCGACTCCCTAACAAAGCGATGACAGAAGTTCGTATCCGGAAAAGTATTTACGAAGTCTACATTTCGCCAGCAAAATGGCTACGGTCGGCCCAAACTCCTCCCACCTGACGGCAACGGTGGCCGCTGTTGCGTTTGACTCGTCCAAGTGCAACTTAAAGAGCTTTTGAATGGGCTCATTTTTGCCATTTTAAGGCGCTGCCTGACGTATAAAATCAGTGTTCAGAAAAAGCTCCGAAAACGCGAAAAACCAAAATTGAAATTTTGCTGGAACACTGCCTTTGAGCGACAGTTATGATGTTATTGCGCACTACAACTACTCTCTTTGAAGCAAATAAAGTTCAAAGAAACGCAATTTATGTATGAGTAGAATACTAGAAATCAGAAAATACCTCGCGAACTTCAAGAAGAGTGCATAAGATGCGATCGCCATCAACGGTCCATTGCGGCAGCATTCCTATTTTGCGCACTAATAATCCTAGAATATGACAACTTCAAAAAAACCGATCAAGAACAAAAGACACTGTACAGTGCGTGAGACTGAAATAAGCAGTGCTCTAACAAAATGCCAAATAAGATTCTTATCTACTACTACCATCAACATACCTACCCGCCTGACTGGCGGTTCTATTTCAGCTAGCGCCGCCTCACACTGTTGCGTGCTCGTAGCGGCCAAGCTCATGGCAGCTCTCTTCTCTGCAGCGACTACCTCGCAGAGCAGTGTTCTTAAAATTCCATTTGTAAATTCAGGAATATGTTTGCTTGGTATTTACCGGTTTGCGTCATCCAAAAAGTCTTCATGACTTCGCTCCGCAACCGGAGGTAGCTGAAAAACGGAGACCTTGTATATTTGCTGCGAAAAATAGTTGGTACTACCCATGGAGAAGGAGTGAGCGTGCGACGTCGTCCACGAGACTGGAATAGGGTGACTGACGGTTTCGGAACAGCAAGAAGAGTGGACGCTTCCACCGCCGATGACAACAGTGGCGTAAGCGCCACACGCAACAACATCGCGTAGTATTAATTTCCAAGTCTGGAACCACAAGATGTTTATCTGAAATTGGTAAAGCTTACAAGGGAATGATCAAAAGTCGAAGTGGTCAAACCAAACAAGCTGTATATCATTCGATGCAGTATAAAACGCTGACTTTGAATCTGTCTTCCTTATCTGCTTATCGCTTCTGTGGACGAAGCTACAAGAGGTTTTATTGCGAAAAAACAATACATAAAAACAGCGAAATTAAGCACATTGTGGCACTTTTAGCTCAGCTTCTGGCTTTAAAATTTTGAAGTAAGCTATATACCTGCATGTTTTGGCCCAGCATTGAGGCAAAAGTGGCTCTGTACGGCTGAATTTTCAAGTTCAAGCATAATTTCTTAGCAAAATAATGGTCTCTAATAGCTTATAGCTTCGTCTAGAAAAGCGATAAGCAGGTATGGAAAACAGATTTAGAGTCAGCGTTTCATGCTGCATCTAATGGTATATGCAGCTCTTGTGGATTGGCCACTTCTATTTCTGATCATTCCTTTGTTAGGCACACGCCATACATTAACTTAATCAGATTGTCCACTTCGTTATTGGTTAAATCACTAAACTGACCAATAAATACGTGGATGAAGTGATTCAAGTGGATAAGGTGGACATTCCCTTCAAGATTGGTCAGTTCACTGAGTTGACCAATGTCGAAGTGGACAAGTGGATCAAGTGGATTATGTACGGCACCTGCTTAATGAAATGGGCACATAAATCAAAGAAGATCGATACGATAAAGAGCAGGAAAGTTAATGGAGAAGTGGAGAGGATGTGTTAAATGCTACCTGATCCAGGATCAAAGCACTGCAAATCAGAAAGCACGTATCCGACCGAACAGTTAATAACGCGCAGCTTCAGGGCATTCAGCGAAATTAGCAGGCATGTCAGTGAATTCAGTGAGACAGATGCATAAATGAAATGCTACGACTAGTTAAAAGCAAATGAATTCATACTGCACCAAGAAACAACAAAGGAAAAGATGTTCACTGGGATTATTACAGCAAAGTGAAAGAGAGTAAAGGGTGGAAACATACAGAATCTCTTCGGAAGTTCATGAGACACTTCAACACTGGAATTACAGCAGGAATTGCATAAAGAAACTCGACAACACAATGAGTTCGATCCCCTTTTCGTAATTTCAGCACTGCTGGCTCAAAAATTTGCGACGAGAGCAGCGAGTTGCGATTGGAGCGCGCCGGATGAAGCAATCACTTCACATTCTCCCTTTCATTCACTTCCTCCACTTCATTAGATATTATCGATAGTTCGTTGACTATGAGCAGGATTCCGCAATGAATATACGCCCTGCATGGATCACAAATCCGTAAGAAATGCAAAAACTTTCTACGTACTCTTGCCAGAAATTTCAATGGCGGAAGCTTGCAAAATCTCAAAATTGGCGCGCTCTATGGCAAACAACGTGACGCGGACGCGTGAAGATTCTAATGTTACGTGCAAGATGCATTCATTTTACAAATCCACTCTCTTTCCTACTGAAACAGCTATTTTTCTGATTATAAGCTTTTGGGATACTCCGTTATCGTAAATGATGGAAAAAGGATGCTGTCTCACAAGTATGAGTCTATATGAGCCTCATTTGGGCAGCTTTTAGATCCTTGGATGTTCATCTGCATAGATACTTCAGGATTCCAACTTCTTATAGAAGTTCCAATAGATTTGTGAAGTCCGAATAGGCTGATCGTTATCGATGCCCATATTTCTTGCTGTGTTTTTGCCTAAATGCGCGCTTATTTTATTGTATCCAAATTCTGACATTTCTTTCGTTCCGCCAGCTGCGTTGTGATTTAGTCTGACTGATGGTGAATATCCTTGAAAGCACTTTTCTTCAAGTCATATTATGGTAACCCATCTCCACGTTTTCACGCTGTCTCGAAAGGCGTACGAATTTCGTTATTTGTTTTCATTTTTTTCCATGTCCTCGCCGATGTGCGCCCTTTTTGTGAATGTGCTATCGCAACACGCACTATGATTTGGCCTTTTCAAGATTTGTGGGGTTAAGTAGTGGATGATACCGGCGAACGAAATGATTACTCTTGCGTCGCCGGATGCTCGTGCTTCCCCAGCCACACAAGCTCAACAAGCAGCGCAACCTTCTGCTCCTGGAATGCAAGTAGACAGGTTGGAACAACTTTACGGATCATCGAAGAATTTCGGACTATGAAAGTACATAAATTAGGTTGTCCCAAAAGTAAACTCCTTTTTGAGTACAACCTGTTTTTATTTTCCTAGTCTATCTAGGATATCATTCGATAGAACAGATCAAGCTCTACAAAATGACTGCCATAGGTCCGCCTATGTAGCCTTCCATGTAAAGTTCGAAGTCAAAATCGAAAAAAATTTTGTCGCCTGAAAATTGGATTTTTGCGAAGAAGAATCTACGGATCTCCAACTTGGTCATTATACAGTAGGCACATATTAGTACTCAGATATGCTTTTACTGGATTTTTTCCGCGCACAGAAAGCGAGAAAAATAAGATAGTCCAAAAATGGCAAACTCCGCCCCCAGCCCCTCTCACATATGCCATTAAAAACTACGAGCCTTACTAAGTATAAACTGCAAATTTCACCCCCGCATATGTTCTTATAATCGAGAAATACCAAGCTTTACATTTAAAAAAACCGAAAAAGTGGCATTTTGGCATATTGGGACCGCCTCTGTTTCTCAATTTTGAGCCGCGGAGAAAATCACCAAATACATTTTGGGGTGCTACTGTGTGTCTACTATATAAAGACCAAGTTGGAAGTCCGTAGGAATCTTCTGAAAGGAGATCCGATTTTTAGGATAGCTGAAAATTTTTTATTTTTGGCTCTAAATTTTATCTGGGTTATGAATCAGGTGGATCTTTAGTAGTTTTTGTAGAGCTTGCTCCTAAATTAGTCAGAAGAACAAAAACAACTCAAGTTATTTGAAAATGGAGTTTACTTTTGGGGCAATTTAATAGTATGCTTAAAATGACATTAACATCGTTACAGAGAAGAAATATTGCAATGGATTTTGGATTTGAAAGATTGTAACAAGCGAGAAAATGCTCTTTTGGAGCTGAGTAAGAAGAGAGATAGCGTACCAGAACTGCCAATCTGGTTGTGGTATTCTTTTGGCACAATGGCTGCACTTCTACAGGAGGTACGTCGTGGGATCTCCTATTTTTAAAATTTACATCATATGACCTCTCCATTTGCCAGTTTTTATCGTTCAAATGCGAAAGAAAATATGGAGGCTGTGACACATAGAGATTTTGACTTTTAACTCAAGTAATAAGGTTCCCATAGCAGTGGAAAAGGAAGAATGTATTTAATTTCAAACAAGGGGAACTTTCTTACATGTATGGACAATCACTAGTCGTTAGAACATTATTCGTAGAGGAAATCTATTGAATTTTGCTTTTGATCTCACTAGCGACAGATCCTACGTTTTTAAACTTTCATACTTTGCCTGCACGTCATTATCTTGTGCAGTTTGGAATAGGCCGCATATCGCCCGCAATTGGACAATAGTCAGCTGCTTCAGCATAAAGTATTCCCGTCGTGGCAAAGTCACTATCTGTCGATAGCACATAGTTTCAAGTAGTCATGCTGTTTTGAAAAGGGCTTTTTGGTTTGCTCACATTTGCAAGTCCTTTTTTGCGGACATGAGGCAACCTTCACGTTTTTGCTGCCCTCTTATACATCTTTTTTCTTGGGAAAATTGATTGATTTTTTATTGATATGTTTTTATTGATATGGGAAAAGAAGCCAAAGATAGATTAATATCGAAGTGAAGCCGCAGAAGGAACCTCTTGCAGCCTAAGTAGGAAATATGATGGGAGCATATGTGGCGGCGCAGCTACGGAACACGAGAAACGTGCTGGCACCATTAGGAAGAATCTAGCTTCGGGAATGCTCATACAGAGAGAAATCTGTTCGAAAACCCCTGAGATTGTGTAGAGAGAACAAGAAGGCAGAAACCATTTAATGCGTGTTTTATCTTGAAACATAGTGAGGAAAGCAGCAAATGTATTTTTAGGCCCGTATGCACGTACATCTCCGCTGGGGAGGGGATGGGATCTGAGAGGGGATGCGTTATATCTCGCTACTCTACGTATCTTTCTTCTTCCTTTTCTATCTTGCTTATGAAGGTTCTCTACCCTTATACCTGCGTATAATGGATGCCTGGTTACTGGCGTGATTGATTAGATTTTCACTAATTTATGTGATTTCCTGGGGATCCCCAGGGGATCACCTCTCAATTTCAATGCCGTCTATTTTTGAAAACTCAATGAAAACGCTGTAAAATTGTACGATATACTATGACACTGCTAAAGATGATTATAGTAAAATAAGTGGAATCTTAAGATATCGAAATCTTCGTTAATCCCTAGCTCGCGAGCCAGGGATCATCAATTCACAATCTTCAGATTCCATTTCCTCTGTCGAAAATATGCTTAGCAGTCTCGTAGTACATCCTCAGTACAATTTTACAGTTTTTTCATTGACTTCTCAAGAATGTTAATCACTCTGAAAATGAGAGGTGATCCCCTGGGAATTCCCTGGGGATCCAAAGGGAATCACTCAAAATGGTAAAAATCTAATCAATTATGCCAGTAACTTGGCATCCATTATCGCAGGTGTAAGTTATGAAAAACTTATAAGCATGATAGAGAAAGAAGAAGAAAGATACGTAGAGTAGCGAGATATGACTCATTCCCTCTCAGATCCCCTCCTCTTCCCAGCGGGGATGTACGTGCATACGGCCCTTGGTGAACTTTCTGCCCACGCTCAGTTGTTTTATATAAAAGCGGCCATGCGCTCCTAGTGGCGTGTACCGGCTCCGGTAGGAACTACAGTGGCTCTACCTGCTCTCAGAAGTGGCTATATGCGCATTAGGAGCTCTTATGAATAATGGGATCGGAATTTATGCTGCAGTTGATACTGGATGACGTCAGTGACGATAGACTCATCGTATTTCTCAGGTCATTGCCATATATCCAGCCATTATGCCGGCGAACTTGACAGCTGCACAATCGAATCGCGTTTGTAACGCTTTGGCATTGATGCAGTGTGTAGCTAGTCACAAGGATACGAGAGGACCGTTTTTACAAGGTATATATTCGCATTTTCCGAACTTTGTTCTCTCTATATAATATGACTTGATGCAGCTTCATCTATCGTTTTTCTTCTGTCTTTATACTGACATTTCAGCGCATATTCCTTTGTATTTGTATCCCTTTTTGCACACAACAAAAACATCCCGTCCATTCGAATATCTCCGCCTAACCTCACTTGGCGTGATTGGTGCTTTGGTGAAGACTGACGAGAAGGAGGTACTGCTCATTTCTAGATGCTTTCTTTTCCCATCACTGAAAATGTAGTTAAGGTTATCTCTTTTCTTTTATCCACGGAAATAATTCCGCTGTGTTTGCGAATCATGGAGCAAGGAACAGAACTATCCAAAACTGTTGCTACATTTATTCTTCAAAAAATTCTCTTGGATGATACTGGCTTGTCATACATATGTCAGACATACGAAAGATTTAGTCATGTGGCCATGATCCTCGTGAGTTTAGATCATCATATTCAAAAAAGTTAATATAGTCGTTGTCAGGGTAAAATGGTGATGAAGCTTTCTCGTGATCCCTCTTCTCGATTGCTGAAACATGTGATTCGTTGTTATAGTCGTCTTAGTGATAATCCACGGTACGGAAGACTTTGAGTCTATGCTGCCTCATATTAAATTCGTCTCTGAAAGTTTCTTCCAGCGCTCAACAAGCCTTGCGTCAGTGCTTGCCGGACCAGCTCAAGGATGAGACTTTCAAAGCCGAACTTGATGAGGATAAATCTAGTCGACATTGGCTCCGCTCCCTGATGAATAATCTTGGTATGCTGCAATCTTTATAACTTTTTGCGCGGCTTCATTTCGAGGTCTTTCCAAAAAATAATACTAGTTAAAGTTTGGTCATACACAAAAATCCTAAGGTGACGCTGCTTTCTTGCATCGGCATCATTCTTGCTTCCCAAGAATGTGCGCGTCATGGGCGGGCTCTGGCTTTAAAGGCAGTGTCCCGGCAGATTCGGGTCCTGGGGGATATACGTGTGGTGGGGTTCCTGGTCACCCCATCGACCTCCAGGCGCACTCCGGCTGGGTGATGTTGGGTGGAGGACATTAGGTCGCCGAATTTGGAAGAGTCCCGCGCGGATTGCCCTGCAAGAACGTATGTCCGCGCATGTACAAGGGTGCGTATTTGTCGCAAATGACCGCGGGGACCGCCCTTTTTCGGCGACCTAATGTCCCCCACCCGGTGATGTTCCCCCTGGGCCGAGAAAATGGCCCTTGAACCGGCGCGCGCTTGGACGGCCTTCCCCGCCTGTTCGGCGCGGGACCTACGAGCGCTCTCCCCTATGGTAGGTGCCAGAGTAAGCGAATATTTTGTTCAAGTTGGGGTCCCGCGCAGAACTGGCATCACTAATCATTGTGGCATAATGCCAACTTGGCGTTGTGCCACAATGATTAGTAACGCCAGATCTGCGCGGGACCCCAACTTGAACAAAATATTCGCTTACTCTGGCACCTACCTATGATGCATGCTATCCAAAGCAAGAATTACAGGCGGCAGGATCTTCGTCTGAGGACCTCCCCCAACTTTCCATCAAAAATCTCGTCCAAGCTGCTTTTCTGGAATTAGGAAAACGCCCCAAAATCGGCCTTTTCAGCCCATTTAAAGCTCAAATTCGGATTCTACGTGGCGAAAAGGCCTAAAACATGCAAAAAGGTGGAGGTGCAAAATCTGCCGGGACACTGCCTTTAAAGTTGTGTTGTACTAGATGACCATGAACAGACCTTGTTAATATGGATACTCTTCCCCCTCTTTTCCCCGTAAAGCATACTGTTCGAAGCATAGAACACATGAGCAGATTAACTTAGGTTTTATTTGCTATGCTGCATTTTTGTTCATGTTTTTTGCAGACATCCACTGTCCTGCTGCTGAAGCTGAGTGACCGACCGTCAATGAGAATTCGATTTGTTTGAGTCTTGTGAGTTTTGCGTTTACTTCGAGCGGCATTAAACCGTTGTGCAATTGTTGCTGAATAATTAACGAATTTTCAGTGGCTGCGAATCGTTCAGATATATGTTATGAGAAGTTACGGTGTAAATTCGTGTATGCATCATACACCTTCTATGAAGTGATGGAGTGTAAATCGTAGTTAATGTAGATATTTGATACAATGTTTCCATCAAGCATTCTCTTCTGTTGTCGGTAGTCCAGTAAATCTACCATTGCCGCAGAGAACACCTGGGGTTCTGATATCATCTGCCACGCGGCACTTGGTTTGTTATGTTTTGATTCCGCCGCTATGCTGCTCATTTTCAGTCTGAGTTTCGCTTCGATCAATATGTTGAAATTTACGAAGACAGATCAGAGCGGCAGTATTAAGTTGGAGAGGCCGATTCAAAACCTTTTGAAGCATCAGATTTCCGTACCGTGGGGACGTATAGAGTGCTTGAAGGATTTCTAAAAAGGGAAGGATACTTGGTCGAAGTGGGGTTTCCATATGAAATGTATACCATCTTATAGAGCATGGAACGCTGATTCCAAATCTGCTTTCCTTACCTGCAAAGCGCTTCTGAGAGGGGAGTTCTGGGAATTTTTATTGGTAAAAATTCAGTGGTTTGGCTAAGGTAAAAACAGGTGTTAAGATCTTTCCGGTGCTTGAAAAGAGTAACGACTGACAAGAGCTTATCAGATTGAAGGTAGTATTGCATAAAACGCCCTTGTAGTGATCATAGCCCCATTCGAGCTCATAGACTGCACTTTGAATGATTTTATTGTAGCCGCGCGTTCGAATTTTTGCGCCAAAAAATTCCCATAACTTCCCTTCCAGAAGCGCTTTGCAGATATGAAAAGCAGATTCGGAACCAGCGTCCTAAGCTCTATAAGACAGTATACATTTCATAACGAAAGGCCACTTTGACCAAGTATCCTTCCCTTGTAAGTGCTGTAGATTTTGGATGTTCAACACTTTTTGGATCTTGTTGAGTTAGTAAATTATACTTTTCAAAGAGGCTAAGTGTGTTGGAGAAGGTTCATCTTAGGTTCACGATATTAAATAGTGGGATACGCCGCAAGGGGTAGTGCTTAGACGAACAAAAAGTACAAACGCGATAACAAAACCATCAACATATTATCAAAAGTTTAGTGAAGCTTAAGAAGCTATAGGTGAAGCTGATGTGAAGAAGCTATAGGTGAAGCTGAAGTTTAGGAAGCTTAGGCTATAAAAATGAGCAGAATGGCGGCGAAATCAAATTGAGCGGTGAAGTCCCGCTGGTAAACGCTGCTTTGCTTCTGGGATCTCAAAGTCTGTTCGTTGCGTTTGCATCTTTAGTTCTTATGGATCAAGAATTTAGAAGTTATACATGAACAACGGTGTATATCGTGACTCATCGCTCAAGAGTTATTGTAAATGCTGAGTTTGTTAGTGTACATCATGTTCTGATTTTAAAGATTCCCAGCAACGGAAGAGGATAATTTGCTATCGGTCAACGAGGTTTTCTTTGTTTATTGTTGCATTACTTGTATGTGTACTTACCGCTTCTTTTACATTGGTGATCAGGCCTAACTGTTTCCTACATAAAACATTGCTAGACTTCATAACGAGTGCTTAACTGGTTCAGATCCAGCTTATTTTTAGTTTGCCTTTCTCTTTTTTTCTTATTTTCTCATGTTGAGGGATTGATTGCATGTTATTGGTATTTACCATTTGCGTGCTTCTGTTTGTCAAATCTGTTTCTGGTAACAATGGTGGTTGGAACACTGAGGAGAAAGATGTTGTCGGCAGAGATGGACCATGCAATATCGAGAGGCACGACGCCAATCATCTGACGGAAAAGGAGTTTCTGAAAAGGTATTCTGTTTTTTTCATGTTAGTACTTAGACATATGTCTTCTACCACATCTACACTTACCTGAAATACTTTTTGTGTGAATGAGGAATTTCTGGGAGAAACCATTACCGAAAATCCAGCGTGCACATCTTTCCACGGTGATTCTTCCTTTAGATTCATGGTTGATATCAGCCGTTATAAGGACTTTTGCAAATTTTTAGTTATTTTTCTGTTGAAGAGGAAGTTGGGAGCCGCGAGTGATATTCATACTCATGGTATTCGTGTAATGGCTAAAACAACCGTTAACCTGAGCTTTGCCGTAATCACTCTAGAGTCAGAAAGTAAGTCGCACAGCGGATTTGCACTACAGTGGAAAGCGCTACTTTTTAGCGGCACGCAAAGACAGTCTGGTACATCGCTTCGGCCAAAACTGAAAGATGTTTTCCCTAAGTTTGCACTTTTGCCACAGCTGTTTCTTTCAGATATGCTTACCAAGAACCGGTGGTGATTTACAATGTGGAGAACAACGACTTTCGTAAGCTCACTGCGAAGGTCGAAATGCTAAAGGATTGGAAAGACACACCAGTAACCTTAAACTCGGCCAACACCTACAGTTATACTCGAGTATGTCTCATAAGATGGCGAAGTGCAGTTTTTCAGATGACGAATTTACAGGTCCCTACCACTTTCGGACAGTATTTGGAAGAACGTCTTCTACCGCAGAGTCTCGATACACTTGGCAATGAAACTATGTACTTATTTGGCGACTTTGACCGAAATCTATGGGCTCCATTGCTGGATAATTATCACATTCCGAAGTGGTCGCTGCCTGGGCATCGTCCTGCCCTCAGCTTCGGGATTGCTGGTGCAGGTGCGGTGTGTCAAGGAAGACCTTAACGCCACTATTTGATCATGTTTAGGAACGGGTGTGCCTTTCCACTTTCATGGACCTGTCTTTGCCGAGGTTATATATGGTTCGAAGAGATGGTTTCTGTATCCATTCGAGGATCGTCCAGATTTTGATCCGGATCATTCAACCCTGGAATGGTGAGTGTTCTATACGTGTCAGTCACTAAAATTTCGACAAGTAAAGCCGCTTGAGGCAGTGTCCTTATGTCTTTCCCTCTAGCTTGATTTGTTGTCTCCAGGTCTGTTCTTGCTCAAGGACAGTATGCGGTACATACGCAGTACAATTCTATAGATATTAACAGTGATCTAGGGTGATCCTTTTTCATTTCTAAGTTCTCGGACGGAGTTCAGGCGATTTCATCTCCTCACGATTCCCCGCAAGATAACAGTTACGAGACCAGTGCATGTTCATCTTTCATTTCGTTGTGATAGTTTTCCGATAAAACTAATCGTTACTACTTTCACAACCGAAATTCAAGATGATCAGCATGCGGACTATAACTGTTGTCCTGTCGGGAGAATCGAGGCGATAAAATTGCGTGAACTCTGCCCGAGGTTTAAGATGTAATCGGGTAGTTCTCTCGTGCTTGGAAAGAAAAAATGCGTGACCTTCTTTTTACCAGTTGCGTGACTATCTTTTTTCTCTTATTCAAAGGCATATAGTATGCTGCAGTTATGTTTGTTATTTAGGTTTGCAAAGAACTACACCAGATTGCCGCGAGACAAACGTCCACTTGAATGTGTAGTGAAACCTGGAGAGTTAATCTATCTGCCTGATAAATGGTGGCACGCCACCTTAAACACCGAAACCAGCGTATTTATTAGCACTTTTCTTAGTCCTTGATCAAATCACTAGTGAGGGCAAGTAGTGGAGCTGTTTAGCTGCTAAATTGTTGATTTGGCTTGCTTGAAGTTGTTACGTTCATGATCTGATGTGGATCTTTATTAGTCGATGATTCTTTAAACTGTTCCCTTTTTTTGGGGCAGTCTAAACCTCGGGTTCAGTTCGGGAATGTTTTGATAATCCATATGTGCAAATTTTTTACTTTCTCAGTCCAGTTGACCGCATTTCAGTCTGTTTTGCTTTACAACATTGTAGTCATTGGTAATGAATTTTTCTGTCGTGGAATTCGATTTTCTTATTTGATGCTGTTTGTCGGCATTTACTATCGATAAGTCTCTAACTCATTATCACCATTCAAACTTAAAGAAAGTGTAGGTTTGTTCCCGACTTGAAATATGGCTTCTCGTCGACGTGGAGTTGGCGTTGCTGCTGTACAGCGCAAACAGGAAACTCAGGTTTGTTCCTCATATCAACCGGCTTCGATTCGGGGTGCGCAGATTGACAATTTATAGGCGAAGTTCAACGCAAAAGGTGAACAAATGGCTAGCGAGCAGTTGCAGATGTTTTCAAAACAGTTAGAGGAATTTACGATACGGTAAGTGGCCCTGTTGGCAAGTGGAAGACACCTTTTTGAGATAGATTCCGAACAGAAGAACGCCCAGAAACTTTTCAAATTAGATATGTTTAGGCTAGAACAATTTGCACACCGTCATCGTGATGAAATTCGCAAAAATTCTCAGTTTCGACGTCATTTCCAAGAGATGTGTGCTAGCGTAGGGGTCGATCCACTTGCATGTAAGTCTAACACATTGACGACAATACGACCCACCGGTGGGTCGTACGTGTTCTGCCATTTCGGACAGTACGACCCACCGGTGGGTCGTAAGATTCATGCAACGCTATCTTTGCCAGTTTACGACGGAATTCTACGGGGTTCTAGCACATGATTGGGGGGACCTAGGTGAAGCTCCATTCAGAGTAGTCCGGGCTCGGGATACTGTAATGTAATGTTACGGTTGGTATACGGTAGATATATATAAGGCACAAGCTTTAGCTCAAATTCTTCGCAAAATGATGCTTTTTCAGGAGAATCAAGTTTACATGTAAGAGTAATACGGGGCGGGGAGGAGGCTGACGTTAACCCATCAAAAAATTATCGATTTTATTGATTTTATTGGTTTTTTGCATTTTTCATCCTAGGAAGCTCGAACTTTGCATATATAGGTTTTGCAGCGTGCTGAATACGAAAATGATAGTCTCAAGTTTTGATACCACCTTCTAACATCAGTTTCTTGATTTCTACGAAAATTCTACCGTGCTGCTACCGTAGTCTCACCGTGAGAATATGTGAACAAAGTGGGCACTATAGTCGTGATTAGCACCTGAAATAACCCCGGTACACAGATTTTCATGAAAATCGATGACGTTGGGTTCGTACAGAATGACTACCGTAACCCTACCGTATAACGCCAAAAACTGAAATAAATCATATTTTGGCAATCAGCGCGTTCGATAACCCTTGTGGGGAAATTCTCGGAGACATGTTCTGAACTTCCCAAAAAGACTACCATTTCGGACAATACGACCCACTGGTGGGACGTAAGTTTGGCAGAGCAAAAAAGGCTTCTGTCCGAAATGGCAGTAATCGAAAACTCGGCCTTGTCGTCAATGTGCTAAAGTCTTTTTCGCATCTGCCATCTTATATATAAAGCTGAATGTCTGTTTGTATGTATGTATGTATGTATGTCTGTACGTATGTTCCGAATAGAAAATTCCATTTCTGAACCGATCCGGACCAAACTTGGCACACATACACTTCGGGCCCCGGCGGGTGTCATAGGCTACTTTTCGTCATCGATCGATATCGATTTTATCGATTTTTATCGATTTTTTTGCTGAGTTCACCTACGGGGCTGGGAGTTGGCACAGGGGGTAATCGAGCATGGGTATTCCGAATACAATATTGGTTTTCAGGATTATCGATTACTTTTATCGATTTTATCGATTTTTTTGCAAAGTTTGAGCTACGGGGCTGGGAGTTGGCACAGGAGGGTAATCGAGCATGGGGATTCCGAATACAATATTGGTTTTCAGGATTATCGATTACTTTTATCGATTTTATCGATTTTTTTGCAAAGTTTGAGCTACGGGGCTGGGAGTTCGCACAGGGGGGTAATCGAGCATGGGGATTCCGAATACAATATTGGTTTTCGGGATTATCGATTACTTTTATCGATTTTATCGATTTTTTTGCAAAGTTTGAGCTAGGGGGCTGGGAGTTGGCACAGGGGGGTAATCGAGCATGCTGATCATCCCCAAGGGGGGTGATCAGCATGCTGTTACACCCCTGTGCCAAATTCTAGCCCCCTAGCTCAAATTTTCAAAAAATCGATAAAATCGATAAAAGTAATGGACGATCTTGAAAACTAATATTGTATTCGTAATCTGCATGCTCGATTACCCCCCTGTGCAAACTCCCAGCCCGGCAGGTCAAACTTTACAAAAAAAATCGATAAAATCGATAAAAGTAATGGACGATCCTGAAAACTAATATTGTGTTCGTAATCAGCATGCTCGATTACCCCCCTGTGCAAAATCCCAGCCTCGCATGTCAAAATTTACAAAAAATCGATAAAATCAATAAAACTATCGATAATTCTGAAAACTAATATTGTATTCGGAATCCCCATGCTCACTTCCCCCCTGTGCCAACTCCTAGCCCTGTAGGTGAACTCTGCAAAAAAGTCGATAAAAATCGGTAAAATCGACATCGATCGATAACGAAAAGTGGACTGTGACACCCGCCGGGGCCCGAAGTGTATGTGTGCCAAGTTTGGTCCGGATACGGCGGAGCCGGGTAAGCCAGCTAGTGTTTTATGAAAATTTTCAGCTGGAAAGGGTTTCTGGGCGGAAAAGCTGGGAGTAGGAGACTTCTACTACGAACTTGCTGTTCAGATCGTAGAGGTAGGACTCCTTGTTGATAGCTCATCTTCAGTGTATTTTCTTACCTTTTTCTTGCTTTATTCTCAAGGTGTGCTTGTCTACAAATCACATCAATGGAGGAATCATGACGGTAGAAGAAATTAGGAATCGACTGATGCGCAGCAGATCTCGTACAAGAAAGGAGACTATCACTACGTAGGTTACAATAGGTTATATTAGGTTATATTCTCTGTTCTGAAAAATCCGATTGTCATTATTCAGAGATGACATACTACGTGCTGTCGATAAGCTCAAAGTCCTAGGAGGAGGATTTGAACTAGTGCCTTTGGGTGGTGGCCGCTTCCTCGTACAGTCTGTTCCTGGTGAGCTGAGCATGGATCATTCTCGTGTACTGCAACTTGCGGAAGATGCAGCTTATGTTACCAAAGAACTGATCATTGATAGGCTACGGTTCGTTCTTGCCGTTATATTAAATATTATCTTGATTATTCATCTGACGCATTTAGCTGGGACGAACCACGGGCGCAGGCTGTGCTCGACCATCTAGTCAAGGAAGGTTTGGCCTGGGTAGACGAACAAGCTACTGATACCATTCAATACTGGGTACCATCGTTGTTTCTACAGCAATATTGTCACTCGTCGAGTAGCACCAGCGTCTCGGAAAGTCTACAAAGCATGAGTGCTTATTGAAGCTTCCCTCCATCTACTAGTGTTCGATTATTGTGACTTGTGTATTCATCGGCCACACGGGCCGGGCGGTTGATGGATCACCTATGTCTGATTCATCTAGTCGTGCTGTACAAATCAGTTGCTTCTAGCTGAGAAATATGTTGTTGTTTTTTCCTAGAGTCATAATTCTTAGAGCCCATATGGAAGAGCTGCAAGTCAAAATTTGACCGTATTTCTGTCTTCACAACATAATCTCATACTAGTCAACGTGTTTTGAGCTGATCTTGCCGGAATTTGCAAATAATTATGGTATAATGTTTTCCTTTACTTCCCAATAAAAGTATCTCATTAGCGTGCTGATGTTTTATTGTGCAAAGCAAGTATTTACAATTGCTTATTTTTGTTTTGAGACCTGGAAGTAATTAGCTTACTTCTGCATCAGGTCGCGATGTCAGTCAATCGGATTCGTCCCGAGTACTCTGGACCACCAGAACTGGTAAGTAATCCAGCTTCATTATTGTTGTTACGAGAAATTCTTGCGCTCAACCGCCATTCAAGTCATTGGACCGTCCATAGTCCTGCATTAAAGTTCCTGAAAGAACTTGTTATGAGAAAGCTCTGGAGCTGAATGCTGCTTTGACAGTAAGCAGTCTTCTTTGAAGGCAGCACTCTGGCAAAACGATGCGTACCTATACTTCAAATCGTTGCAGTGGCAGAGACCCCATTTATCTGTGAGTGAAGTCTGGAGGCACCTGGAAAACGTTTGGAAAGCCTTATTTCCACTCTGGTCTCGCGGACTCCACACCTTCGTTCCGAATTCCATCCTCTTACACATTTTGCAGCGAATGCGGACATGTAGAGCTTCGAAAGAAACTCTTTATTGCCACTATCATGCGCTCAAAGCCCTGGTATGGGTTTAGCATGGCGAGAATGTCCCGAAATGTGAAAACCTGGAGGGCAACTGCTGCCCGTTTGGGCCACGCGCTTCAAACTATCATAAATCATGGGACGGCGCTCTAGATTGTTTGGGCACTCGTTATAATGGCATAAAGAGTGGGAGATTGATAAATACCGCAGCGAACTTACGCTGCATTTCCCTTACTTCTGGAAAAGACATTTTTATGGTTCTTTCGTGAATTTTATGTTTTAGTACTACAATGAGTCTGAAGCATCTAAATATGCGTCAAACTCTCATATCGTCCGAATTCAAACAGAAATGGCTGAAAGAGCATTGGAACTTTTGGCTCTGCCCGAGGACAAACCTGCCTTCCTTTTAGACATAGGTGAAGTGGAGAACATCTTTGTTTTACAATTTCCACGGTAGTAAAGTATTTTCGTTTAGGATGCGGTACCGGCATAAGTGGTAGTGTGCTCGCAGCTAATGGTCATGCTTGGGTAGGACTCGATATCAGTAGGCCTATGCTCAGTCAGTTGCACTTCACGATGACACAGGCGATCATCTATATGAAATAAACTTTAGAGATAGCCAATGAGGATGAAGAAGATGATGACAATATTTGCGATTTTGTGTGGACAGACATGGGGACTGGTGTACCGTTTCGACCAGGAACCTTTGATGGAGCTATCAGGTTTTGATTCTGCAGGTGGTCTTTTGTTTGGCCCTGTGGCTTGACGTTACTTTCTTTTAGTATATCGGCAATCCAGTGGCTATGCCATGCTAATGCTGGTGACCAGAATCCGAAGCGGCGTCTACATCGATTTTTTCAAACTCTCTACGGTTGCTTGGTACGTTTCGGCATTGACTAATAAACTCAGGTTATGTTCTGAACGACTTCTCGTGTATCAGTTCCTTCAGGCTTTTGATATTAAAAGGGCAAACATTTTTGGATCTTTTGTGACTGGCCTTCTAAGCTTTTTCAGCTCATCGCTTTTACTTCAGAACTTTGGAAATGAGCCCGCCTTCTTCGTTTTATACATTAGGTCGTCCCGAAAGTTCTGTCGCACCATTTTCAAAAATTCATAACTCTTTAAATTCTCAACGAATTTGTATGATCAAAATTTTGCATTAGAGAGGAACTCGTGCTCTTTACATCATTACCTGAATTGTTCGTTAATGTATACAAATGAAAGAGATAGAAGCTCAAAACCAAAATCACTCAAAATTTGAATTTTTCGTGTAGGGTCATAAAAAATCAGAACTTGCAACAAAAATCGGAGCAGTCGGTATTGTAGGTTTTTTACCAGCTCTTTCTAACAGTGCAAAGTTTGTGCTGATTTAGCGTTCTATGAAAAGTTACGATTTCCCTGAAAAATGCCAAAATAAATCAAAATCGCCCTTTTGTATTGCTTGCTCGAAAATCGTAACTTTTCATAGAATCGCTCAATCGGCGCAAACTTTGCACCGTTAGGAAGAGCTGATGAAAGAACCTACAATACCGACTGCTCCGATTTTTGTTGCAAGTTTCCGATTTTTTATGACCCTACACGAAAAATTCAAATTTTGACTGATTCTGACTTTTAGCTTCTATCTCCTTCATTTGTAAACATTAACGAACAGTTCAGGTACTAATGCAAAGAGCATGAGTTCCTCTCTAATGCAAATTTTTGATCATACAAATTCGTTGGGAATTTAAAGAGTTATGAATTTTTGAAAATGGTGCGACAGAGCTTTCGGGACGACCTAATATTTTTTCAGGCCTAATTTTTTGCACGCTTGCTGCTCAAAATTTACGGCATTCTTTCTTTGAGAACCCTAGGATATGAATAGGGCTGCTTTCTTGATACATAAGTTCGCCCTACGGACCCTGCAGTTGAGTGGGACCTACGGGCAGGCCCTTTCTTCCATTACAACTTCATCCTGTCGTATAAGTGCGAAGACTGTTGGATAAGGCAGGACTTATCTGCGACGGACTTACCTGAAGGGAGACCCTACCTATTCTAGGATAAGTCCGGCTGAATCTTTTTGAATTTCATCTTCACTTTATGCTTTTTCATGAAAACGAAGGAAAACTGGCTAGCTGTACATCATTGAAGATCTTGGAGAGCTCCCCCAAATGTTCTTTGAAGATAGACAATGCATGACGGCTGCTCCAAATTGTTGAAGCTTCGAACCACATAGTTTTCATGAAATTCAAGGTTTATAATCTGAGGACTCAGTTGTTCAAATTCAGGGTTTCAAATATTTTTGACGTTGATAGAAGTTGCATAAATTTTTTGGTGTTTACAGAGATTTTCAAACTGTCCGTATTGGTAGCGCAATCGTACATTTTTTTGCTCCGTCCTTCCCCCCCCCCCCCTCCCCACTCCTCTTCCCCAAAAAAAGCTGATTTTGTAGGTAAGCTTATCTGGTAGTAAGTAGTCAAATTTATTCGCATAATTCAGAACAATTATCCTTTAGTTGGTGCTAGTTTCATACTTTGAATTGAGAAATATCGAAGGAATACTCAATAAAATAGCAAGAGATGTGTGTTTTTTAGGGTCGAGGGACAAGAGCAGTGTTCCAGTTTTATCCAGAAAATGAGCAACAGTCGGTATTGATAATGTCCCAAGCTACAAAAGCAGGATTCAATGGAGGACTCGTGATAGACTATCCGAACAGCGTAAAGGCAAAGAAGTGTGTTCTATTGCTTTCTTGGCATGGCTGAAAAAAAACCTGAACTACGTCATTTGCATGAGTGGCTTTTCTCAGGGTTTACCTCGTCTTAATGACTGGAGGCATCGCTCAGCTACCGAAAGCTCTCACTGGCGAAGAAGAAATGATGCAGCGTCATGGTCAAGTAGAAAATACCGGCAGGTTCGTGCAGTTCTGTGGAATGAAATACAAAGTAATCGTGATTTTGTAGAGGGTTCACGATGCCCCACAAAGGTGAGAAAAAGCCTCAGAAAGGCACCAAAGAGTGGATTCAAAAGAAGAGGGAACGCATGCTTAAGCAAGGAAGGTCAGTAGGTCATCACTTTATAGTCACCAATATGTCCCATGGACGAGACAGCGTGCGCAGAGATCTGGTCGCAATTGCGTCTAATTAGGATATTACGTGCTTGTAAGAGGCACCAGACGGTAAGAGAGGTGAGAGTGCGCTTGTTTCGACAGAAGCTGATGCTTCTTTGCGTGCATAACTCAACTGTATATCGTGTAGTGTGAAAACCAATTTAAGTTTTTTTTAGGACTATACGACACGAGTCAAAATATTCTGGACGGAAAAGGAAGCAAAAGTTTTAGCTCCCTTACACTTTGTTTTTACCATTATGTACCATTGAATTGTTGATTTGTGTTGCCCTTGATGTCTGCGTTTGTTGTTGTCTGTTTAGATTGCAGTCAGAAATGTTTGCACAAGAGATCTTTATTTCATTGAGCGTTTCTGGATTCCGAGATGTCTCACATCTTTCAAATATACAAGAGCTAATAAAATACGTTGTTAAGAGATGGATATAGCGTGGCGAGAAGAGATCATATCTATTTCACAATTGCTGGAGATAATTTGAGGAACGAAAAGCCTTCTTTGAATCGCGAAGAAATCTTGACATTTAATGAACGATGAATGCTTGAAAATGCTTGAAAAAAAAGTAAATATTGCACCTTGGTTTGAGCTTGTTATCATATTTTATGGAGTAAAATGATTACTAGCATCGGGATGAGAAATAAAGTGAAGAAGAAAAAGATTTTTTTGAATTTACAAATACACACAACAAAGCGCGATGACGTCAGGAGTGCAGTGGAGTCCCTGATGGTATCTCTTTGTCTCCGTTGATGATTTTGCCTACAAATAGTGCTCCCCCTGATGTAAGAGAGCATATCGTCTTCTGTCATCTGACGCTAGTTTTCCAAGCACTGGACAACAGATCGAGATTAGGCTACAGACCGAAGACGCTGCATAGGCCCAACCAACTCTGAAAGTTTCACGATAAGTTCTTGGAACGTCTATGTATCTAGATGGCTTGCCTGCATACAGACGATCGAAGCAGCTGAGGTACCGTACAGCCGATATCATTCATGTTTATAGGCACAATAAATGAGCAAAGACCCATGAAGATGGCTGAAAATTGAATAAGCTCTGAATCGCAAAAATAACGGGTGGGAACCATAGTTATTGTTACAATTGAAAAAATTTGTTCGAACTTAGGTCTTGTTACACTTGGAAAATTGTTTATGTCCAGAAAATTTTTTCTTATTTATGAAATTACATGACGAGTTGTTTCTTCACGGTTTCCACATGTCACACATGATTGATCCAGTTTTTGAACTTTAAAAAATTATTATTTCCGACGAATCTCTAGCTTGAAAAGCTTGAATCTAAACTACCTTCGTATTAGTGCTGATGATCTGGGAACCATATAAAATCTTTGAAGATAATAGAGAAGAAAGAAATCTCGAGGGAGGTTGAGTGCTCGTTAAAAAATTGCGTCCAAACTAATATCACATTTCGTGAAGGTAAATTGATAGCAACGGGTATCCCTCTTCCTTCTTCCCTATTTATATAAAGAATGAGAATAGTCGAAGTTTTTAGAGTTTTTTGAAGGAAGACCAACAAAGTGGAGCAAGACCTACATTTTGATGCGACCTAAAAGTGGTTACGGTTGCAGTTTTTGTTTGGCTTCAAATTTGCTTCACTCATATAATTTATGCAAAAATCGTTGTCCAATTCAATCGCGGTGTTGTAACTTAAGCTGTAAACTTTTTGAGGAGCCTCAACTATTCTATTTGCCAAGCTGCACTCCATAAGATTTATTTACAGCCTAGACACTAAAAATTTCAGCGCAGACAGTGTTCTACCATACCCGATGTTGCTTTTGATCCGCTCACTACGCCTTTCATTTCAAATTTTTCTGCTACCTTATATGGCTGTCGTTTAAGCAACTGCTTGGTCAAATAATCTGGAAGGAGGTAGTGTCTAATTGTAAGTATCCAAATTTGCTTAACACATTCAAGACAGGGCCGATTTTTCCATGACTGCCATTGCGGACCAGAGCATATTTCGCAAAATTGAGTTTGCGTAATACTTTCAGGTCACTGATGGGTCCTGTGGTCTGAAATGCTCATATTTTAGGAATTACTCTAAGAGGTGTATACAGAAGTCTACTCACTTTGCCTAGAAATTTTCACCGTGGATTAGCAAAACCAAAAACTTCAGAAAGAAAACAATGCGACCCACCGGTGGGTCGCGTTGTCCGAAATGACAGGATATTACGGCCCACCTGCGGGTCGTGCACGACCCACCAGTGGGTCGTATTGTTGTCAGTGTGCTAGACACTGGCTTTGAGCCTTCTTCGATATCTATATACCAGTGCTTCACCTCTGCTTCGCAGAGGTTCGCACTGGCATCGTGAACCGTGGTAAACTCACTTTCTGAGAGCTTGTCTCTCAAATCATTGTTCGGTTTATTGCAACGTGAGCTGTAGTTAAAAATGAACCATACTCGCTATCTTAACCTCACATGATGTTTAGTATCGTAAATCATTCCTCACTGTAATTTCGTAACGGACAAACTCCACACAACTTCAGATTAAGCCGCTTATTATAAGTCATGATAAATAAAACTCAATCTCTGTAAATTTGTTCGTATGTAAGTATGTGGCTTATAGACTCCTCTGTTTTTGAACCGATGAGGCTGAAATTTGCCCCCTTATAAATGAGGCCAGGCGCAGAAGATAGGCTACTTTTTGCGACGATTCACTGGGTCCTTCTATCGATTTATTGATTTGTTTACTCATATGTAAGGGGATAAACTTATCAATCATTCCTGAATCACAGTTGGATAAGCGGGGCGGTAAAGATCATTTACATTTTGCGGCGAGGAGGATCCGGTTTTTCGAGTCAGCGGGATATGTCGCGGAAGCGCTTCTTCAAATATGGATAAGGAAGGTGAGTTTTGACGCTTTTTGATTTTAATGCCTTCCACCGGGCACTTGAGCCCGCTTCCCGGGCAGGACCGGGGATGCCATCTAGTAGTGTAAGATTGGAAAACCGGCGTAGAATGCTCCCATTATCAAGGTTTATTGCGCCTATTTTCATCAAAAATCTCCCCTTTTTGCGATGTTTTTGCGGATGCCAGGTTCCATCATTCGCATGCATCTTCATTGTTGCAAAATCATTTCGCTGCATTAATGAAAAGCTCTTCATCTTCGCAGAATCGTAGACAAACGTCATCGTGCAAATCAGATTGTTGCCTCGTTTGCCCGATTGCTGATCACGTTCGGCGAACGAGCGATCCTATGTCTCATTCTCAGCCTCGTTAGTTCGTAATGGTCAAAACAACCCCCTCAAATTGCCTTCAGTAATTTTACTCGTATAGCTAATAATGTGTAGTTTATGTGTCTTCTTTTGGATAGAGGGCTAACGAGGAGGAGGAGGAGGAAGGAAGGAATTTTCATGCGGAAGTTGGTGGATGTAATTCTGTAGAATTCAGTTTTTTTGGTTAGAGGCTGTCTTCTTTGTAATTAAAATAATTAGTACAAGAAAGACTAAACCAATTCGGCAGTGTCGGTTTCGAGGGTAGGGGAAGTAATGAAACACTTGGCTTGAAATTCTCGCCGTTAGGCCTCTTTTTCTTGAGCTCATAATAAGCAAATTCTAATGCTGATAATCCAGACGGATTTTTTTAAATCTAGCGTTTCCGATAATCCTCCCTGCCTTTTGCTTAACGTTAGCAATATCCGTTTTTACAAACAAATTTTTTCATAATTGTCCTTTTAGGTGTGCCATTATACTAAAGCCCCTCTTCTCTGAATAAAACTGAGTCACTGGAATAAAACTGCTCCCTCCTGATTGATATAGACGACGTCTTCGCTACGCCAAATCTTTGCGCACACGGGAGAAATGGAAGGGATTACTAGATTCAATTAAGCGAACATTGCAACTCCCTCAGGGATTCGCGGTGTGAGCTTGTGTGGCCTGGATACGGTATCGCTTTGCATTGCTTGCTAATTAGCAAAAGATAGATGAGAAATGCGAGATGCTACTCACTAAAGAAGAAAAATGAAGCGAAAGAATGTGGATAGGAACTTATGTGTCATCGGGAACTAGTGTTCAAATTGCATAAGATCATTTTCACTGTAATTTTGTCCTTCTATTTTTTTGTGAATATGATAGCCTTAAACTTCCGCTTTCATGCATGCTAAGAAAAAATGTTTCTTTCTTATTAAGGCACATATTTGTAGGTACGGAAGTCAGCTGACATCTCTTCCCTAATCTTTTTTATATTACTTTCATGATTTTTAGCAGCTTCGAATACTGCCCCAAACTGCCAAATTTCACAAAGCAGTCTAGGAAAAATCAAAGCCGCAAATATTGATTTTTATTTTAAAATGCATATATAATCGAGCACTTCGAGGAGCTCAAGTGCACAAACTTGCAACGTGTAAATTCACATTTGTTTAAAGTTCCCTATCTAAGTTTTCGTATTGATTTTTGAGAAAATAACAGGTAACCATCTGATAGCAAGTTAGGCTTTGCGTGACTAATTCTAGAATTTGGTAATATTTCCTATTGAATTCAAAAGGAAATTTCTAGGATAATCACTGTTTTTTCGGTTTTTACAAAATCTCATCGTTTCAAAACAGAAAACGAAGAGATTTGACATACAGGAGATCCTAGAATTACTTTTCTAGCTAACAAGGTGTTAACCTCTACAGCTCACCCATGACATTGCGCCAACATCAGTGATCTTAAAAATTCGAATTCTTGGTGGTACCACGAGCCTATTTTCAAGGCAAGAATGTAAACACTCGTATTGTCTAAATAGTTGCACAATTTCTTTTACATGCATCCATACTTTCAAATTTTTCCCTCAAGGACGTTATAAAACAGGAAGAATTTTCCAAGTGACCTAATATATACTATGGAAACCCGTGCTCAAGCTTCGAAGCACTTCTGCGGTGCACTTTGGAGTAGCATCAATGTATTAGTCTTTGCTGGATTCTGGCACTTTCATCCATTTGACCATGTTTGTGAGTGCATTTAAAAAAACATGACATTACGCTTGCCTATGGCAACTCAAGTAACCAGAAAAGGAAGCATTATAAAAAAAGGTGGTGGAAAGCATTAAATGATATCCACTCGTTAGGGATGGAGCGCAGATGCGGACAATGTTTTTGCTCTACATTTTTCTCGGCATCGTCTCCATAAATTCCGAATTCAAGTCCCTGGATTTGCTGAACTTCTGGCTAGATTTAAAGAATGGCACCGTTTTTACTAGAGCACAAAGGTCCTGGGAAAGTGAGGAGGTGGACAGAATAGGCATTGGCATAAAAGCAAAAGGCCATCGACGCAAATAGCAGAGATCTTTTCAAAAAGTGCATAAGAAAGAATAAGTCAACTATTGTGGAAGTTTTAATGTGACGCATGGGAACCAAAAGTTCAAGGATCATTTGAAATAATTTTTATGCAGACAGAATATCGCATTCTCTAAGAATTCATCGAATACTCCAAGAGCAAAAGCACTTTTGGAATAAATCGCAGTTGAAATCAGGTTCAAAATCAGCACTAAATTTTCGCACGTTTTTAATACGCATGAAATGCTCTCAAAAAAGAACAAGAATTGTCAGAAATTCAGAAAGTTTTGTGATCAAACAGTTGCATAACTGACTTTTGAAACTTTCAAACTTTTCTCAAGAGAATATCTTCTTTGGCTTGAAAAATGTTGGAAATTGTTGGAAATCTAGAAACTTTGCGCAGTAAGCCTTAATTGATTTTCTGAAGATTTTTGAGACTCATACTAGTGGCAAGATGTTCTTTAACAATTCAACTTTTTTGGCAAGTTTCATATTTTCGTGAACTTCTAAGAAATACGAAAGTTCTTACCAGCGGCAATTTGCAGATGAGCAATAGTCTGAAGAGGAGCAGCAGTGGCTGAGCAGAAAATGGCTGGCACGAGGGCGATAGCCGAGAGTAAAAATAGCAACGAACCGACGGCATGAAAGAACAAGGGGACCAAAGCCGTCACTTCTCGCAGTTCACAGCCCCAGGCCGTACACAAGGCGAAAAGGCCCTGAACAATACATTTTCAAGCTTAGAAAGTTCTAGTGGAACTTTATAAATATACCTGAATCTGCTCGCGATTTACAATCCATTCTGGTTGCGTTGTCACTAGAAGTTGTGTGACAGAGATGGCAAAAGACATCGCTAACCAAACGTAGAGCAACATAGTCGAGGGGCTAGGTTCCGCATGAATCATTTGAAATTCCGATTCGGCCAGGAAAGTAGTGGGTCAGCTGCAGAAGAGGACACTCATTTCTGCGCAAGATAGCATCTGAACAGTGGTCGTGAGTCATAGAGCGCCCGTCAAACGCCAATCCCTCGGGATTAAATCATGCGAAATCCGAATTTATTAGTGGTCTTCCGAGACAATCGGAGCCGCACTGGCTGGGAGGACGAGTTGCGATCGGAAAGACAAGTGTCCGAGTGGAGTTATGCAAAGTCGACCCATGGAACTCAAAATTTGGAAAACAAATTTTTGTTGGACGTGCAGGTGCACATGAAAAGTGATGCAAAGAAATGCCTGTAACTCTGCATCAAATAGTTCACATCTCAAACATCTTTGATTTTCTGGTAGACAAGAAGTTTTTGCATAAGATGCATAAGATCTTGATCACATTTGGCGATGTTCGCTTCTCTCTGATACAGGCAATTGATTTCTTCTGTGAACTTGTAGGAATGGCCATCATTATTTTCTGTATGATGAATCCAGCTGTTCGCTTGATTGGACAATTTTGGGGAGAATAAAATCAAGGGTTTTTAGCAAGGCTTGTGCCAATTAATATTAGCCTCATCTCAAATTCATAAAGAAGGTTTGCAAAGTTTTTTTTTCAAAGATTTTCAAATACTTTCCTTATCTAAAAGTCTATTTGGGACGACTTACTCCACTGCGTAGGGAAAAAACAAGAGAAAAGGATAAAAAATGAGTTTCTCCGTGAACACGTTAATGTAGACCACTCTTTACCATTGAGCTCTTAACCCCTGAAAAAAGTTTGAGATAAATTTCCCACTGCGACTTAAATGTTTGCATTTATCATGACAAAATACAGTCGGCGCAAATTTTACCGCATCTCACCTTCTGTGCAAGCACACTATATTAAGCGGAAAATCTACTCGACTGTAGCAAGAAATCCAGCTTTTATAGCATTATTCACAAGATGACGAGTACATCACTGATTGCTGGCAATCCAGCGCAAAGTTTATGTTAAAATTTTTGAAATACCTTTGTCTGCGCTCAAATGACGTACTTACTTCGACAAAAAGTAAAATTCATAAATTTGCAAAAATCTTTGTATTTCTGACTAGTTTCCCAATAAAAAATTATAAGCATTTTTTTGCACAATTGCGTTCACTGCGTTCATTGTTTTCTGGGTTCATTAATCATATCCATGCCAAACGGAAAATCTGGACACTTTTTGTGTTCAGGGGATTTTTTCACCATGACTCTTGAAAACAGTTTTTTTCGTCTGCGACCGTTCTAGACATAGGAAGGGCTGATAAAAGAAGACACTGAAACCGCATGTTCTCTTCAAATTCAGGTTTTCTAAAAATGAAAGATTGAACTGAAACTAACGTCATTTTTGTTCTAGGTTTTGTGAACTTTTTTGGCTAAAAAACTTTGTACTTGATCAAACTCCTCTACACATACTTATGAAGTGATTTTGTACATTTCTTTGTGGATACTGATTCTACTATTACATTAATAACGTATACATTATATAGTAAATAAAACGAACATATTGAGAAGATCTTATCTCAAATGAACTTCTCCTAATTTTTGGTTTAAGACTCAAATTCCTGCCTAGAAAAATTACAATTGATATACAGTTATCTTTTGAAACTAATGATCAAATAGCGTATCTCTTTTCAAATCTTGGCAGTGTAGCAAGATAATTCAAATCAAATGTACAGTTTTTTTAAAATTATTTAAATCTGGACCAGAGCTATTTCGAAGTTTTTATATTTTTCGTGCAATATTTCTATAATCCGATTATTTACATGTGTTTTAGAAATCCTCCATTCTTTTATGGATCTCCTTCCTAAACCTTGTTCCATCGATTGTGTAGTGCCCTCGAGCAGCTTTATTTGCCGTCAACTTCCAAGTCACCTGGTGCAATTGCACTTGCCCAAATCTCGCACGTTTTGCCCTTGAGTGACGACCACGTCATTCGAAAGCTGCCAAGTAATAGTCGTATAAGTGGTTTGTGTTGTGCATTCACACCACAGCACTCTTCAAAATATTCCCAGTGTAACTGCGCATGCTATATTGTAATGTTGAAGTGTAAGGGAGGGTCAATTTCTTGCTTCAAAACTTTCATTTAGTTCTATAGTATGAAATACGAAATGAAAACTCTGTAACGGAGGTACCAAATTTTCCCTACCTTCAAGTTCTCCTTTTCCTTCATTTGAATTGCAACATGTTCCTTTCCCCCACTCCGGCCTACACTGATCTGACTCCTCGTTGCTTTATTGCTATTTTATCACCTTGAATTTTATTTTGTGATGTTTTTCTTCAAAAAATTACTACGGGGATCCCATTGCGAAGATATTAGGTCGGTTCAAAAGTTCTTTCCGTTTTTTCATCCTGTCATAAAAACAAGTGGAATCAAGATAGACAAATGCTATAAGGACGCTCAGACGCAGTTTTTCCTCCTCTTTCCAACAGTTATGTTTTGGGACCACTTGCTTTGATGTTTTCTGAGATAATTGCCGAAATTTCGATTCTAGTTTTTACCATGCCAAACTTTGGCAATTTTTGGAAAACTTCATTTTGAACTTTTGGAGAAGCTTTGATAGCATTTAGAAGCGTAAACAATGTGCAATGCAGTGAAATTTTTTGACACCTACAGCTGACTTTCCAAAATTTTTGAAACTAATAACTAACTTTCTGATGCTATCAAATCCCGCTTTGAGTGACACCGAAACTCACAGAACATGAAAATGAGCACAACTAAGGTGTCATTCGCTGCGTCTTTCTCTTCTCTTTCTGATAAACGTTTACTCTTCCCAATTCATGGAATATTTGGCGATAAAATAATCATAATATTCAGTTGAACCCGCCTCATGCGGAACCCGTAGAATGCGAGACTTGATATTTCGAAGCGGCAAACGCTCTGATGCTCTGTAAAGTTAGTGTGTAACCACAATCGAACTTTGCAAGTATCAAATTCCGACAATTTGTTGGTGTTTGGAGCCTTTGTGTATTTTGCGACTTCGCTACATTGACGACTTTCGGAAAAGTTCTTAAAAATATCAAGAAGCTAATTATTTAAATTAATTAGATTTAAAATTCGAGAAAATTGCATTGCATTGCACTTTGTTGCGCTATTAACCGCCTTAAAAGCTTTTCCAAAGGTTCAAAATGAAGATTTTGGAGAATTGCCAAAGTTGGGCATGGTAAAAACCATAAATTTGAAATTTCGATAATAATCTCAGAAACCACCAAGGCAAATGGTCCCAAAACCTGACTGGTGGAAAGTGGAAGATAAACTGCGTCTGGTAGTCTTTGGAGCATTTGCCTGCCTTTATTCCACCTGATTTTAGGGCAGATCGAAAAAACGGAAAGAATTTTTGAACCGACTTAATATATTGGATCCCTGAAGCTAGGAGAATTTTCCAAACAAAGATTCATGTATTTTTTGCAGACGCACAGATGGCGTTCTTTTTTTTGCGTAACACACTTCACATTCGTCAAAAGTTGGTCCAGGAGAGTCTAGGACTACCGCAAAGCACAAGAGTGATGGGTCTCATGCGAGAAAGTCAAGCACATTAGAGTTTTGAAAGCTTTAATCTGCGAATGACTTGCATCGAACTTTGAGCCCAAATGTGGAAGCCATATCTCTTACCAAATTATATTGTTAGAGCTTTCGTGTAACCGAATTTTTTGACTCTGTTGAAAATTATTAGTTGCAAAACATCTGTCGGAATTTCAAAGGAATTCTTACATCACCTCGAAAATTTGGAGCGGTGGGACTGCTGCTGCAGGAGGCATACCGCCCAAACTTCAAAAATATTGTGTGAAAATGTTTGGAGTCAATCTTCCAGAGCTGTCGAGCTGATGATTTCAGTTATCAGATGCGAACGAAAAAAGCTGCTTGTTTCAGTTCAAATCTCGTTGTGGGTTTTTTTGCCACTCAAAAATTACGCTTTAGCAATGAGTATGATGATCTCCTTCGATTTTGAGAGTTTTGTACAAAGCCCTCTTTGACCTAAATGTAAAAACCCTCAAAAACGAAACGTCGGTTAAAAAACGTCGCAATTTTTGCGTCTTTTCGGTCACAAAAACGATATTCCCATCAATTTTTGTCCCAAAACGATATCCAGCTTGACCCGTCCCAGATGGTGCCAGGTCTTTTCATCTTGGTATCAGGAAAGCAGCTACGTGATTGTGATTTAGCCCAGAATGCAATGAGAAGCACATTTTTAACTGCAGTCATTATCTTTAGCATCTAAGAGCATCAACACATGCTCTATCATTGTATTTTACAAAACTGTTGTCCGAAGCTTCTATCATTTTGTTTGAATGTCTTCGAATGTATTTTCACCTATTCGTTACTATGAAATATTAGGTTAGCGAATAATTTCTGTTACACTTTTTTTATTTATTCTGGAGAATTCAAAAACTTTCCTTAAATTTTCAAATACCCATCAGCGTGAGTTGGCGCAAATGCGCAAATAGCCCGATAGTAAGTTTACAACAGTTTTTTTGAGCATACTCAAAATTTTCAACTTTTTTGGTTCTTGTCCGCCTATAAGTGTGTTTTTTATTTGAGTTTTTTTTTCGATTTTTTAGAAAGCATTATATTTTGGAATTGTCTCTTTTGTGGTAGCACTCTGGCTTCGCTAGCTGATCAAAAACGAGGAATGAAAAATGCATTAACAACTTCAAAATCAGTTTAATGTTTTTTTTGTGTGCAGCGTGTAAGATTTCATACGGGCTGCGTATAATTTTGACAATTTTCGAAAAATGTTGAGATGCGAATGTGCGCCAATATGGCGCATCATCATCTCAGATGAACGTTTGCAGACATCTGGACCATCCTTCCATAATTGCTAAAAACCATGGACTCGACCCTGCTTGAATGCTACGTTATTCGTTCTCTCACTAATCATCTGGAAGAATGCCTTCTCATTGACAAAACTGGCCGTAAAACGTACTTGTATCCATAGGGTGGGTGTTCTGCGCACCGGAAATGATAGCTTAGATGAGTAGTTCTTTTCACCCCGTCAACAAGTCTTAACCATGAGATTGAGAAGTTATAAAGTAAGTCAGAAA